CTCGGCCTCTATGGCCTAGCTCATGAATATCTACGAATTAATGGAAAGTCCAGTCGCTTGTTTTGACCACGAGTGGTAACCATGGCTCTAGACTTTACGGCTAGTACCAGAGAGGTCATTACAAGAACTGGCATGCAAATCCCATTAGGGTGTTTCTAAAATATTTTCTGGTGTATGCCCTAACACTCGTAAAAACATATTACGAATTGGCTTCATGATTATATTCAATGTCACATAAATATGAGTAAAAGGTTTGTTTTCCAAGAATTAGCTGTTCCTGTCTTAAGGACGTCATTTATTCTTAAATAAGCAATTCATTTGAATTTCAACCAACTACGAAAGCCTTGGCCATTGGCCGTTGGCCGTTGGCCATTGGCCATTCCAAGTGTTCCAGTCTGTAAGTTGACTCAGACACGATACGTGCTTATTCCAAGAGTAGAAATATTTAATATACCGAGCTGGCTCGAGCGTCTCGCGTTCGTTGAATCGCAAATCAAAACCGCAGTCCTTTAGACGTGGTCAAGAGGTTATGTTAAACTGTGCTTTGTACGGGCTTTTGAAAAGTTTTTTATTTGTATTCTCGATACGCCATAATAAAATGACATTAACTCTTCCGTAATTGCGAAAGAAATTTTGTGTAAGCATACACAAAATCTTAATTTCTATTAAATTATTTATTAATATTAAAAGGTAGTTAAGCCTTTTCAATGTACAGAGTTCTCTTGTACAAAAGCAAATTTAATGTGTGTGAACAAAGCTGAAATAAATAAATTGTTTCTTTCCAAGATATTTATCATAGTGATATTATTAAAAAAAAGCTCTCAAAAGTGATCAACTTTCGAAAATGAAAATAATTTCTGACTGCTTGTCAATACATTATAGATCCAGTGACTTTTTTAATTAATTACCATTCATGTCAAAATTAAGTTAAGACCCACAGGGATATAATATCAAATTGGAATACCCTGAACTCGGTGAAAATGTGGATTCGGGGTGTATTGTTGTTGTTAAAATGTATGTAGCATTAAGGGGAGGAATGTATATCCTCACATTCTAAATCTGGATTAACAGGCAAGTCCATCAAACCCTGTTTGCCACCATGCCCTCCCGTCCGCCCATTCGGTTGTCCGTGTGTTCGTAAGTAAGAACACGTCTTTGGAATTGTATATGTTTAAGGTTACGATTGTGTATTTTGTTTCTCCTTTTTCCTTTAGCATTCGCAGATCAAGTTTATGTTAAATCATCTATGTTTTTCAATTTCTTTAATATTAAATTGCGGACCACAATAGATAAAGTCTAAGGGTATCTACTGATCGGATACTCCCGACTTGACTACTTGTACGTGTACTTTGTAATTTTCAAAATATTTATTTCTTGCTCTAGACAGAGAGTTTTGAGTTTTTCAGATATATACTCAACATACAACAAAAATAAATTGTTGTTTCCATTAGCCTTTTACTGCAATTTGGACTTCTTCTTTGCTTCTCAGATCTTATATAGTTCTCGTATAAGATTTTAGCACTGAATAATTTCATATATTCAAAGATGCAGCTCAGTGTATCTCTTAGGCTATTATGCCCATCTCGACAGCTCTTACTTGCTCTTTTTCTTTTTCATTTACTGTATATACTTTCGAGATTTATCGATTACACTTAAAATAGTTCAAGAACATAAAATCAGGTCTAAACGCAAGAAAGATATAAACTTGTCGAGCCTGTTGTACTTAAGACTGAGCTTTGTTGAGAGTGTTGACCTTTTATTTCCGTAAACGCAGAGATAAACAATAAATTCAAATGCATAAACTAGTATCGAGTACTCAATTTGTACGTAGATGTATACTATTGTATGTGTGGGAACCTCGAAAAAAAGCAATGCAATTAACCTAAATCTAAAAACACCGTTCGTTTGCGTGTAATTTATTTAGATAACGCGAACTCTCAGGTCAATTTTTGGTGTCTATGCACAGTTGCTCTCTCCTACTCAAGAATTACAGCCGTGCAGAAATCTTAATGTTCCCATATTATACAAGGGTGTCAAAATTCAATATTATAAAAATGGCCTATGAAAAAGAGGTTCGCGTGATTCGAGGATGAATTTGGCATGTTGAACATATTAAGAAGATGTCGCTTAACATCAAATAACAGAGGACTAGTCTGTAGTGCTCGATCTGAAACCCTACGCATAACTTCGATTTTAATCATTTCTTGCTTAATATATGCATACATACACACCTCATACGTCCACTTAATATACATGTGAGTATGCCCCAAATGTAACCTTTATGCGTGTTCATCCTAAGCCCCACACCACACTTTATTAATGGAACAATATGACAAATATCTGTATGTATTTACGAAAGACTCAATTAATTGATGTGAGTTTAGTTAGATTTGAAGGCAATAAATGAGTGGTAATAAAATGGAAATTATTCATAATCTGTACATTCATTACAGGCAAATACATACCCACTTTGATGCCATTAGATTCTAAAGTCTTTCAAATATATTAGAATATTCAGATTGTAGCTTGTATAGTATAGGAGATCTTTGTTTCGTGCGGAAATATACACGTGCTCAGACCGATGTAGCTGGTCAGTAATATTTATACTTTGAAGGGTCGACAATGCTTCATTCCTCCAGTTCAATATGTGCAGACCTATTTGCGAGTGTAACAGCTATATCCTTGCTAATATTTATGCACATACTCATCGCATTAATTTGGATCTGAATAAAGGCACAAAATACAAGTTGTGCATATTTGAAACTGGTTATGTGCAGTATCAAACCAGATCAGTTTGTTTTTCTTTTTTATTGTTGTCTTACAAATAACCTTTTGATGAAAGTATTATAGCCCCTGAAATACCTTGAAAATGTAGATGTCTTGTCCCAGCAAATCAATACGAATTATGTGTTCCAAAATGTCACCATGCAATGACCACACCAGGAGCTGCCAAGGTCAGGTCGCTAACAATTAGATTAATATCTCAAAGTATTAAATACAAATAAAATGACTTACTCGTTTAATCGATGATGACAGTTTTTTGGATTACTATTAACAAAAAGTACTATATATGTTGACACATATATAAACTTGGAAAATGCTTAACTAATTAACCATACTCAACGTTCATAAAAGCTGACTAAGAATACAAGACATTTATGTATGTATATAGCATATAAGATAACATAACGGAAAATGTTCAATGATACAATTAATAAATACCCCTAATAGGTTTTTATACTCGACCACAAATTAAATGAGTATATTGGTGTTGTGCACATCTCTACAGGTCTTAAGCAACCAACTATAAAATGCTCGTTCATCGGTATCGGTATTGGTAGCGGGCCTTACAATTTATGGGTCTCTCAACAGTAATAAAGCGGGAAAGGTTGGTGATGTTATTATATTCTCTGGGGTAAGCAGTAAAACTGTAAGAAATACACTTTTATAATATCCACGCTCCAAGCATAGATATACAAAGTATACATTTATGTCTGGCAATGGTATGCTGAATGATATATTGTAGATGGATGGTGTCAATGCAGTTTTGGATCAGCTTATACTCAGACTCTGGCAGTAAAGCTTTAAATATAAGTCTATTTCTGTTCGGAATCAAATTAAGGCTTTGCCCACCCACCCTCATGCTAATTCATAAGCTCTGTACCCACTGAAAACATTTGAAAAGGGTATAAATTGGGCAAATGTATGGAATTCATAGTCATTCATTTATGCATATGCATGGAAGAAAGTTAAATTATAAATTAAATAATAAATTAATTAAATTAATTAAATTAAATAAATTAAAATAAATTAAATTAAATTATTAAAAAATGGTACCAGATTTCTGAGGAACACTTTGCTTCCATGTGTATACTTTGTAGCTGGCTGAATAAAAGGAATGGGACATTTCACACTTTATGTGTAGTACACAAATAACAATTTCATTTCTACACATTACGATTGAGCCAATTTAAGGCTGTTGTAGAATATGTATGTATATATGTACATACATGCATACATACACATAAATATAAACCCGCAGACGTAATATTATTATCGAAGTCGCCAATGCTCCAGTACATAAATTTTGTTTATTATTTGCTGTCTTAAATGTATTTCAACGTTTGCTGGTCGCTCATCTAAAGAGAAGAGAATAGAACTGACTAATAATTATGCCATCGGAAAAGAGCGTCGGTAACCGCAAGAAGAAGAGCGCAATGCTGTCTACTCTCACACATACTAGTATAACAAAACCGGCTTTCTATGTCTGTGTGCGATCTCTGCGCGTGTTGTTGGCGGTGGGGCCACTCGACTTAGCTGAGGCTATATCGGCAACAGCTGCACCTCCAGCTCCGGCTCCAACTCGGTCTTTATGCTCGCTTTAGCTTCAGTACCATTTGAACAACGATGCGGAAAACAACAATCACATCGTAGTATATTTTGTGTTAAACAAACCTGCTTGGAGCCATCGGTATAATTTAATCTTGCAGTCTGAAATTATGAATAAATCTAAATCAGTGGAGTACTGTGAATGAAAGTGTCCCTAAAATATTTGAAATACTTCGTGTGGCGATGGGTACCGAACAAAATGCAGAAGTTTACACACATTTCCTTGATAAAGTAGAACCAATATGATGGACTCTAAAGTTATCCAGCTTGTTTGATCTACGAACAAGGTCGATTCAGGTTTATTGAACCGAGAAACGTGTTACTGCTACCTATGCACAAACGCGTCAGCTAATCGTTACAAATGCAACATGATTCTTCTATGATGCCTATACACACTGTTTTGTAAATACAAAATCAAATAAAATGCAAGCCTATTTGAAGCCGTACTACCAAGCGAACTTAAAGCAAATAATTATAACAAATAAGTAATGAAAAGTGAAATACTAAGGCATCCTTGCCAACTGACTATTTAAATGAAACTCACATCTTAAACGTCTCACGTAATTGTTGTGCATATTATAAAATAATATACCAGCATGCAGCTAGCAAATTCCCGAGCTGACCTGTTTTGAGCCTCAACATTTTTGTCATCTTTCGGAACACATTAAAGGTACTTAATGCTCTTTATTATTTAAAGCTCTCTAAAAAGACTTATGTATACCAGCGTCGAAATGGTAGAGCTATTAATGTATTTGCCACATAGAAATTCTATATAGTACGCAGTTTGGAGCTTGAGTCTCAGCATTATAAGTTGACTTTCAGTAAGTTTCCTTCGGAGGTAAGGCGTGCCCACACCACTCCTTAAGAACTGATTCAAAAGTCTGAAATTTAAAACTCACGGCATTTTAAATTATATGTGGGAATAATTAATTCATTGCAACAGTTATTCAAGTTATTATAGCTCGGATAAGTTGAGTAATGCATAATAGAGTCGTGAAAATGACCTGGCCAATTACCAGCAGGCTCTTTAAATAAAGAAATATTATATAACTAAATAGCTGCAACGCGCAAATTACATACAGTTTTATCTGCGGTAGCTAAGTGTAGATATATGTGTTTTATTTATGAACTCAGTTACTAGAAAACAGCTTAACTAAACATCAAAGGAAAACGCTTTTAACACGATTGAACTTAAATTGATATGAGCATTTACTATAATGCATATATCTTAATGCATCAAGTTTGGGTAGACAAAAACAACTCGAAAACGACCTTGTCTGACCTACTTTACTCGCCGCAGTACGAAAACTGACAGCTGTGCGGCATTTTAAAATTTATGTATGAAGCTTAAAAACTTATTTATATAGCAATCATTTGATGTGGAAACCTGTGCGTGTTTCGAGTTTTGCAAATATTTTTCCATTTGGCAACGCTAACAGCACCAATAGTACAAGTCCAAGACCAGGTAAATGAAATCTATGTCGTACGGGACACAAGGCAACTACCGTTGCCAATAACCAACAATAACATATTGAGTCGCTATTGCGGCAATTTTTCTTTTTAAGAGTGCTTATTTAAAAACTTCGAAACGTCGAAGAGGCCCCGGTCAGTGAGATAATGATTTATGAAGCACTTTAGCATTCACATTTGAATTCACATAGCCCAAAAGCTCTAATGATGTGCACAACTGAATAACTCATTGTTAAAATAGTATGGCTGATCGATATTTTGAGATTAACAATATTTTCAGAATACTCGTTAAAGTTTGTTGCTTAAGTCTTTTGGTTTACTGCCAACGTTTCGGCATCCAATGAACATGTGTTCTCAAAATATTTTATTTGCAACAAATGTTGTGCAGAAGGAAAACCCATAGTAGGAAATAGTGTTCGGTCTTAAGGGCGTGGTTTGAATGAAGCAGACAATTTCAATTTTTAACATAACTAACAGTCGTCACCATTAAGAACAATAACAGCACGAGCTCAACATAACGAAAATCTTAATGCCCGACGCCCACAACATTATGGCCGTCATTGTCGCTGTTCTGCTGTACAACAGCACACATCATCGTCATGATCGGCGCCTGTCCGTCCTCTCTTGTTCCTCCACAGGTTTAGCCATAGAACCTCTCAACTGCTTCGGCTAGGCTTAAGTGAAAATGATTTTGTACGTTATTGATGAGAGTGATTGCAAGACAAGGCTTCGACAAGCCCTTAGTCATCACAGCAAATAGATTCTTAACACAATTTTGCCAATGTGGCCATTGACAATCTCTTCCTCTAGGTCGTCTGCTCTCCACGTCATGGTATTCATTCGGTTGATTGTCCGTCTGCTGAGCTTCCTTCCCTCACAAATGTCATTTTTTAAAACGTGTTTATTGTTCAAGTTCCTGCAGAGCCTTCTCTTTCATGTGAATTAATTTACATACATTTCATACTTTTAAATCTATGCTATTCTATTTGTTTACATTCTAAAGCAACAAACTTAATACTTTTTGTTAGCAAGTTAACGTGATAGTATGTCCCCTAAAGATCTTGAAAAACTGTTTTATTATTATTTATAATAGTGTTTATTTGCATCAGCTTATAGGCTTCATGGGAACTTAAAATTTACCTTGTGGTGCACATCTTAGCATATTTCCTGAAAGACAGAAGATGACATTAGTTAAATCAATTATTTTCATGTTTTCAATGTCCAGGAAAATGAAGCAGCAATAACACTAAAGTTTAGATTGAATTTGAGTATTTTTGCACGTCGACTGTGGCAGTTGTTGGTCCCTAACCATCGCCAAGCTGCACAGTCAGTAACAAACTGTCTGCGACTCTTGTTGAGGTAAGGCTATCCAGCTGGCTCTTTGGCTGTCCCACGCACATTTTTATAACTCTCGTTGATGCTTCAGCTGTCGTTGTTGCTGTGATGGCGTTCATTTGCGAGTCTTTTATTCACCTTTTTCTGCATTTCAATGCAACTTGGCGCTGGTCTGGTGCCCATTCCGTATGCCACCTCCGATGCTAAGAATCGAGTCTGAAAAGAAAAACAAAGCAGCAGCAGCAGCATGACAGTCATACAGCCAAGAACAATCTGGTCGAGAATATCCGACTAGGAGGAAACCTGTGCCAAATTGTTAATTTATATGGATATATATATATATATATATATATATATATATATATATATATATATATATATATATATATATATATATATATATATATACTATAATACATTCACAGACATTAGCAAATTCTGATGGACATACGATCTCGTTAAGATGTCCTACTGTTCATAGAAATGGATATTTTCCACAGTTGGATGCTGATACCTTATACATTTTGCCACAAATGTTTTCAAATTTTCAATTGGTACAGGGTATTAGAAGCACGACGAGCAGATTATTCAAAACTGTTGACTGGTACAGGCAAAGAAGAGGGCGATGACGGCGTAGATCTTGAGTCTTTTAATGCTTATCATGATGATGAAGTCGACGTAGACGTCGACGTTGGCACCGCAACTAATCGAATGACTTTCTGGCCCTTGTCCAGCCCCCATGGGCTGGCTTAAGGCCCCGCGCGCATATTTGTGCATTGTTTGTGATTTTCACTTACAAGCGACTGTAAATTACAGCACAGCTTGCACCATGTCTTAAGCGTTGTACGTTGTTAATTATAAATACCGCATAGAATGTTTGTAATGAAAAATTCATTTTGTCTCATCCACTTTGGTTGATTAGAAATAGGTGGGTGTTGCCGTTGACTGATCCGCACTAAGGAAATTAATGTGTTCATATTTTTTAAATAATATTTGTTATCATCTGTTCGTGGAGTCAATGGACCACAAATGATTTTATGCCCGATTACAACGATTGAGGCAATCGAAGAATTAATACAATTTTAGGCATTATCGTGAGAAGTGAGGTGCTATTCATCCAGATTACGCGCCTCAATAAAAGCAAAAGATGGTCGGAAATCAACGCGCAGTAGAACTTAGCACTACCAAGAATTTATACCTTGTTTATTGGAAGTATTTAAGATTCAAAAATAAAAAAAAATTTATATATGTCTGATTTTGGATTGAAACATATTGAACGTCAATTACCCTCGCAACACTATTGGCTGATTCTTGATTAGTAAATGATGTTAGCCTGTCCTAATTGATTTAGAAAAGTGTTATTAGTTCACAGCTAATCAGATATTTTTCTATAAACCGTGAACATTTTTAATTGTTTTTTAAATAGTACGATTGAAGCGCTTGCGAGGCGGCCAATCCGTTGCATACCAATAAGTTTTTTGCCCTGTCACAACATTCAGCTATGAATGGAGTATCACTTTATAAAGACAACCTCGTAGGTACATCAAAGATTTTGACAGCCAATCTCGAAAATTACCATCTTTCAACATCGGAATCGGTTGTCCTGATGTGTGTAAGTCACATATAAATTTTGAACATATCGATTTGACAATCCTCCTAATTGATCACTTATACTGAAGTATTTTGTTATATGGACGTGAATTTAAAATATATCTTAAGAATTGAAGACCTGAAAATAATAGCGTATCCTATAGTCGAACCCGCTAAAGTTGCAACACAGGGCACACCCAAAACACACCCGCAGCTGCAGCAATAAAATGTTTAAGCACACATGTATACCATAAATATGTACATAAATATGCAGATACACACACTGAAAAAGTAGACGGGCATAAGCCCACTGACGCGGTGCCCAGACGCACTGAAAGTCGGATAGACAAAATTCAAAGACGGACGCGCCCAACAATCCCCCAGTAATAGTGAAGGCAGGAAAACGCGGACAGGCATCTGTGCAGGCATGGTGAAGGACGGTCATATCACGGGACGGGGAGCAAAGTACGAGAGCGGCTAAATAAAAGTTGATTACGAGTCTGCGTCGCTGGCTGGTTGCCAGCCTACCAGGCATAGCTTGCTGGTTATATGACTGGCATTGTCGTGAAGCAGATTAGTTTGCCATCGGGTTCAACTTTATTTGCAACACAAATTTTCATTCTAGTTGAATGTGCAACCACAGCCGGCCATAGCCAAAGCCAAAGCCAAAGCCATAGCCATAGCCATAGCCATAGCCATAGCCATAGCTGAAGCAATAGTCGCAATCCAAAAACAGACAAAAGTTATACAGCTCGCAGCTCGCAGCTCGCAGCTCTCAGCTCTCAGCTCACGAAGCTGCTGCATTTTCCGCATGCAGACAGCGAAGTCAACCTAAAAATTGAACAACGCCCAAAATCTTGTTTTGCTATAGAGTGAACTCACGATTTTTGGCGCGGTCGCGAGGCACACCAGACTAACTACGAAAAAAAAACAAGAAAGGACATTAATCGTAGCTCACTACAACACGCGATTCGAACTTTATATACCCTTAAATAAATCGAAGCAAAGAATTCCCGATATTTTAGAGGTTCTATAAATTGACTAAAGTAAATTAATAGAATTATTTTAAGCAAACATTGTGGCATATTAGCAAAAACACAAAAGGGACGATTTCTATATTTTACATTGTTCTGTCTGTGAATACAAAAATGAAGTATCTAATAATATAATATAATATAAATATTTCAAATTTGAACATAAAATTGTTATAATATATAACATATAGCATATAACATATAACATATAACATATAACATATAACATATAACATATAACATATAACATATAACATATAACATATAACATATAACATATAACATATAACATATAACATATAACATATAACATATAACATATAACATATAACATATAACATATAACAGAGAACAGAGAACAGAGAACAGATAACAGAGAACAGAGAACAGAGAACAGAGAACAGAGAACATAGAACATAGAACAGATAACAGAGAACAGATAACAGATAACATATAACATATAACAGAGAACATAGAACAGATAACAGATAACATAGAACAGAGAACAGATAACAGATAACAGAGAACAGAGAACAGAGAACAGAGAACAGATAACAGAGAACAGAGAACATATAACAGAGAACAGAGAACAGATAACAGAGAACAGAGAACAGAGAACAGAGAACAGAGAACAGAGAACAGACAGAGAACAGAGAACAGAGAACATAGAGACAGAGAACAGATAACAGAGAACATATAACATAGAACATAGAACATAGAACAGAGAACATAGAACAGAGAACATAGAACAGATAACAGAGAACAGAGAACAGATAACAGAGAACAGAGAACAGATAACAGATAACATATAACAGAGAACAGAGAACATAGAACAGAGAACAGAGAACATATAACATATAACATATAACATATAACATATAACATATAACATATAACATATAACATATAACATATAACATATAACATATAACATATAACATATAACATATAACATATAACATATAACATATAACATATAACATATAACATATAACATATAACATATAACATATAACATATAACATATAACATATAACATACATATAACATATAACATATAACATATAACATATAACATATAACATATAACATATAACATATAACATATAACATATAACATATAACATATAACATATAACATATAACATATAACATATAACATATAACATATAACATATAACATATAACATATAACATATAACATATAACATATAACATATAACATATAACATATAACATATAACATATAACATATAACATATAACATATAACATATAACATATAACATATAACATATAACATATAACATATAACATATAACATATAACATATAACATATAACATATAACATATAACTATAACATATAACATATACATAACATATAACATATAACATACATATAACATAACATTAACATATAACATATATATACATATAACATATAACATATAACATATACATATAACATATAACATATAACATATAACATATAACATATAACATATAACATATAACATATAACATATAACATATAACATATAACATATAACATATAACTATAAGCATATAACATATAACATATACATATACATATAACATATAACATATAACATATAACATATAACATATAACATATAACATATAACATATAACATATAACATATAACATATAACATATAACATATACATATAACATATAACATATAACATATAACATATAACATATAACATATAACATATAACAATAACATATAACATATAACATATAACATATAACATATACATATAACATATAACATATAACATATAACATATAACCATATAACATATAACATATAACATATAACATATAACATATAACATATAACATATAACATATAACATATAACATATAACATATAACAGATAACATATAACATATAACATATAACATATAACATATAACATATAACATATAACATATAACATATAACATATAACATATAACATATAACATATAACATATAACATATAACATATAACATATATATGAGAATGAGTTTCATATATAAATTTATTGATGTCAACTCAAGCTTTGAGAAAATACAATTTAAGGATTGACCGAAATTTGCAAGTACCCAGTATGGCGTTCGCCTAACCACACCACATCATGCAATTCGGTTAGTTTTCGATTCGTATGTATGTTAGGAGAAATTAAACAAATGGCACAAATATTGTTGCGCAATATCGCCGAGGTCTTAAAACCAGTAAACTAAAAAGAGTTGAAGGCAGGGATATATGTATATATGTATTGTAACTGGGAATGAAACTAAGACTGAGGTTCAGACCAGCACTGAGACTGAGACTGAAACTGACGCTTTACTTACAACTGAACACTTACACTCCTATGTATCTTATGCTGGAGCCTGTCTAATCCAAATGCGGGCAAAACATAATATTGCAACATACTTGGCCGTAAATTCAAACGACTCAGCGCCAAATACGAGGGTGCGAGGGTGGCCACAAGCTGGCTGGCTGGCTGGCTGCCTGGCTGGCTGACTGGCTAGCTGGCTGGCTGGCTGGCTGACTGGTTGGTTAGTTGGCTCGCCTCGCTTCAAGTCGACTCCATCCAAATCGACTGACATAACTGGTCATTCGCATGTAGCTAGCTGCAGCTAAGGACACGACAGTGCAGCGCACTGCAGCTGCACAAACTGGAAATTCGCAAATGCAACTAGCATACAAGCCAGACAGTTGTTTCGACGGACAAAACCGGATTGACAATAAGTTCGAGTTCGCAGTTTGAGCAGCATTAAACAAGACGCAAATGGAGATGCAGCGGCAGTAAATACAGTTGGCCATTTCCCAAATTCGGAATGGAAGCGTACGACATAAGAGTTGAGGTCCAATCTTCTATGCTATCCCAGCCGAAATGTAGAATCCCCAGATGTGTTACATTGGACTCCTTTAGGGCTTGACTGGGATTTCATTTATTAAGCGAACTGTATATCAATATAAGCCATTAGGTTACCTTAATTTCCATACTAAACGCTTCATATTTTTAAATGTTAACTAACTTACAAAATATGTTAAAATATAGTTTCTTGAACCTCGCCATAAAACAAGAATGTCTCCTGAATTTAACATTTAACTTAACATCAAAATGAGTATGAATAGCTAACTCATTCGTGAATTAAAAGAGTATATTAGTTTTGTGCAATATCCGTCTTGCTGTCCATTAGTCTGTCCGTACGGCATCAAACCATTTCGCCGCTTTTGAAGCTATTGAAAACTAAAATTTGAAATATATAGAGTCGTGTGTAAGCTCCTCTTGCTAAGATATCCGATATGCCCCTTACTGGCGTGGCATACCGGGAAAGACATCCATGTATCTGGTATGAAAAAAACTCTATCAGTCAACCGCTGTGACAACCGCAGTATAAAAATATATAGTTAATGGTTCTCCGTATATATTATAAATCATCTGACGATACTCCAACATCGGCACAGACTGCTACAAATATATGTAAACCAATCAGTTATACAAATAGAGGTTTTAGTAATAATAATAACGAGTAATATTATAATTAAGGGCCTAACTTTAGCAGCGTTTGTACAGCTTGAAGTGGAAAGTGTGAAGTTTGTTAAAGTAAGTCAAAAAGCAGTTACACTTGTGCTATTCGTAAAAAATGTTCTCTCTAAAAAACATTTAAGTACCGGTCGTAATTGTTACACATTATTTCACGTGAAAAAACATGTCGAGCTTGAGCAGAGAAAGACGTGACCACTTAATGTTCTGTGCCGTTTGAGTTAATGTCTCACAACGCTTTTTTGTTTCGAATCGATACATAATCGTCAACTAAAGAGGTATTCAGTTATTTATCAAGCATTCTAAAGACCAAGAACAAGTTTTCCAGAGAGATATGTACAAATTCCAATTTGTTCGACTGTCTATAATTTCTTTAATATGAATCACAGAAGCCAGCATGAGCACTAGTCGAGCGCTTTCATTATTAAGCAAATATAGAAGTATATAGTTTAATTATTGCATGTTTTGAGTATCATGTACTTTAGTTGTCTAAACACAATTAATTTATTTTAAGCAAAAGTAAAGCAATAAAACTATTTAACAGTCTTGATGGCAAGCGTTTTCGAGGTTCTTATTCCGCATGCTAGATGATCTATATCAGTACATATGCGGCACAGTGTACAGCATAACCTACTTATTTGAAAGTAGTTTAAGCTCCGTTGTTAAAACTAGGTCGTAAGACGTTGGCAACTCCATGTTGAATGCAATGTAATTTGTCAAGGGCCAATACGTGTAAGTTTTAAGAATCTTTGGAAATACTCTATCCACAAAGTTTTATTCAAAAATAAAGCTGCATTTGTTAAATATTTTTTTGTTTTGCCGATTTGGAGCTTTTTCTTTCTCCAGCTCGCCTAATTAAATTATTTATTACATAACTTCCGTCTTATATATATGTTAGTAATCAAATTGGGACATAACTATTAACTGGAATGGTTATTTTAGTTTTGGGAGAGAAGAATCGGATGTATTCAAATATATCATTCATTCAATATATGTCCTCATCGCAATGTGTTACGATCTTTCAATTTTTGCTTTTTATAGAATTTTAAGATTCCAACTTTTTTAGTTTATGAAAGTTTATAAGAACGGACAAATGTAAGTGGCTGGATCGGTTAATCTCGTTGTCTTCTTGAACCGGAACCGCAATTCTTTTGCGTATATCAAAGATTTATAAAAAGCCATTTTTATTTCTTTAGTGTAGCAAAAGACCAATAGGAATTAAAAACGGAATTCAGAGAATGATCAAATTGCGTCAATCAAAAATATTTAAAATATATTTTACAATAGCTTATAAGTAACATTAATAATAAGAAATGTTTTTTAAGTACTATTCTATCGATACGTATTGCAAATTAAACCTTTTCATATTTCTTTCTTAATTTAAAATCAGCAAAACTAATTAATAAATTAGAAAATTTCATGTATTTTAACAAAATATAGCTTCGTCTTTCATTGTAGCAATGGCTTCCAGCAGTAGCAGCATTTTCCGCAGAAAAAGTCACAACCTAACACATGAGCCATATTGTGGTCTGAGAACCGCTGCAAGCAACACGATTTTAGATGCTAGCAAGCGAAGGCAAGAAGAATGTTACTATCATCAACCACCTACCTCCCAGCTTCACCTTCAACAACAACGTCAGTGTCGGCCAACTTTGCAATTTGGCCCATGGCTGAGCGCAATGACCGCCTATCGATTGCTGACAATCAGCCTCCTAATTGGAATTCTGTGTCTACATCACGTTCACGGAGTGGATCCCAAATTCGACCCCTCAACGCGGATGAGACTAGTTCTGGTGCCGGCTGACGCACAGGTCGGGTCTGTAATCTACAGATTGCGTGCAACAGACGAGGAGTTCGACTATCCATTGACCTTTGAGTTTATGGGTGATGTATCCTCGTCCACCTTCAAGGTGGAATCGCTTCCATGTACCAAGTACAATTCTGTCTGTCAAGCAAATGTTGTACTGCAACGACGCCTTGAGTCAGGCCGCTTCTACGACTTTCAAGTCTCGGTAAAGGACACAACTGGTGGCATAGCTACGCAATTGTGTTCAATTACAGCAACCAACTTTAGTACACCACATGACCTCATATTTCCACATAAGCCGGGCATCATCATGATACCTGAGGTGAGTGCAGATCAAAAGATCTTAGTCTTTAAATTATTTTATATATATTTTCCCAATAATTCCTGTTCATTAAATTATTCACGAGGCATACAATTTTTTGGATCTTCTTAATAATATTTTATTTATGACTTCCGAATGTATATCGATATATATATATATATATATATATAAAATATAATATATATATATATATATATATATATATATATATATATTATATTTTATTTAATATCTACATATTTTTAAAATCACAATATATTTGATAATAAATCGATTTGCTTACTCTTTTGAAAGGATGCCAAGAGAGGTACTGAACTTGATTATGTAATTGCCCGAAAAAATCCACTGTTTCAAAAGCCAGTCTACCTCGAGCTATGGGTGAGTTAAAATGGGAACATATTAAAATAAACACTCAAATGTTTAAACTTTAGGGTTCGCCTTTATTTGCTATAAGACAAAAAATTATATCAGCTGAGACCACGGAGGGAACAGTTTTCCTATTGGGCCCTTTGGATTTTGAGAAACAAGCCATGTACCACTTGACAATTCTGGCTAATGTACGTTTATTTAGGTTTGCTTACTACTTAAGATAAGTAACTCTAAGCTCTTGTTCCACTTAGGATGCGTATGCTGAGCCTGGTCAAGATGGACGCAATATTGCTGGCATAGAAATTGTTGTTATCGTCCAAGACGTACAAGATCAGCCGCCTGTATTTACGATAGCGCCTCCAGTTACAAAACTACAATCCGGTATTCTTCCTGGCGATAAGGTAATTTGTTTATACATTCAAATAAAAAATGTGTTCTCATAATTCTTAAATCCAAGATATTGCAAGTTCATGCGGAAGATGGCGATAAGGGGAACCCGCGAGAAGTGCGATATGGATTAGTTTCTGAAAATAATCCATTTACTTCTTTTTTTGACATCAACGATACAAGTGGTAAGCCCTTTTTCAAGCAGCTATTGATAATACCTTCATACTTTCATACCTATCTATAATTAACAAATACATTTTCATCAACTTAATGTCACAATAACAATCGAATATTACGTAATGCCTATCATGGGGATGGCTAAGCATAAATACGCTTTAAGTTATTTCAAACATCTGACTCTCTACATTTTATATCATCAATCTAATATTCCATTATCTGAAATCTTTATTATGCAATAAGAATAGATGCATCTGGTATACACGACCACACTATATTCACTATGTGTGCATTTTTAGTACAGACAGCGCATTAAAGTCTCGCAGACTTTTTCTGGCTATAAGACGGAATTGGAAAAAAGTTGTTCCCCTTTAAACAGATTTGTATGCGCAGAGTAGAGTATAGAAAAAGCAAACCAATGACATCAAAAAGATATTAACATAACCACCAGCAATCGAACGGGCCAAACTTCAAGCCGGTCCATCGTTTGACTCGTTAGATGGCAAAGCTCATCTTCAATATACGCTGTGACCAAGTTCTGGAACTGCAATTTAGCTATAGGTTCAGCAACGTCGCCCTTCCCGCGGTCCCAGCCGCGGGCACAGTCAAGTCACAATGATTGCGGTTAAGCTTCCTTGTTTCGTGCTTCTCTGGTTCATTGCCAGTTTGACGGCAATGACTCTGGCAAGGCAGTGGAGCCTCTTCAGTCGGCTCTATAGACGTCGGTCGTTTATTGTGCTGGTTGAAGACGAGGCCTCGAAACACGTCGTGCCTTGGCCCAACTGCATTTCTGTGCATGTGTGTACTTATAAACTTTCGTCTGCAGCAGTTCTCCTCCTCCTCTTTTTTTTGAGAAGATATGCAATATTCTCGTTGGCTTTTTGCGTATTTTAGCAATTTCATAACTTATATTTCTACTTTGTGGTACTTTTTATGCAAAATTGGGGCAAACATCAATATCTGCAAGTACTTTTGACTACAAAATATTCATGCTCGGCCCTCAATAAGCCTGACAACAATTTTGTGATCATCCTTAACATCAGATTTATTGTAAATTCAGACAGATAAACACTACGCCAAGCTAAAACACTTTCTTTACTCTGTGAATAAGTATACAAATTTACATTAATGTTCCATTATTGCATCGGCCTAGTCAATTAGTCTCTTGTAAAGAGGGCTCGGTGTATTTTTTTCTCGACGGAAACAAAAGTGTTCCCAGGGCTGTCAAGCGAGTTATGTTTGTGGTTATAAAGGGTTTACTTCAACAAATACTCAGTAGAAAAAAGTAATCTTTTTTCCAGCACAAAAGATATGTGAGCTAAAGGCATAATCGTTTTCTGCAACTGGATGCAGCAAATTGAAGGTGCATCGCCGACCTCATTAAGTTTATCTAGTCATCAACTCGGTCTATCCCACAAAAAAAATTTGTAATTTTTTATTGACTGACTTTATTTTTATTAACTGATGCCGATTTAAACAGGATGTAAATGGAATTTATGTAGAATATATGTTTACACTTCTTAGACAGGCTCTCCTTATATGTATACTTAAATAAAGCTGCATCACACTCACAAGCAATTTCTCGCTACATTTGTAAACGAATTAATGTATAAATTTGTGTGCGTCATTGTGTCCGGTTTCAATTTCATTCAAGTGTTTCACATGTTTTTTCGTGATATATCGCATTAAAATCTATCCTTTCATATCCCTCCTTAGAGAGAGTATTAAATAATATAAATAATAACAGTATTTTAAAAGTAATTTTAATACGTTTTTTGATCAATAAGTAATAGATACTTCGCGGAAACTGCATTGTTATATATAATTCGAAAACATCTCCCTCCTAAAGCACTCTTCCTAGCTGAAGTCTGAATAAAAATAAAATCGAATTGAGGAACCTTACAAAATACATTTTAATTTAAAATATAATTACATCATTTTCCAGGTGAAATTTTTTTAATGAGACCACTCGAAGATATTGCCGCAATCACGCATGCGGGTGATCCCGTCTTACTCACTGTAATTGCGGAAGAAGTTAAAGTCGGTCGTGACGAACCTGCAGCAATGGCTTCCACAGTGCAATTGGCGTTCTTCCTACCGGACCGTACTAACTCGCCGCCTTACTTCGAGAACGATCAGTAAGTATTTAAAGCATGAAGGCATAGAGTAATCATATATTCATATACATACACATCTCTTGCTCTAGTCGAAAGGTACCCTATGTGAATGCAGATATATAATTTTATGTGAAAATAAGTAAGAAATCTCTAGTCGGCTGCCCGACTAAGAGATACACTGATCCCAGTCTATCTGCGTTTCTTAATAAAAAAAAAAAACAAAGGAACGCGCGTTCTTTGCCGCCTGGCAACGAACCCAGAAAACTTCGACAACAAGCGCCACCTTTACCAACACCAATACTGTATTGATTCCGCAAAAAGTTTGAAATCTCAACTTAACTAGCAGCTGATAATTTAAGCACAATTCAATCGCAATTTCAATTCTTCGAATATAAAAGAATGAACGCGTTTGAATGTATGTAATCACAGGTATAGGAAAAACACGTGCAGTTGGCGCTACTTGCCTCGTTCTTTTGCAAATTTGCCAAAGATTTTACTTAATGAATTTTAATGAAATTTCCAACTTATGATCTACATATTCGATTCGAGTAATTGTTAGCTTTCTAAAATGCAAAACTCCTTCACATATTGCCCTTATTTCCAACTGAAGTTAAATTTAAGGAATTTAGGAAAATTAGGAGTCGGTTTCCAAAACATAATAAAAATCAAAATATAAAACTAAATAAAAAAATTGGAGGCTCTGGCTTTGAACAGAACGATATCTAATTTAATAACCGCATTCCTATCATGTTCTTAATCGATAACAATAACGGGAATAGTAATCGATTATTTGAACAAACTTGATATGATATGAAAAAGTTGCAAGTCTCTAGTTCTTCTAGATGCTGAGTTCACTCATACGGACAGACAGACAGATGAGCAGGGCTCAATCAACTCGACTCGATCAAGAATATATATACTTTATGTGGTCTGCCACGCCTCCTTCTGGTACATACGCCTGGTACATACATTTTAATAAAACCATTATGGCCCAATTTCCCATTTTTAATGGGATCAGGGTATGTCATTGCCATTGTCAGTCATATTACCGGCGATTGGTGATATAATTAAACAGTCAGAGCAGCTTTTGAAGAGCATAATTTCTAAATATTCTTGATCAGAACAACAATCTGGGTCGATATCCCAATATTCGCCCTTCCGAACCCCGAAGTGTCTAAGATATATGTATTTATGTGTTATATATAAAATAAAAGGAAATAGTAAATAGCGATGCCTTATTACCTCATACGCTTATTACCTCATTCTTTTGCTGTGATAGCTATAAAATCCGATATTTCGACCGATGCTAGGAAATAAGAGGTTTATTAAACTGGAAAAAACAAATTGTATTAAGTTTTTATTTTTAGTCATATAGCCATACTCATTCCAACAACTTGGTTTTAATTTTTCTTTAAGCTATGTATCGAGGGTTGACGAAAATGCCTTGCAAGGGACAGCGCTGACGTTCGTGGACCCATATGTACCTCGGGTGTATGACGACGATACTGGGAAAAACGGCGTATTTTCGCTGACATTACTTAACAATAATGGAACTTTTGAAATCACACCCAACGTAGCAGAGCGAAGCGCTTCGTTCCTTATTCGAGTACGAGACAATTCGTGGTTGGATTTCGAGCAAAGGCATTCGGTTCAGTTTAACATTCTCGCCCAGGAATTGGGACCTGCCACAAATCTTTCGGCCATGGTAAAAGTCACTGTATACATAAATGACGTTAACGATAATACGCCCGTCTTCGATCAACCGGGTTACACGGTAGAGCTGCCGGAAAACATGACAGTGGGCACAAAAGTCGTTCAGGTTCATGCAAGCGACCTCGACACGGGGCTGGGTGGAAAGGTGCGCTACACCGCAATCTTGGGATACCTAAATACTTCCCTCAATCTAAACGCGGAAAACGGGTTGATTACTGTAGCAACCAATAGCCATGGCTTCGACCGCGAATTAATGCCGGAGTATCACCTGTATGTAGAGGCGCGGGATATGGACGGCGTTGGCAATCGAGCACAGGTTCCCCTTATTATCAAGCTCATTGATGTAAACGATGAAGTGCCCGTGTTTGATAAGGACCTATACGAATTCATACTCGCAACCGACCTAATGAGCTTTACAACCAGCGCAATTATACATGCCACTGACAAGGATGCAACACCGCCAAACAACGAGGTGCGCTACGAGTTAATCAATGGCAACTATGAAAATAATTTTGTACTGGACAAGGTGACGGGTGAGTTGACAGTCCGCGAAAAGATCAATCTTCGTTCCAAAAAACATGCCAGCCAGAGAAGACGCCGTGATATTGACGTCACGCCGCCAACCGACAATGAAGACGACTTATTCATATTGACCGCTCGAGCTTACGATCTGGGGGTGCCTGTTCGATTTTCGACCACCACCATACGCATTTATCCACCAGAAAGTCGAAAGCGCATTGTGACATTTGTGGTGCCTGGCAGTAAGCTGGATAAACGGAAGACAGAGGAAACCCTGTCAGCCATAACGGGAGGAAAGGTTTACATTCATGAAATTCGACCACTGCGACCGGAGGAACCGGGTGCTAAAGATATACCCAACGACAATCCAAATATCAAAGAACGAAGTGTAGTCACGGCGACCGTGCTGTACGACAGCTCATCTGTAGTGGACATCTCGCAGATACAACAGAGACTCTCGCAGCATAATAACTCATACGCGATCATGCCAGAAGACACAGCGCGGACCGACGTAAGTAATCCTATCTTTGATTGCTGAATAACTAATAGCTAGTGTGCGTTAATAGAATCTCACTCCCTTGCAGACACAGTATAAGGCTGAAAACAAGGTTTTATTTTGGCTCCTTATACTACTGGCCACACTGGTTGCTCTTACCATATTGATTCTGCTACTTTGCTGTATTTGTTCGTGGTGTCCTCTGTATGGCGCAGCAACGTAAGTAAAATGTGGAGCATAGTGCTCCGAAAGAGCATTTTAAAGACAATCCTATACTTTCATCCCTTGCTTCTTGAATCGGTAACTTAGTCTCGGTATTTAATTCAACACTGGAGGATATACCATTCAAAGCTATACGAAATGCCAAAACGCTTCAATATCCTAATTCGATCCTCATTCCATGTTGTGTGTACTAAATGATAATACTTTCTATTACTCTTAAGAAAAGATAATAATATTCCTAAAATCTAAACAACATTTTATATTTGTTAATAATAATAGAATCAAAAGGGAATAAGAATACTTTTTAATGTTTTTATCGATCACTTTCAAGCACGTACTCTAGTACTCTAGTAACCATTAACAGTGCTACTATATATATAAATATATATATATGTATACAGCTGTGTAACTAGTTCAAGCACATATATATTTGTATATACTAAAAATAATCAAACAAATAAAATGTATACATTTCCCGTTAGCGTGTATATTTTCCAAAAATATATTCACTCTAGTATCGTACCAAAGACTAAGTACAGAGTTCAATGTAGTGAGGAAAATATAATAATATATCTTTAAAGCGCATACCATTATTAACCATCGAAACACCACTCACTTCATATTTAATTGTTTACTCTTTTCTTGTAGCAAAAGAATAGTTAATATCAGTAGAACTGAAGACGATGTACATCTAGTGCATAGAGAAATGGCAAATGGAAACCAAACAAAATCTGTTCAGGTAGATTTTGATCGATTTCAAATTTTTAGCATTTCGAAATATAGCAAACATTAAACACTTCCAAATGGCAATTTCGTTAGTAAATTCACTCTTTAGTTTCAATATATTTTATTTTCAAAATACCCAATCATTTTTATTTCCATCTATAACCTTTCACATATTACTTTTAATAACAACTGCCTTATATCCGATTTTTGTAATGTATTTTCAAAATTCAACTATTTTAACTATACAAATCTGATTATTTTCTCAATAGAAACTGTAATTTGTATGCATATATTGATGTCACAATCGTTTTACAGGTCGCAGAGTGGATGGGAAGACGAGAGGCTTGGTCAGCGGATAAGCCATCAAATACACGTACAAAACCTACCCGCTGGGAATTCCGCGATGGACGTGAACAGTCTGAAAACGTAGAAATGCAACACGCAGGCGTTAATACCGATGGCGATGCAGTCCGCCACGCAGAAGCTGAGGAGTATCAGCAAAGACGAGTCCGCATTAAGTACTGCCAAAATCTTGCACGCATTACTAAAATGGAATCAATAACATAATTATTTTTCTACAGAAACAGCCATACAACCAAAGAAGACCCTCATCATAGTTTCCATAATTCTAGAACCAATTTAATAAACGATCGTGACGTATATATTGAGGACGTAATGGACGATCAACACTTAGTCGAAATTAAGGAAAAGTTCTCCCGTAATAAGGAGAATAGGCCATTGGAGAATAGTCGGTTGAAAAACTACGATTCTGATGCCAGACAAATTGACGATGACTCTATGCGAAGGCACGAGATAGACCGTGGAAGCGACATCGACTTTAATACTGCCCAAAATAGTCTCAAGAATAAGCGCGAACTTTTTATAAAGGACGGAAATGTCGAGATCTTACAGCTCATGACGCGGGATAAAACCCGAGACGGGACTGTATTAGATGATGACAATATCTACGTGAATGTTCCAGTTAAGTCATCAGCAAACCTTTCACACCCACAACTGTTGATGGTGGACAATACGGGTAAGGAGATATTAATGCGCAGATTCATTGAAGAGCAGCCAGATGGAAAGCAAATAATACGAGAGCACTATCACATCGTACCAGGCGCAACATATATTCAGTCAATGCCAAACGAAATACAAGGATCAACACTTAAGGGGGACACATTTCCCCTGGGTAAATCGGGACCAAATAGTATTGTTTACTCGCAAACCGAACCTGAAGTCAAGGTTATACATACCCAGTCAGTTCAGGGCGCCGAAGACATATCTCAGCTCCAGCCCGTTGTTGCAAGTCAGTCGCTTACAAATGAACTGGAGCACTCACTCAAGCAACAAAATGCGCTATTACGTCAAATATTGCTAGAAAAGGAAAAGCTAGAAACTAGATATACACAGCACGAAATAATCTTAGAAACCCAAAGTCTTCCGGGCCAGTCGATGGCTATAGGAACACAAACTGACTGCGACGCTGGTACACAAACCGAGCAGACCGAAGCCTTTAATAGCAAGTTAATGGTCCACTCACAGGCTCAAGTGGGCTTTACTCGACGGCGAGCACGTAGTGAAAATGATGACTCGATGTCGGAGGACGAATACAAATATGTGCGCTTTAGTCCCCCGAATAGTCCTGAAGGTGTGTACTGGATAAAGCGCCATCAACCCAAAAGACGACTAAGGATACGCGGCAGCTCACAGCCTCGAAAAAGAATTGTAATGGTTGAAGAGGTGAAGCGCAAAATCAAAACACCTATAAAGGAGGAGGAGGAAATACACGAGAAGAAGAGGAGAGTACCACCTAAAAAGCCACTTCGGGAAACCAAAACGAGTATTTTGCGAAAGCAATTGAGTGATGAAAGCCGAAGAAGTGATGTTGCCAAAGAGTCCAATGGCAAGCACAAATCTGAGGCTTTAAGCCGTGAGGTACTTATGGAAATATCCGATTCACTAGATGAAAACGGCAGTCCAAGAGCGCGCAGAGCTCAACAGTATTATGATAACTTTGAGGGAGAAGTCGACGAAAATGACTCCGAATACTCAATTGATTCCGATGATGATGAAATTGTAATTAGAACAAATTCAAACTTACCGGGCTATGCATATCAGCGAAATGTGCTCGTTACGAAGTCCCGAGACTCTGGGCGTTACGAACTACAAGTAAAAAACTCACCCCATCAAAGTAAATCTGTAAGCATTTCTCCGCCGTCGGAGACTCAAGAAATAACACCTGAGGCTAAGCCCAGACTCTCCCGTAGAGACAGTTCGAGACGCAGTCAACACTCACGAAAGCAAACATGTTCGGAGCCCCCGCATCATCGTATTTCAGTTTCAAAGTACGATGTGCAGAGAAGCGAAAATGAGAAGGACTCACATAACAATTCCACTGAAATAGCTGTTTCAAAGCAAGCCGCAAATGATCGAATGTACCAAAGTGAAACAGAATTGGCCGGTCACGATGAATCAACTACTCGAAATGTACCCAAATATATGGAATGGTATTATAGTAAAAAGAAACCCTCTTTAAGCGGTCGAACTTCAACAGAGTCATCAAAATCCCAGTTGTCAATCAAAAAGAAAAAGTCTACCCCAGAGAAACGTATGTCAAAAACAAGAATGAACTTAAAATCCGAAAATCAAGCATTGAATGATGAGGCCGCCAGATTCAAACCGGAACCGGCGCCTCGAAGAACTCCACCAAAGGGCAATCGGCTGCTCAAAGAAGATAGAGCCTTAAACAAGCAGCACAAACCCAAAACAGAGACTGACACCAATCATCCGCTGCTGCAGCATTCTGAACATCGTTTTGAACGGGAAAATGCTCCGGAAGTGCCACCACCACCCACCAAGCTACCACACTACATGTACCCGGAAACTCCGCCACATGCGACGACTGCGGACAAAGATCATCTATCGCAAAAACATAAGCCGAAACCCTCCCCCATCAAGGAGAACGAAGTAAAGTTAACAAAATCAAAAATAAATCTTTATGTTGAAGATCCAAATGCCGCTCAGCTGCCATCTCATGCACAGAAACAACTGAATGCATCAACTCTCGAGGATGATCACGACTCGGGCATCGCCATGAATTCACTAATGAATAGTATGGGACGCAGAAATCCTATAGCCGAAAAGAAAAGCGTCTTTTCAATTGCTTATGACGATGTCAGCCGCGTCAAGAAAATACCATCAGGTGGAGAGTCTCCGCAGTACTCATAGACATCAATAAACATTTTCAGTTATATATTATATATATATAAATATATATATATTTATATATGTGATAGCCTCTAAGGCTCTTAATCTTTGAAGCGACAAATTGATACAATCGTTGCGATTTACTGCAAGACACTTGTATACAACGAGCCTGAATACTCAACTCACATATTGTTTTGTATTGTAAATATCTATAAATAAATTAGAAATGAATAAGGGCGTGCACAAATGTTGATATTAAGGATTATTAAATAGTTTTTATTTTACAAAAGACATCCAATAAATACTCGAATCACATCGATTAACGACTCTTTATTATTAGTTGTGTTATGTAAGAAGAATTCCATTGATTTTACGCCATGTGCTCAGAAATGCTTCATTTATTTTCATATTCCTATTAAATGTTGCAATGCTATTTTGGGACACAGTTCCAATCGCTCTTATTGTTGTGAAGATGTATTATCCACAATTTATATGTAGTTAAGTTCATTTAAGAATTCTGTTCCTATGTACATCCTACCAAAATGTTTTGGGTATATTAGTTTACTTACACTTATCAAAAATTTACCAAGGACTTTTTTATTTACATTTCTTTTACACAATATAAGCATCCGCAAAACTATTTAAATTCTAATATTGGCTATCGACTAAATTGTCCAATAGAGTTTGTGAGTTATCAAGAATTTCTATGCGCACTTCATACATTTGTTTCGATTTTTAATTATACAAAATAATATTTTAAGTAATTATTGTATCGCAATTTAGTTTAATAATTTTATGAATTTTGTATTTTTGGCAACAAAATTGAGAGCCAAGCAACTTGTTCCAAGAAGCCACCCAGAAATTTCCAATAGCTAATCACCAAATGTTCCAGTGAGTTTACCTTTGCTTTCCTCTACATATCAAGGCGTAAATATTGAGAGCATATTAGCACAAGATATTCCTTCCAACCTTGTTTTATATGTCGAGACATTTATATTTCCATATATGCTTATTATTCAACAGTTCTTAAAGTGCACATAGAACTTACCAATTTAATGCAGTAATCTAATAAAATATCAAAAATGGAAAAAAGCATAATACAATGTTCGTCAAGCAGAAAGCGAAATATGTTAGAATCAGTCAAGGATCGTTTAAAGTTAAATTAAAAGCAGTGAATAAATATAGGCAATATTTAAATACAACGCGACCAGAGCTCCCTGACCACGCATTTGCATTTATTTTAATAATTTATGCCTGTTTCTTAGTCGATTGTCGCAAACATCAAATACTTAAGTAATAACTGCCATATTGACATAATACATATGATTAAATGAGCACAATCAGTTAAACTTCTTGTACATATGTATTTAAAAATAAGATATAGGCAAAAATACTTTCCATAAGAATATTGTGTACATATTTATTCTAAGGACATATATAATAGAAGCACCGATTTATTTAACACTCTATATCCTGGAAAATCAAATATTAATATTTATATTTACATTTAATATACAATATGTTTGAAATAAACAAAAATAAATACCATATGTAACTTTTTTATCTGATTATTGATTATATATTGCATACACAACTTACGAAGTTGCTGACTCTGAAATGTTTGATATCAACGAGTAAGTTTCAGTCGGATGCAACTGATTGCTCGATCAACAAAAACAATTCAAATTATTTAAAAATCGTTTTGGACTTGCCACGTCCCAATGAGTGGATTACATAATTTATATGCATTTCTGTGGAGGAGATCAACAGTGATCAAAACGCAAATGAAGTACTTTTTGCCGGTTTACCACTCCACATAATCTTGAGAGGGAGTCTACAACATCTGTACCGTTAATTTACCTGCATAGGGCTGCGGCAGATATAGCTTCTTTCTAGTTGCCTTCAAAAGAGCGTATATATAAGAGGTGAGAGCCATAGCAATTATTTTGTTTCTGGCTTAGAAATTGTTTGTTAGATTTGCACCCACTACACTATCTATATCTACCATATATTTTAAGTCAGGGTTTGCATACCTAAATGCATATTCCTAATTCTGTAGCTATAATAGCGTCTTATAGGTTAATATTAATATGGAAAGTTTGAAGATGATATGATTAATGAATGATATGAATATAAAGAGCAGACATAAACTGGATCAATATAAAAACAAAATTATTAATTACATATAATAAATGCTTTTATTGTATATTGACGAAAAATGGAATAAATAAATTTTTATAGTTTATAAGATGTTTTTTTGTTTTTATAAATATTTATCAAAGCTTATAAATAATGTTTGTATGTTATCGACGATTTCAAAGCAAAAATTTCATCGATCGATTCGTTTTGTTGTGTTTGAACTGCAGTTTAGGTCATTATGGTGGTCTGTTTGAAAAGGAAACACATCCCGTAAAAGCTAGTTTATCAAAGGTTATTTTTAATGTTGATTGGCACTAGAAATAAAAGAGTTTACAGACATGATTACATATTAAAACAACATATATGAAAAAAAAATCAGAATTGTGTCAATAATACCTCTCAAATTATTGATTTAAACCATTTTTGATTTTATCGTACGTATTCTTAAAGCCATCTTGAATGTCATTTTTAATCTTGTTGACATCTTGGTTGTCTTGCTCATGGTAATAAAAGAAGTACACAAGCAATCCGACAATTACAAACACCACAAAGAATGCACTAATTATCGATAGCAGCATGCTAAGTGCGCAGCTGAAGCAGCTGAAAATAGACAGAATTAAATATCAATTTATGTTGATAAATACTTAGTAATATACCAGCTTAAAATGTACATTATCCATGATTTGGAAATTATGATAAAGCTTAGATAACTGCCGAAATCAAATCATCTTACACATTACAAGTTTACTTACAGCATCCTTGCTTCAGTTTATATATTTATTATTTGTATACGCTGAACCCATTATCAGGCGAATTCTGGACTAACTCTTCGAATGTTGATTCTTCGTCCTTGAATGAATAATCCAAGCTCAGAATCGAGAGATTTGTTCAAATATATATCATATTGTCTTGTGTTCTATATGTACAAGTTTTTGAGATATCTTCAACCGAGTTAATTATCGGAGAACTAGAAATACTAACATTACTATTAACTATTATATATAAATATAAAATATATGCTTATAAAAATAAAATATTATATAATAGTATTTTCTAATTGAAATCGGACTGACGATTAAAGTCAATTACAACAGCTACCAACTAATAACGTGATATTGTTCATTTTAATTGAGTTTTAAAGAGAGGGATTCGCTGAATTTATTGCGCAGTTGATTAAATGAGGACATGAAGGAATCTGTTGAATACAAGAAACTTTGCATGCTAGTCGGATACTGCGGGTAGAGACAAAGACGTATTACTACAATCATCAAATACTATACATAAAATCTTTTTATTTTGTTTTTATAATAAGTTGGTCGATGCTGATAACAGATTACTCATAAGTAAGAGTCAAAATCGTAATTGAATACGCATTTTTAAGACATTTTCAAAAAAAAACAAATTTTGCAATATCTGTTTCAATTTTCTTGGTAATATAAATAAATAAATAAACTAAGTAATTATGCCTTTAGGCTGGGTGTAAATTGAGTTTTGTTCATATTAAAAAATATTGATCCAATGCGAGTAGCTTAGCTATGTAAAATAATCTAATAAAATTAGTCATTATTTTACCTAATGTTAATTATTTTTGCATTGTTTTACAGCGTAATTAACCAACCTCAAACTGTTCAGGATTATAAAAAAGACTGGTAGTAGGGGCATGCCCTCTCACTTTTGATGCTCATAAGCATTCTACATATCTACTTTTTGGGGTCGTAGATGCGGGGTTCCATAACTTACTCATTCTGTGGCAAAATGGGTGACATTAAACTAAAAATGAAAATAGTAAAGGCTACCCTTGTGCACGCAACCATGTTATTTCCTGGGTGCTTATGCATAAAAATGTCAAATTGGCGCCCAGCTGTCGACCAACTGAATATTATCCTGGGTGTGCGCTACCCCGAAAGTAGAACAAACAACAAAACATCGCTATGCTGTCTCGCCTGAGTGGAGCCGAGACAAGCTGGAGCCAGGCGTATACGCATTTGTAATAGAGATACAAAAAAAAAGAGAAAGTTAATGCATATATATACTTACATATAACTAACTTACATATAACTGTGACAAAGGAGGGTGACAGTGTCTGGCAATTAGTATATACTATACATTACTACATATTTACATTCGTACAATAATGCTATTTTGTCATGAAACAGGATAAGGAATTTCTGCGCTATGAATAATTTTCCATTTGAATAATAGAAACAACCACGATGTTCCGAGTTCTCATCTCAAGCTAGTGTAGTATGTAATATTCACTTATCGTAATAGCTACCATAGCTAGTAATTCTTAAAAAACTGGCATTCCGATTACTTCTCATATGGAATATTTAATTTGATAACAACTGAATAATAAATAATAATTAAAGTTATATAGACATGATTCATAATAAACAAGTAAATAACTTTCGAACTTGTTTTCCTAGTATCACACCTTAATGGACAGATCATATAATATAACTGTCTTTCTCCAGAGAATTCCAACTCTAATATATGGATGGTACAGTTTTTGACCATATGCTGCTCCTCAATATATATGATTATATTCTTACATGCCGCTATTTTAAATTTCACGACTTCATTAGACTTCATTATATATATATATAGATGTATATATATGTATATATATATACAAAAAATAAAACTTTAATATTCTATATATTTCAGCATGTTACATTCTTCCTCAGAAGTGCAGAGTAAAAATATACTTAGATTTATTTTGGTTTATGTCAACGCTTAATACTTTACCTTGCTATTTTACCGGTATTTTCGTACATACACGTAGATATGCAAATTGAATGCAGGCAGTCTTGCTGCTGGTAAATAACTTAATCTCAAGCGACAACTTTGATATGGAAACATTTTGGTCCACTTTTGTTATCTCACTTATATTTAGATGTGTTTTCATGCATACAGACTGACATACATACATACAGGAAACTAGCAAAGAGATGTTTAATCAAATTAAAGAATATCATAAAATGTAAACTATGATCGCAATATTTAAAATTAATTATACAGACACAAATACATGTATAATGTATTTGCAGCTTTATTTGCCATATATATAATCCATGCACATACATATAGATGTGTGTGCTCTTGAATATCGCTTTACATACAAATATCCAAGTACGCAACTTTTTTATTCATGCACGCACATACATGTATGTATGTAGACACGCACATACAAATACAGTCAGTCTATTTGTATTTCATGAAACTTACCAGCATGCAACGTTTCCGGCTAAGCATTTGCACATCTTGAGTTATTTATTTAGTCGTTATTGAAATATAATTAAATTAGCTGCTGGGTTTTTGCGGCAAAAAATCTTCGAACGTACAAACGTAGAGCGTGTATATTTCGAATTTCTGTACTCTCGCAACAACACACAACGTACCACGCCTGAGGATGTTGAGACACTGAAAACGAAAACTGTCTGGTCTGGTAGCTACTCGGCGTTTGTGAGAGAGACGGCGGTATGTATGCATACTCATATATATATATGCGCACATAAGTACGGTTTACTGATCTAAGGCATGGTGTAATAATAAAAGGTTGAACCGTGCGACACCAGTTTTCAGGTACTCAGAATAAAAGAGAACTCGAAATTATTTTGTTTTTGTATTTGTATTTTACAAATGTATGTATATATTAATTAGCTTCTATTATTCACAAGGCATATATACCTATATTTTTATTTATTAATGGAAATTTCTCTACATGCCCATTTTTAAGATATCAAACTATAGTACCAATATTCATATAGTTTTAGAACAATGAGGTTGGTGTTGATGGTTTTTGTTCTGTAGTTACGTAGTTTATGATGGATTTACTCCTAGCCAGTCAAATTGTTTCCAAGCTATTTGAAATGAAACAAAAAACTCCAACTAGAAATGTACGAGAACGCTATTGAAAAACCAGCTGTTGAAAGCAAATGCATCCGAGTCTCGATCACCACCAGCACTACCACCACCACGCTTTCCACAAGTTGTAGAAATCTACAGTAAATATCTGAATATGAAGTATTTGTTATAATTTATTTATAAATTTATATTTGTATGTTACAATTTTTCTTTAATACATAAATTAAAAATTTCATATTTTATATGAAAAACTATGCTAAATTGACTTGAACATATTTTAAGATGTTAAATCCCGGCAAGGTGATTTATAAATTATCGGATAAGCATAATCCTTAATCCGTAATCCTATAACTTCGTGGATTGTAGTGGGCGCCCCAGAAAGTAAAAATTCAAATTATTCAGCGGCATTAGATTTGAAATATAAAATTGAAAATACGTCTTTAAATTTGTATGAATTGGCTATTAAAACCTGGCCCACAGATTGCGCAGGTTTAAGAACCATACATTTACAAAACGTGAAAATTATATTGCACAGTGTAATTTGTATGGACGAAAGCGAGCACAATGAGTATGTAACAAACACACACACGTCTGTGTGTTATGCACGGTGTAAGTGCTGCGCCTGCGAATGCTATGAAAATGGTGGAATCATTGAACGATGGAACGGCTATGGAGAGTTTCTGTTTTACGGTTTGTTTGTATGTATCTGCATACAGCTACTGCTTTATGCATGCCTGGTAGATGTTGAGCAAGTCGATGGCCACAAACTGGTTTTTTTATTATCGATTTTATTGGATTGGACATTATTTGTACTCATAGAAGAATAAAACAACATGAATAAATATTTAATAAGAACATTTTTTGTATCCTTAACGACTATTAAATATTTTGTGTTTAGGAATACAACTTTCACTCTGTGTTTTATGCTCAATTTTAATTCAGTTTTCGTAATAAAGGTCCTTTCATATTTTTGGTTAAACTTGGACTGCATTTTTCGGACTGTGATAACTTTTTTAACAATAAATATGTAATAACTTTTTAGGCATATCTCGCAGGATATTCGTGTTGGGGTTTCCCTATAGGGCCGTGATTCTTGATTCCATAAGTAGGTACAGGGTATCTACATATGCGTTATTTAGTCACATCAATAAAATTATGTGAAATTAATTAATTCCGAATTTATAAATAATAAATTATTCTCATACATCTAAACTTAACAAACATGTATGCTTATTTAATCAAATAACTTGAATTTTGTTATATTTTCTGTGAGTATATATCGTACAAATTAAAATATAATAAATAAGAAAAACGAATAACAAAAAAAGTATTTTTCTTTAATTTAATTTAACAATCATTTTAATAAATGAAATTTATATATGTGTAATCGATACATCGATATCTTAAAAGCAACTTTGCATTTGATGTATCGAAAACCATAAACAAACCAAATTCAACTGATGAAAAGTTAGATGGCAGCATTAATTGAAATAGAAGATGACTACGAACATGTGGAAAATTTAGAATACATATTAGAAAATGTACTCATGCACGATGACGGAAGTCCAGAGTTCAGAAACCTAAAGGACGACTTCAATTCTCAGCTGACTTTATCCTGTAAATGTTCGAATAATAATAATTGCTGCAATAATATTGAATTTTGTCACAAGGGAGGACTTAAATACATGCATGTGAAGGATGAATTGGTTTTAATGCCAAATGAAGATAAACAATTTCGATCAATCGTTGAGTGTAATGATCTTTGTGAATGCAAGGCTACTCAATGCCTAAATCGTCGAGTGCAATACGGACCTCGACAAAAACTAGAAGTTTTTGATTCACCATTATATAAATCGAAAGGATTACGTACTGCTGCAGATATTCCCAGCGGGGCTTTTATCTGTGAATATGCTGGCGAGCTTTTAACTCTATCAGAGGCTCAGAGACGCATTAAATTCGTTGATCGAAATGGCCAAATGAACTACATTTTATGTCTTTATGAACATTCTAATGTACAAAGTTCAAAAATTTTGCTTACTATTGTGGATCCATCTAAACGTGGAAATATCGGTCGTTATCTAAATCATAGCTGTCAACCAAATTGCCAGATTTTACCCGTACGAACTAACTGTCCCATACCAAAAATTGGTAAGCGATTAGCTTGAGAGGATTATTAAAACGTTGTTTTTATTTCTGATTGAATCTGTTGTAGGGATCTTTGCTAAACGTGATATTTGTGCCAATGAAGAATTATGTTTTCACTATGCTGGGGAAGATTCTTACAATGGAATGTTAAATGGAAAGCCTTGTCTGTGTGCTTCCACCTGTTGTAACGGTATTATTCCCAATACACAAATTTAGAAAATTCATTCATAGCATTTATTAAAAATAAATGGTCTCTATATTTTATCAAAGTTTATTAGAAATATCAGTATTTAAAGGCGGCAACTTTTTTGCTATCCATTCCTGCAAATCGAGAAGTGAGCTTCGTTTTAGTTCGTGTAATGTGTTCTTTAAAGGTATAAATGTGCCTGTGATACCCAATTTTTGCAGGGATTCAAATGTCTCCAGCCCCCATTCTAGAGGAACCAGTGTATCGCGCTCTCCGTGGAACATACGAAGTTCAGGCAGTGTGCTTTTTGGTTGTTTTTGGTTTTCCAAAGATTCGTAGACCACAGATTTACGATTGAGGAAAGATGAGTGGGCAAATACGCCAGCTAGACCAGTATTTAGATGGTAACCAGTGTGTAAAGCTAAAGCCCCACCCATTGAAAACCCACCGACAATTATGCGATTCAAGGGTATACCAAGGTCTATTTCATTCTGGATTAGCTTCTGGACAATTTCATAACTCTGCGACATGCTCTTTTTGCTTTCTTGTGCTGCGATATTAACTGATCGTCGATCGAACCACACTGTGGACAGCTGTCCATTTAATGGTGTATATTTTTGCGTTGGAGCTGTTGGGTATATCAATTTTACATGTGAAAGGTCAAAATCTCGCCCAAGTAAAAACCGGACCCATTCTATTAGATTTGGTCCAGTATCGCCAGAACCGTGGAAGAATATCACAGATGCGCTGTGCTTTCGTATACTCGATGTTGCCATAATTATAATTATTAGAACTATAATTAATATAATTTTTCGTGTTAAGAGTATTATGCACAGTGAAAAGCCTACAGAAAATAGTACAAGTGACCATTACTATTAAAATTGAACAGAATTTTACATGGTAAAAAATACTGAAAAAATTAAGGGTAATAAAACAAGGTATAGTAATCTTTAATCTTTTTTACAATAAGATGAATGTTCAAAACTTAAAAATATAAAAAAAAAAATAACATAAAAAAGGAAGTGACAAATAGGAATATCAGCACACACTAATATAATCCAAATAAATTTATTTAAATTATATTTTCGTGGAATATCCATAATGGTATTTTTGGTTATATGGTAACACTGAAATGTTTTAGTTGAAAGTTGCGTCAGGTTGTGGCTGTGAGTGCAGCGAACGAATAATAAGAAACGGTATAATAATTTATAAATAAAATGTAATTAAATATAAAAAGTATACGAATTTATGTGTTATTTATTCTTTGAAAATGTTACTTTCATTTTAATGATGTGTTTGTTGATGTGTTTTAAATGATTAAAAATAATAAAACAAAAGTTACCAACGTTTTGGCCAATTTATCAGCTGTTTGATACACATAACAGAATTAAACAATTTTTATATACACGTGATAGTAAGATTTTCTTTGAATGTACATATCTAGAATGATTACAATTTAAGAATTATCCGCGAATATTGTATGAATGTACTGGCAATTACGGTAACTCATGATCTCTGTTAGCTTCATACAGATTGACAAAATCAACAAGTTGTTGGTGGTTAAGCATGCAAGAAATTACATCTGTAAATGTACATTCATATTGCGGTATGGACATTTCCATATTAAAATATCTTTACAGTAATAACAAAAGTTGTTTCGCTCTCAGCTGTACTGAGTATTTTTATCTGAAGCATTTGTTTATACACACGTATGCGTATGTAAATACCGCGCATGAATGCATGCAATTGAACATGTGTGCATTTGTGCCTTCTCATCATGATTTGACACTATTTCTCTCTCTCTCTATCGTTTCCATTCTATCTATGTATTTGTGTTTATCGCACACTTGATTAAGATAACGTGAAGGGAACTCCTCGCGCTCAAGATAGGCGTATTTTATGCAGACTCATGCCAACAGCACGTCACTTTAGAATGTAAGTGTGTGTGTTTGCAATCACACATATGTGTTTATGTATGCACATATGTATGTGTTTCCGGCACGTAACCGAACCTATAGTATGCCATCTATATATATATTTAAATAAGTTTAACAAGTAAGTTTGTTGGCGATTAATCCACTTTTTAGTTATTGAATTATTCTTAATGGCTTTATGATGTGCATGATCACAACAATTTAAGTTAGGATTTTGAATATTTATAAAGTAATACATAACAAACTCTAACATTTTTATATTTATTTATATTAACTAAAGTAATTAATGATATGCTATAAAAAGAACACATAAATAGAATCAAATTAAAAGCGAATTTACCTACAATATATACAACAGCTTGTGTAAAATGATTTTTTGTCAGGACAATATATTTCGATATTTTCCATTCTGGGTTAATTCTAAATTGTTTCTCGACCTAGATGTACCTAAAATATTTAACAGATCTATCTTATAAACTGCATTATAAATTTTGTTAACTCACAATTAATGATAATTGTTTGATATTTAAGTTTATCGCTGATTTTTCGTATTTGAATCATGACATTGCATTTGACTATCTATAAAAGTTTGCACCTTAAATACCCTAAACTTATTCTAAATTAGTAACGAAAAGAAAACAAGAGTAAAAATCTGTCAGGTTTTTAAAAACCTTTCTTCGTTTACCATTTCTCCAAACTAATCTATAAAAATAAAGTTGATCATTTTATCCATATATTATTCCTTAGGCACGATGTAAAAGTTAACAGAGTAAACGCATCCCGTAACTCGTCACAACGTACATAGCGATACCACCGTTACCTGTCACCCGTTACCAGCTGCGTAGATTTGTAGTGAGGGGATGACAAAGCAGAAATTTGATCAGTTGATCAGTACGCACAATCAGTCAATGTCGAAGTTGTTAGCTCAATAAGCTGATCTCTTTCAGTTCGTATGTGTTGAATCCAAAAAAAAAACCTCTGAAACAAAAGGTTATATAATTAAACAAAACCAATGTGGGATATATGTATATATGGTGTAAATTAAAATATAAATGATATGTTAGTGAATTATTGATAGCTTACTATCTAAGGTCTCGCAGTAATAAAATGATTTTAACTTGAATTTAAACATCGTAGAGTACACAGAAAACGAACCATTCTACAAAACAAAAGTTTTGCTCGGCATATTTTTCGTGTAGTCGTTGGACTTTGCGCTCACCTGGTAGCGTTGACTGGCTTTATCGCCAATTTTTTTTTTAATTTGACAACACGGTCGAACTGCTACAAATCGGATTTGTATACTCTGTTGACAAAATGGGAAACTTCTAGTCGGGTGGAATCAACTATTCAATGCTGTGTTATTGATTAACAGACTAAATATTAATTATAATGAAATATGGACTGCGATATCAACAAACCGAACAATTGACTGAGAAATTTATCTGTTGATCCTGATACTGATTCTGAATATTTATAGTGTTTTTATTTTGAGTCAGGCCCGCTTTCTACAGCATGTTGCATACAACAATCCTTGTCAATGTTCGCAGGGTATAAAAAGAATTCTCATTGTTAAATTGATTTAGTTTCAAGATTTTGGAGAACAGAGTTAGAAATCTGATCAGCAATGTTTGTATAAGATTTCCGGAACTTTATATGCTTTCTTCTACATGTGGTTTACATTTGCTAAACACAAGTCTATTATAGACTTCTTCTATTATAAAAGGGTTTGGGGCGTAAATATAGAATGCTCTAGTCGACAGTGTAAATAGGAGATAGCCAGATTTAAACTGTTTCTAGCTACCTTTTTACTTACAGACATAGAGATGAACGAACACTCTGACAGTTGTTCCCTCTCAGCACCCTGCAGTCGTTTCGACTCTGCGCGTGCAATAGATGACCACGATGCAACAGACGATGACATGACTTTCTGCATGTCGAACTACGCTAAGGAAGCGCTTAAAATGATGTTCATGATGAGGTCGCATGGGATGCTTACAGACGTTGTGCTTGAGGTGAAAAAGGAGCTATTTCCTGCTCACAAGGTAGTTCTTTCCGCTGCATCCCCGTACTTTAAGGCCATGTTTACTGGCGGACTGAAAGAGTCTGAGATGTCACGCGTGCAACTTCAGGGGGTAAGTAGAGTAAATCCGGCTATATAGCTAAGACTTGTTACTATAATAGATGAACAGCACAGTCTATTTTCATAGGTTTGCCCAACGGCAATGGCCCGCATTCTTTATTTTATGTACACTGGACAAATACGTGTAACAGAAGTCACTGTCTGCCAACTTTTGCCAGCTGCAACAATGTTTCAAGTGCAAAATGTTATTGATGCGTGCTGTGCATTTCTGGAACGTCAGCTGGATCCAACTAACGCTATCGGCATTGCCAATTTCGCCGAACAACACAGCTGTAGCGAGCTACAGAAGAAAGCAAACTATTTCATAGAACGACACTTTATGCAAGTATGTTATGAGTAGTAAAAGTTCTTTTACTATTATGAGCCGGCATTCATTAATACAAATCCTAGGTATGTCAGGAGGAAGAATTTTTGCAGCTGTCTGCTTATCAATTGATAGCCCTCATAAGGCGGGATGAATTGAACGTGCAGGAAGAACGCGATGTATACAATGCTGTCCTAAAATGGGTGAAATACGACGAGGACAATCGCCATTCTAAAATGGAACATATACTTGGCGCTGTTCGGTGTCAGTTTCTAACTCCAAACTTCCTTAAGGAGCAGATGAAAAACTGTGACGTACTCCGTAAAGTTCCTGCCTGCCGCGAATATTTAGCCAAGATCTTTAAAGACTTAACATTGCACAAGTGTCCAGGCGTGAAGGAACGCACACCAAACACAACGCGTATGATATTCGTCGCTGGCGGATTTTTTCGTCATTCCTTGGACATATTAGAAGCATACAATGTAGATGACAAAACTTGGACTACCTTACCAAATCTGCGCATCCCACGTTCCGGTCTGGGCGCGGCATTTCTTAAAGGCAGATTCTATGCAGTGGGCGGACGAAATAACAACATTGGCTCTTCATACGATTCCGATTGGGTAGATCGTTATAGTGCGATTAGTGAGACGTGGCGACCCTGCTCACCAATGTCTGTACCGCGCCATCGTGTCGGGGTGGCAGTCATGGATGAGCTAATGTATGCTGTTGGTGGATCTGCAGGAATGGAATATCACAATACTGTTGAATAGTAGGTAGACATAACATTCACAAAGTAACAACTAATGTCATTTTTTGTTATAGCTATGATCCCGACCAAGATCGATGGACTCTCGTCCAGCCTATGCATTCTAAACGCTTGGGCGTCGGCGTCGTGGTTGTTAACCGTCTGCTTTACGCCATTGGTGGCTTTGATGGCAACGAACGTTTGGCCAGTGTGGAGTGTTATCATCCGGAAAACAATGAATGGAGCTATTTACCATCCCTAAATACTGGCCGCAGTGGAGCGGGTAAGATCACCCCTTAATCTTTATTAAAAGACGATAAACACTTATTTTTGTGAACCTTTTCCCATGAAGGAAATTTCAAGTAATTTAAATAAACTATAGGCTATATGTTGTGAATATTTTCCATGAAGCTTTCAAAAAGGGTAATCTCTAATAACTCAAGACCTTTGTAATTATTAAGAACGTTTCTACACTTTATCTATGCTTCTTTGCTACTGTCTGTTACATAAATTGTAATTAATTTTATTGTCATTGTTATATTGAGCTTAACGTATGAAACGTTTGTGTCTTTTCTGACAGCTAGCTCTACGATGTGGTAAAGTTGATCGGTTTTCGCTTGTTTATCACATGTGCAATATAATTGATATTATTCAGGGTTGATTTCTCAATTTAATTTACCTTAATTTCAGGTGTAGCCGCCATTAATCAGTATATCTACGTGGTGGGTGGATTTGATGGCACTCGGCAACTAGCTACGGTAGAGCGATATGATACAGAGAACGAGACATGGGATATGGTAGCGCCAATACAAATCGCACGAAGCGCTCTTTCGCTGACCACACTAGATGGCAAACTTTACGCAATTGGCGGCTTTGACGGCAACAACTTTTTGTCAATTGTAGAAGTCTTCGATCCGCGTTCAAACACCTGGGAACAGGGAACTCCATTAAACTCTGGTCGCTCTGGCCACGCTTCCGCGGTCATATACCAGCCTTCCTGTGCATCCACATTTATGGACTACGAAGAAAGTGTAACCCCCAAGCGTGATGACAGCAATGATGAAAGGCAGACCGATTCGTCGCAATATCCCTTTGGAGGCAAGAGTCTGACGTTTTCAGGTATTTCATCCAATATGCAGTTTCATGCTTCCTATGGTGCCGCTGGATGCCATAATTGCGAGTCAAATATAAAGCCAAATGATACTGCTCTGTTAGCATTGCGTAAGAAATATATAACAAATAAAATGACCGATAATAACTTAGGGAAATATAAAAATTGTCATTTCCCAAAAGCGCCTTCGAATCTAATCAATACACAAAGACGCTGCTTATTGACTCCAATGTATATAGCCATGCAAAATATAATACTTAAGAGCTGCGAATGGCACTACAAAAAGGACACAACATCGTCATGACAATTATTTGAATAGCAGATGCTAGCAATGGCTTTTGTGAAACCAAATAAGTTCATTTTAAGTCTAATCATTCACATACACACAGTTTATATTCCATTTCGTTAAACATTCCACATTTAACATACAAACGAAAAGTAGGTGTACTATTTAACAATTAAAAAAACTATTATTTAAGTCATGGTATTCAAAATATGTTTAGTAGATAATTATATGAATGTATGTAATCATACAAGGATATGCAATATAATAATATGCCTTTCATAGTTTCTTAAGTTTTTTAACGCATTATTAGGTAGGTCAAATAAAAATGGAAATTTCATAATATCGTATTATGAATATTGTGCTATAATACCTTGTACAAATTTCTTAGAATATGTCTACCATTTAAATATTATACATAAAAATATTACTATTGTAGAAATCAATTTAATTTAAGCTTTAAATAGTTACTTATTGATATAAATGTAAAGAATTCTAAAAATAATGCATATCTTAAAGATTTTGCAATAAATGTGTACAATACCTGTTTAATCGACAAAGTATTTATTTTGAGATTATTTCTACATCGAATTAAGGTGAGGTACTTAATCTTGACTATATTAAAAACAAAATGCTAATCAAATGTGATCGGGGACCGTATAGTATAGTAGTATAAATAATAACTTGAGACAGCAACGTTTCTTATTTATTTCGATCTTTTGCTGAAAAAACTTTTTAATTTACTCTTGTGGTATTTCTAGTTTTCATAATTTTCAAAAGGTATTTAAAACTGTTGTTTAAAATTGAGGCGGAATTTCCCACATTCCCATATTCGCAATAAACTATGTATATACTTTCTATTATTATAATATACTATGGGATACGAGAAAATGCGCAATAGTTTCAAATAGTACGCTTAACTAGGATGGCCATATAATTAAAAGGAGTTAACGCAGTCAATAGTGATCCATTTACAAAACTTACATGAATAAGTTTACAAACTGTAGATGATATAGTCATTCCCAATGAATAAATGATTTTTAAGCAATCTACAAAAATGTCATCAGCAACTCGCTTTTTCGCCATTTACCAAAGATTTGTATTTTACCAAATAATCCCAACACTATCAGACGATTGTACCTACGGGTATATAAAGATTCCTAATATCGGACACGAATATTTTATTCAAGGTCTAAATGCTGGCAGCACCAAAACTGATAGATTTAGTTTCCCAATTGTCCTCAAAATATTATTTCAATGTAAATAATTTTTGGTAAATACATAGAGAAGGTTAACAGCAACTCAAAATATTATTTCAATGTAAATAATTTTTGGTAAATACATAGAGAAGGTTAACAGCAACTCAGCAATCTAATTTTTAAGTTTCTAGCTAAGACACTTTATAAGATATATACTTTAGCGGCTTGCAATGGGCATATTTGTAAAAATATCTATATTATTTAAATGACGGTTGTACTTCCAAGGCTATATTTCATACTCAGTGAAAATAAAAAAAAACTTTGTGTATCAGTCAATTCTGATTTATCACACCAATAATGCGAGATATACCAGATACCAGATATATAGGCAGATAGCGAGCCTACATATTCTCTTATATATTTTATATTATATTTTAAAGGCGAGTGAAACTAAATAAAAGCTTCTAAAACACATCTTTCACATCTGGGATTCATACGAAGGGACAAAAAAGAGAGCAAATACTCTTCACTAAATGAACAAGTATAATAGTATATAGTATATAATGAAAATGTATTCCTTATTTACACATTTATTTTATATAAATCTATTTGAATTGTATTTTTTCAATTAAAGGCTTCGTTGTTTGCGAGGTCGTGGCGGATTCCAGGATACAGGCGTGTTATCAGTAACGGAAATGATATTCAAGCCGCCCATTTGCAAGCCTTTGATAGCCGACTATAATATTAGAGTATGTGCATAAATCGAGATTATTTAAAAGTTAAAAATATAATAGTAACTATTTACCATTCTTCCTGGTCCTAGGCCACGAACTTTCACTCGAATTGTTTTCCATCCAAGCTCAACAGCTTTCTGAAATAGTAAGTAATTACATTAGGCAACAAATTAAATGAAATCAAGAGATATTCATCCAACCGCGCTTATGCTAACAGCAGTGGCCTGAGCAGCTATATTCGTTCCTTTTCTGGTATTTTTAAAGCCTTCAATCCCACACGATCGTATAAGTCGAGGCACCCCTAAATCAGTAAGCAATGTGAATAGAAACTTGTGTCTTGTTTTAAGTTATTTCGATACATGCCTTTATAGTCCGTCACTGAAATAATTGTGTTGTTGGGTGACACACGTATATTGCAAATGGGCAATTCATTGAAGGGTATGCCGTTGAAAAGCTGTGTAGCCGTATTGGCATCGGGAAAGGATTTTGCCCTTCTAATATCATAAATAGAAAAATTTTTATTTATCTGATTTGACTGCCTTATGAATATGACTTCGCTCACCGGTTGAAAAGCGTGTCAATATCGACAGATTTCTCGCCAATGGTGCCCTCGTCTTTAGCCGGCAGTGATGCTAACATTTCCTTACGATCTTCCGCTTTTCTTAAAATTATACTTGTGTGAATAAATGCACTTTTCGATATTGTACATTGTTTAATATAATGTATTCCAGTCAATATTGATGATTTAATAAACATTTTGAACATACAAGTTGTATAATTACATCACTAGACTCTAAATTATCTGGCAGCGCTAAAATTACTTTACAGTGTTGGAAAATGAAATTTTCATAAATAAGTTTCTTTTGTGAATGGCCACTCCATATGGGCATGGAAGAAGCACATTTATTTTCACGTGTTTGAATGCAGCATTGAGACCCAGACAATAATTTAGAAATGGCTCTTAAACGATTAAAAAGTTAGTGTACATATATTTTGTTAAATTGAGATACATATTAATATTGTTTATACTTGTAGCAAAAAAATCCAAGCGTTTGACTGGTAAACTCAAGCACAAGATTGACAAAAAGGTTCGTGAACACAACCGCAAGGAACGTCGGGAGGCAAAAAAGAATACCAAGAAAGGCAGCAAAAAACAAAAACTAATACAAATACCAAACATTTGCCCGTTCAAAGATGATATACTTAAGGAAGTGGAGGAGGCAAAACAACGCCAGGAAGTTGAACGTCAAACCCGTCGAGATATGATTAAAGCTGAACGCGAAAAAAACAAATTCAAGTCGCTAGAGTCTATGGTGGAAGACGCCGACATGCGGAGCACTGTGCATGGCATCATGCATGAAAACAGCGCTGATAGCAATATAAATGAAAAAATATACAAGAACGCAGCCACAAAGGAGCAGTCATTAAAGCAGTACTTTAAAGAATTTCGCAAAGTAATTGAGAATGCTGACGTTGTACTGGAAGTGGTCGATGCACGCGATCCCCTTGGCACAAGGTGCAATGAAGTTGAGCGAGCAGTGCGTGCTGCTCCTGGAAACAAGCGGCTGGTGCTCATTTTGAATAAAGCTGACCTTGTTCCAAGGGAAAACCTTAATAATTGGATCAAGTACTTTCGGCGAAGCCTTCCCGTCACTGCGTTTAAAGCTTCCACACAAGATCAGGCATCAAAATTAGGGCGACGAAAGCTGCGCGACATGAAGAGCGAAAAAGCTATGCAGGGATCTGTCTGCATTGGAGCAGAATTGCTTATGTCTATGCTTGCAAACTATTGTCGCAATAAGGGCATTAAAACCTCGATTCGCGTAGGAGTTGTTGGCATTCCGAATGTAGGCAAAAGTTCCATCATAAACTCGCTAACCCGAGGACGCTCATGCATGGTTGGAAGTACTCCTGGGGTCACTAAGTAAGTATTCTCCTCAATTTTAATAAGCTTAAATTACCTTACAAGAAATAATAATTTCGATTTAAAGAATCTATAAATCTATTCCCGGAATTACAAATAATTTTTAATATAAAACTAAAATTCCAATTAATAATAAATTTATTTCTATTAACAGGGCTATGCAGGAAGTTGAACTTGATTCAAAAATTAAGCTTATAGATTGTCCTGGCATTGTTTTTACAAGTATTGCCAGCGATAGTAATCAAAGTGCGCACGCTGTTTTAAAGAATGCTCAGCGTGTGGGTGACGTTAAAGATCCTTTCAGCATAGCCGAGAGCGTTTTGAAGAGAGCCAGCAAAGAGTACTTCTGTAAAATGTACGATATTACCAACTACGACACATTTGAGGAATTCTTCGCAAAAAAAGCAGCCAGAATGGGTAAGTAATTGTGGATATTGTTTTACATTTCTTTTTATTTAAATTGTCAATACACAATCGACAGGAAAATTTTTAAAAAAGGGTGTTCCAGATGTGGTGGCCGCTGCTCGTAGTGTTCTAAACGATTGGAACACTGGAAAAATCAAATATTGTACTCAACCACCTGAAGTTATTGAGAATACGAATGCACACATAAGCGCCTCGATTGTACATGCCGAGGCGCGCGAATTCGATGTAAATAACTTTGAGTCGATGGAGACCGACATACTGAATCAGTGTCATGAGAAATCCGATGACATCATGGAGATAACATCTACAGGTCCACTTGAGTTGAGGGTACCGCGTGAAGATACAGAGGTGGTTTCTGCACAAATAACTGAAAATGAACCGCCTTTAAAAGGTCGTAAAAGAAAATTGGACGACGATAAAAAGGAAAAGCCAGATCCTGTCCTATTGCTTGAAGGTATTTATTAGTTATTGTCGTTATTAAATAATTTTTAAAAAAATGTCTAATTTTTCAGAGAATCAATCAATTAACAAAAACATTAAAGAGCTACAAAAGAAAAAGAAGAAACAAATTGTACGAAACGAGAAAAAGATTTCAAAAATAACCGACGTTTTGGACAGCTTTAGTTTGGGTGCATCCTCGTCTAATGCAGATAAATACGACTTTGACCAGGATTACAACATTGAATGATCGTAATATTAGAATTGTTTTTATAAAAATCCAATATAATTTTATCTGTTGGAAATTTTTGAAAATAAAACAATTTAAAAAGAACAAATTTTTTAAAAATCATTTTAAATAAAACGTGTTAGGTATAAGTATATGTAAATAACTAGTTTTTTAAGTTTCAAGCCTTTTTGTTATCCTTATAAGGAAAATATATATATATTTAATAATTTCGTTATTAGAATATATATATAATTTTCTCTTGGCTACTAAATTTCCATAAAATTCTTTCATTGTCTAAAACTTTCGGTCATTATTGTACTCTCCATAGACTAGAAGTTGACTTGAAGTTTGGACTTCTGTTAAAACAGGAATTTTAAGAGATTATGAAGTCTTTTCTGGAGCATATATTATGCAATTAGGACATGGTAATGCGAAAAACTTTAATTGTCCGAGTAAAGGCAAGGTAAACTCACTATCAGATGAATATAGACTGCGTTATCCTGTATTAGGTGTTATGCATATCTGGTAATTTCCAGTATATCATAAAGCAGCCCAATTCCACTCTTCGTTGCTGTTATTATGATAATGTCGAATGCAACTGTTTTCAATTAAACACAACGTTTCATTCGCTCGTACGTTTTACTTACAAATTGTTTGATAATATAGAATGAAATACTTCTGGAATTTTTTCTGATCTCTTTGAATATATACATATTTACTCATTTACTATGAAATTCCACTCACGTCACACACAAATTTGTAATAAGGAAACTAAAAAAAAGTTGGGAATATATACTCGTTGGTTTCCTTGCCTTTTGAAATGTTTAAATTTCAAATCGGGTAATACTATATCTTTTATAACCACTAATCATACAACGCTGAGATACCCCTAAAACAATCTTTTTCAAAACAAACAATTTGTGCATTATATAGGTTTTGGTGCCTACAATTTTGAAATTAATTTACTGTAGATCCCTTCTTAAGATTTACCATAAGTGTATATATTATATGCATAAATATGTCTACTGGGGCCATATCTGGAGAAACTTTGGAAAATAATTTTAGAGCTTTCCAGTATGGTATAATCTCCCAAAAAATATTCTTTCTTATTTATTAGTAATAGTATTGAGTGATATTTAGATACTTTTAAATAAAAACAGTGACTTACAGGTGTTTATAATATATACCGACCAAAATTATTATTCCATATTTCTGTAATTTCACTGTGAATGGAAACTACTCCTGGTATTAGTTAAGATCTGAGACGTTGGGAAATATATATATATATATATATATATATATATATATATATATATATATATATATATATATATATATTTAAAATGAACAGGTGGTAGGTTGTAAGATTTAACAGGCAATATCTTTTTTCATAGTTTTAATATTTGTGACTGTGCTAAAAAGGGTATTTTGAAGCACTTAAATATTGAAATAGTAAATAATATAAATAATACATTTAAATAAAACGAATTACAAACTCTTACACTATTAATTATGGCATTGAGTAACATTGAGTGGATAGCAAAATACAAAGATGACAGTGAAAAATCAAAATCTTTATATAAGTTTAAATTTTATTACAAAATATTCCTTAAAACTTAACAGTACAACTACAACTATTAACGCTCAATTAATATTTGATCATTTTGAAGATACTGTAAGTATGAATACACAAACCTACATACATACATACGAAAGCATGTATGAATGTACATTTACAGATACATGCATGATACATTCAAAATGACTCAAGTCCAAGCTGTTATTAAAATTAGTTTTTACTATGTACTCATACTCATACGTACGTACTTATGGGTTTCATAAAAGGGCGTATAGTTATTATAATAATAAATTTTTGGAATTAAAATGTACATGTTTACATATGTATGTATGTATGCGTAGGCAATTTCTGATGGTTCACAGTTTTGTAGGGGGGGAATTGGTACCGCGACATTATTTACAGTGTCGTAAAGTCTAATGGAACTTAAACACTTTTCCTTGCAATACATTTTTTTAACTAGTTCATTGTACAAAACTCTTCGATTTACTCAAATTTGCGTTTCCGTTACATTGAAAGACAACTGAGTGTAGGGTTCGGGCTGGATAAAAAAACTAAAACGCGAATTATATCATTTACAAAATTCGCCGACAGTTAAATAATTAATCATCGCATCAAATAAAAATATAAAAACGTTTGAGCATGACATTTTTTGGCTATGTATGCTAACTACCAAAGATCAAGTAGACTGAACCAGTTTTGTAATTATAATAACGAATACAAACAAAATCTGGCTAACATAATTTGTACTTTTGTAAGTTCCCTCCCAAAAATGATGTCAATGCGAATTATAAACTATATTTCTAGTGATGACTTTATAAGCATTAAAGAAATAAATGGTTGAAGGTATATGTGCTGCCATTACTAAAACGATTACCCTCGCGTTTTCCCTACCTTTGTTAAGTACATATGTATATACAATTTAAAATAGATATGTACATGTGTTTAGTATTTGTACATACATTTGAAATTTATGCTCATTGCATTCATACATAATACATATGTAAATATACATACAGAGTGAATCACAGGATTTTAATTTTGCTATGTTCAACAATCAATAACTATTTGAATTTAACACTCCTAGCTCCGTCGCTGCGCATGCTTTATACATAAGTTAATTTCGATGAGGCGTTTAGCAATTAATTGAAACACTTTTCTTAATTAAGTTTAACTTTTTAAAGTATATAATTTGCAGTCCATTGTTGCCCCTTATGATTAGTTGCTTGCTAGCCTGTTTGCTGCAATTTAAAACTCCTTGCACCAATTGCTGCTTGTAGTCTTCTTAATGTACATGTTTACATAACCCAGTCTCGTGAGCTTCTTTTAAACTAACAGAAGCAGCTGTTGCTACCGGTAGTACACATAGGGTTTGCTGCACATCGGGTTAGTGGTGACTGTCCCCGGTAAACACATTGCTGCTGCTGCTGCCGCGAAGCAATAAGCACCAACCGGCAACTTGCAATGTCACCGCTGATGGCTGAAGTGGACTTCAAGCCAGCAGGGACAGCACATAATATCCTGACGTCGATACATGTTGCCCCAGCCCTTGGCGAAACTGATCTTCATACTAAACCGATCGATTGGTCCTAAATGGTTTTGCTGTATCTTATTTCCAGCCAGCCATTCAGCCCTGCTGAGTAAGACATGCGTTAAAAAACAACACTATGTATACGCATATATATAATAAACTCTACCTGTGTATTTCAAAGGCTTTGAGACAATAGCCAGGCAACACTTTACAAACCCGGTCCAAGTGTTCGGCAAGCGTTGGCGAGTCCACAAATATCGGCACATTACTTCGATTGTAGATCCACACGTCCCCACACTCCAGGCTTATAGTAACACCTATGACACCCAATGTAAAATAAATTTGTTCATCCAAGCGTCCACAGTTCGAGCTTACCCAGTCCGATCTTTTGACGTGTGTTTTGGACTGCATCCAGCGTTGTACGCTTCCCACATAACTCACGTAAGCACATACTCTCTCCGGCACAATCCACTGGTCCATCTGTGTAGATGTTAGCTGCCAACTTCTTCGCATGAAACAGCTCACCAACACGCTCGGACAGTTCCCAATAGGCAATCTGGCACCATGCATTATTATTCGCGCTATGATCTAAAATTCAAAAAGATAAAAAAGATCAAACCAGTTAAATTATTTTTGGTAAATCTCAGGATAACCATTAAATTCGTTAAGATCGATATCGAATTCGAGCTTTTTCGGATTTTAAAATGTTACCCAATTATCCAATCGGTTCTCCCCTCAGTAAACACAATTCTTTTGATACCTCTCCCACTTCCCCAAAAAAAATCAAGCAAGTCTAGTATTCCCGCATTAAGCATTTAATTTGTCTAAGCAGGGTATCAATTAAAACCAAGTAAGAACATCGCAATTACGCGCAGGCAACTGCATAATTCTCGTTGCAGTCCAAAAACTGCCAAATTTATTACGACATTTTTGGTTTCATAGGTCTATCTTGGAGGATATCTAGGAGAGAAGATGAACAGTGATCTATTGGTGAGCCTAGATCTAAAAATGTTATAAATTTTCCCTCACGGTGCGAGTATATAAGTTTAGGCCACAGTCGAAGTCAACAGTAACTTACTTATAAAGGTTTTGTAGTTTTAGCTGGTAATACATATATGAGAAATGTTTTCCCGATTGTCATGTAGGCGTACCTTAACATTACATGTACTCCAAAGAGCCCCAAAATATAATGAAGTTTGTACTACACGCTAATATGTGTTTCTAATCAAAAATGTAGTATCGGAGTAATTGGACCCACGGAAATGTGTAAACATAATTTGGCTGCATATTGCGACTTTTATACAATCGGGTCGAATTCGGTCCCGGCTATGTCGACAATGTCGACCTACTCGATATTGAAACTAAAAAGTATTTTCCGATTAAGGCAAACTGCCAAAAACAAAACACTAGGCAGGATGCTCTAATCGGGAGTACCTGACTAGGAGGGACTGCCTCCACTGCGCAAACCTGATATTCGAATTGTACTCTTCTTTTATTCATATGTATATAACCTTTCAGCTCTCTTAATAACATTTTCAGATCAGTATCAAATATCCGGCACATACAAAATATGTATAGTCAGATATATATATTCACATTCACACATAAATAAATTATTGTTAAATTAATAAAATTAAATAAATTGATTGTTTCCATCCTTGATGGTATTTGAGCTACGCTTAAAAAGAATCGATTTTGATCGATGAGAAAGAAATCGAAAATAAATTATTAACTCTTATCGATATATCGAATTTTTATTTTCAATTGGTTCAGGATTTCTCCTACTTCTCCTGACGTACAGTGGGCGACAGCTCAAACTGAACACCTAAATTCTAAAACATACCAAAGATTTGAATCTCTTGTTTAAATTTGCGAATCAAATTATAGAATAATTTATGTATTTTTTTGTTTAGTTTTTTTTTGCATTTGAATTTCGTCTGTTAACCGCTTGTTTATAATTTACATATTTAATTAATTCATTTATTAAGTTTTTAAAATGTGTTTACAAATGAACTGGTTCACGCAAGTGTGACCCACTGCATTTTCGCGTAATACAGGGTATACGATTTATAGCCTTTGCAGTTCTGCTATTTTGCCACTTCTTTGGCGCCTGTTCTGGCACACGCCATCGATGAGGGGAATTTGTTTCTCGCATTTGACTCTTTGGGATTTCTAGCGCCGCCTGGGCGTTGTTGTTTTGTATTTTTCAGTCAATGCGCTATGTATGTATGCACACAATTGTACATAAATACATAATTACAAACAGAAGTGCGAAGCGACTGGCTACTACATCATCTTTAAATTTAGATTGTTTTAAATGCTATCTATGTACATACATATACACGTATGTACATCTGTATACGTGCGTGTGCGAGCGTGTAAGTTTATTAGTGGCCACACATGTCGGTGTTGTAAGTACACATCTGTACACACACATATCCATGAGTACGTGTGTGCATATGTATTTATGCATGTAAGCGCATGCTGAGGTGGCAATATGGTTTTCTTTTACTTATGATGGGATTATAACTTCGGCTAAGTCTACAGAGATTGGAGACAACTTATCCAAGGATGATTCAATATTGACAATAATTAATAATTATTAAGATTCGAGTGCTGCACGCAACGTCCGGTAGTAATTTTCAATTATATGCACATATATGAATATGTATGTGCATGCACTTATGGACCTATACATATAGGAGCTACTATTGATTTTTAATTATTGATGCATTTTAAATCGAATTAAAACTGTAAACTATATCTAGCCTATCTACATCTATATCTAGAAAGAAACACTTGACATTGACTTCAAAGCTGCATTTTATATCTGTTTCTGATTATATTTCACAGACTCATAATTCTAATACTTGTGGATTCCTTGAGTTGATACACAGTTTACAAAAATTCCGACAGTCTAATAATGGTTCACGGTTCAAAATAATCGGAATTGAAACAAAAATACTTTTTATAAGTAGGGAACTCTTTAATATGTAGGTCATTTTATAGGGAAAGCAAACTGTGATTGATTGGCACAACTTTTTTAACCCATCTCAAGATGTGATCAATATAATTTGCTTAAATATATTTATTTTTTTCATTAATCTAGAGAGAACATTTTTGGAATACTTTCTGAACAATCTATTGAAGCTAAAAACCGAATGTTTGATTAGGCAGTCAAGGAGCCGCGCAGTTGTTTAATTTGAATTAATTAAGTATTCACATGCAAAAAGAGCCGCATGCCTGTTGACCAAATTGATTCAATTTGTTGAATGCAGGCTTTCGGTATTTTTTTAGCATTACTAAGCTAACGGCTGATTTGAATGCAAAAGTTTTTATTCGAAAATACCATGAAGAAAAAGAGAGAAATAAATATTATCCAGCTCGACGATGGCGTTGGCGGCAGTGTCATGAATGATATCATAGTCATAACGCCACTGCCGCCGATCACCCGCTACCCGCTGTGTAGCTGGCTGTGGCGATAACCAGCCACCAGCCACTAGCCATCAGCCAGCAGACACAGCCACAACCACAGCCACAGCCACAGCCACAGTTGAACCACTGTGTAGCCGCTCCCGCGCTGCTCTACAAAGCTTTCGTAAGCAAGCGCCAAAGATTTTCGCTGCTGCCGTCGCAGTCGACGTTAACGCCGACAGCTTTGCCGCCGACTCGCTTATTCGCATTCGCCTCGCACTGTTTGTATTTGTTTTTCGCTCATTATTTATTTTCGTGTTGTTTTTGCTGTTTTCGTTTAAAAGTTAATATCAGTATAGAAAGTGACGACCTGACGCGGCAAACTGGCGCCACGAACAACTTGACTGCCTGCTTCGCCCATGCCGGCGTGCTCAAACACACGCACGCGACTGCTGCCGTAGCTCTCTCACACACTCACATCACACATGCACAGATACCCACACATCCTACAGTTTGTGCATAAACACATGTAGGTATGCATACACGCGTATGTATATATTTATATCTACATGTACGAGCAAGTATGTATGCGTGCGTATGTATGCCTTGCACACGCATGCACATACACGCGCGCACATAACTGAGTCTACAAATGCCGAGAGGTGCTTGCTGTTTACCCGAATTCTTAATAAAGCAGCGCCGAACATAAGAAAAGAGAAGAGGCCACGTTCCGACTGCGGTATGACCACAAGTAAACTCACCTTTTCCATCAGTGGTAAAAGACTCAAGACTCGGACCATACAACTGGGACTCCGATTGTTTGATGATGCTGTTGCTCTGCACGGCCCACGCGGTCATCGACGAGCTTTCGTTGTTGTTTTGAGTGTTTTCCTCGATATCTAGAATTGTCGTTTTCTGATCAGTTCAGTGTCATAGACACAAAAAACCATTAACATACCTTGATCTTTCAGTCTCAGCATTTTTGATCGCTGATACGGCGGGGGTGCGGAGTCTGAAAGTGAAAAAATAAGGTAAATCATAAAGCCTTTATATATTGACCTTATAGAAATGTACATACTAATAACGACAAAATCCCATACTGAAATTATTATTCTTTTTTGACTGTCATAATTTACAATATCTTGCCTTTAGCTTTATATTGTATATAGTTTAAATCAATTATACGAACTCTTTATGAAGCACTGTTAAAAAATCAGTTTAAGTATTTAAGTCTTTAAACGCCCGCTACATTACAGTAGATTCCTTCTAAGAAAAATCATATCTTCTACAATTTTAAAATAGAAAATTCAAAATATATTTTTAAGGACTAACTTACTGTTACTTACAGCACTTACTCCTCTATAGATTTACCACAAATTATATATGTATATCGAAAAAACAACCATTCCTTCCAAAGTTTTGGAGGTAGATTTCAAAATGTTGGGAGATGAGGTACTGCTGTCTTGTGATTATTTTATCCAATAGGATACGAATGAGTATTATGTAGTATGGGCACCCTACTGAAACACTCCTACTATTTTTTTTTATTAAATGTATTATTTTGTTCTTTCGCATTAATTATGTTTACTAACTAACTTACTGGATGCTATAAAACTGTCAGATGATGTTGAATTCTCTTGCGGTTTTTGATACCTCTTCTGTCTTCTGGCTTCTGTCAAGTATGTAGGAGGGTAGGAGTACAGTTTGAAGTGATATGTTGTGTTGATTGACTCATCTATTAAAAGACAGTACATAATCTAATTATGTATGTACATACATTATTCTATGAACAATTTTATTATGTGAATTTAGGTTTCTTAAATAAATGATTAATACTTTGTTTCACATATAAGATTTTCAGTTAGACAGTCGTCTTAAATCATGAAGAGTTACAGTGTTTGGTAGCAGCTATACTTTGACTCACTGTATATCTATATATATTCATGTCCCAAGGCCGGATACTCACGGTTCTTAGCTATACCTCCTTGACTTTTGCTACAGATAAGGAATAGCAGTGTCCCGCTTCTAAAACCTGATAGGTTATGAGTAATTCATAATAAGTTTTCTAGTCGGGAGTATCCGACCATAATATACCATAATTCATATACATTGATTTATTTTATATAAATGAGTTTATAAATTATGTTATAGAACAAAATTTAATATATAATTTGTGAATAATATCCAATCTCAAAAATTTGTAAGCTCAAAATTCAAGAATTTATTTTAATCAAAGGAAATGAGATGAAATATTACAAAATATTGTTTAACTTTTAAGAAAAGTTCAATTGCGCCAATATTATCTATAGGTTACATAAGTATTGGAGTATTTTTTTGAAGCATAACATGTGTTCTATGGCAATTATTCTCCAAGTTGGAGCTTATCAGAAAAGCAATGTTGTAATCAACATTGTTATAGACATTTCTGAACGCTTGCTTTAAGCCATTTTACTATAGAACAGCGATAATTTTTTATATTATTAAGGGTTAAAGCCTCGTCTAAATGATGCCGTCAAATTTGACCAGATCCTTCGAATCGCAAATAGAAATTTTCTATCTTATTCATTAAACAATAAACGATCAATAAATAAAAAGATTTTCGTATATTAATAAATGTAAGCAGTTTGGAGAATTACCGAAGACTACGACGGATTGAAATGCGCGTGTTTAAGACAAGCTGTGCGATGAGATCATGCTTCACAAAAATAGTACAATATTAGTATTCGAGAATACATACATATACATACATATGCACGTATGGTACATACATACAACACATCCAACAAAGCCAAAGCAAAGCGAGACCGAAACAAAAAAAAGAAGCAAGATCAGAAAAGAAAACAAGTAGAAGCGCTCAAGAGCGCTCTACTAAAAGATACCCTGTAGACGCGATTGCATTAGCTGTATGCACATTCGCATTTATATAATACAAAAATTATCGGAATCGCATGTATGTATATAAATATGTATGTGTCCCTTGGTATATCTATAAAATGCTCGAGAGTTAATCATTCCGTAGATTTGTCTGCAAAGATAGACATTCATATACCCAATTCGAGTTTTCTGCGTACGGGGTATAAAACAGCAACAAACTTGAGCGCAGCCAGGCCAAACATCAGCGCGGCGAAATAAAAATAAATAAATAAAATAAATAATGTTTGCATATCAGCCAGCAGCACTGGGGGACATTTTATTGGCGCACAAATCGTTTGATGTGCGGCGCTTACCGCTGGGAGCGGAGGAAGCTGGTGCTGCAAACGTCAGCAGTGCTGGCAACACCAACAGCATCGGCATCGGCAGCGACAGCGACAGCGGCAACGGCGTCGTCAACTTAGTTAGCCCCAGTACCAGTTAAACCTGATTACGTTTGGACGCTGCTGTGCTGCCGTGCTGCTGCCACGCCGACGCCGCAGTCGCCATCGCCGTCGCGTGAGTCGATTGATTCTTAAAAATCTTATGAACATGCCAAAGCCAAAGCAAAGGGAGCAGTAAAATTCCAACGTTGCCTTTATCGCCCCAATGACGCTCCGCAGCGTATCCGACCTGCGAGCTTCATCAAAAATCAACTGACTTTACCTGAATATATTTGTTTTCTTTATACCCTGATCCCATTAAAAATGGGAAATTAGGGTATAATGGTTTTGAGCAAATGTATGTAACAGGCAGAAGGAGGCGTGGCAGACCCCATAAAGTATACATATTCTTGAACAGGACGACAAGCCGAGCCGATTGAGCCCGGCCCGTCTGTCTGTCCGTCCGTCTGTGTGAATGCGTCGAACTCAACATCTATAAGAGCTAGATACTTGCAATTTTTTCATATCATATCAAGTTTGTTTCAAATAATCGATAACTACTCCAGTTTTATTGTTATCGAAGTGTAGTTATTAAATTAATCGTTCGTATTTAGTTTTATGTATATTTTCTACAATTTTAATTTTTGTTATATTTTGGATTCCGGTTCGAAACTTCCTCAAAGTCTTTACATTTAAGTTCAGTTGGAAATGGGGTCAATATGTGAAGGAGTTTGCATTTTTAGTAAGCTGACAGCCATATGCTGAAAATTTCATTAAATTCCATTAAGTAAAATTAAGCGTACGCATTTTTCCTATTCCTATTCGAAGAATCGAAATTGCGATTGAATTGTTCTTGAATTATCAACTGCTATTTAATTTAAGATTTTCAACTTCATATGCAATCAGAGGCGGCCTTCGTTGCCGACAGTTTCTTAGTTGGAGATCAGGCGGTGAAGGGACGTTTTTTTGTTTTTTAATCTGAAGGGGCGGCTGAGTTTCGGCGTTGTTAGCCAATGTGGGTTCGAACCTTGTTGTCGTACTTATTTTTTTTCCAGAGTATTAAACTCGATAAGGAAAACATTGAAACACGCAGATAGGACTAGGTTCCGGGTATATCCTAGTCGGGCATCCCTACTTAAGCTTTCATAGTTGTTTTGTTTTTTGGTTGATAGGATCGATCAAGTTCCAAACGCTACAACGGCAAGTCCTTAAGGACAACGTTTTCACTATAAACTTCTTAGCAATTAACATACAAAAGAAATATGCTTGGTATGCACAGCAGATCTTTAATATAATTGAACCAACTGATCTGTGCACGATTGAGGGTCTCTGCTGAGCGGGCATAGTTTCTGCTTTAAATGTCATTTACCATGTTTGAACTGCTGCAAAATAAGTTTTCAGTTTATGAGAATTCTTTGGTAAAGACGAAGGAACTGAGATCTTTATATATATACAAAAACAAATTCCTTAATGCATCCCGATTCTTGCTGCGTCGCTTTCGCTACAATTCCAGGAATCGTGTTCGTTTTTTTCTGATGCGGAGAGAATAACATTATCGTCTTGTTCAATGTGCTCGGCGCCATCATTAAAAAAAACCTGTCCTCGTTCGGTATCGGGAAGTTGATTCACCGACAACAGACGAAACACAAACGAAATGCGCTGATGCTGCTGAGACTCTCGGAACAGTCGAACAGGTAAACACAGCACGATCCATTCGTCCATACCTCCAATAGCCTGTTTACCTTTGCCGTCGTGCATCAGGGAGGTCCACGCTTTTTTTAACATGCACATTAAAGGCAATTGAAAGAAGAAGCACAACGGTTGTTACTCGAAACGAAAAGTATTTGCTATTAACCGTAATTGGTTTTATGTTACAAAGACGATACATGTACATACATGTGAATGCATGAGTGTATCTATATGTACATATGTATGTATGTCCATTTATTCATATGTATAGAAAGGTACACTCACATACTTATGCATCCAATACATCCATATGACGGAACGCATAATAAAAGGGCTTTTCGAAAAACAAACCATTAAAACAAATAAATCATCTTCGACGAGCAGATACCTCTGAATCTAATTATACAAAAAATACATCCAACTGTAACCGGGTTTCATCACGTTTTAGGCTGTGTGTATTTTTAAATAACTCGATCTGTCTGTAATCCAACTAACCAAATTTTTGATCATAACTCTAAAAAGATACAAATATTCATGCATACCCAAGTGTTAAACGGAATTATGGACAAAACTGTCGACATCCATCCAACAAAATACAGTTCTACCATTTGCCAAAGGGAAATGAATTTAAAATAGACATTTCTGCAGGAGTGCATTCCAAAATATACGAGTCCCCTTACTTAAGATTGGCTTGCGTCCGAGAGGATCGAAGCTCAGTCCCTGGATATAAATCCGATCTAAAATCTATTGTCAATACAAAAGTGTAAAACAGTTCTTTTTTTTGGTGTTCGATCGCACTACTATTTTTTGAAAACAGCTGAATTTGTAAACATATCTTAAAATCAATTTTTTAAATTTAATTTTAAGCCGAGTTTGTTATAAGGAAACATATATTAGAATAGTCAAGCTTTGCGCTAAATTTATGGAAAACAAGATAATGAACTTTAGTCGGGAGTGCCCAACTAGTAGATACCCAATACCTTGAAATTTAAATTGAAACTTTTCAAACACAACCTTTTTACAAAGCAATGTATAGTGGCACTGCCATTAATATTAATCTACAAAATATGTATGCACATGTGACAACAGTTAGGTTTTCCTAATAGCTTATCATCCACAATCATCCAATGAATCAAAAATTTTCAGTCTGTCTTGTCGCAAAATTAGTTGCATTTTTATTTCCTGGCGCCAAGTTCTAAATTTAGATAAACTCATTTCGTGGCTGTCGTGTAGTCGAACTAGCATTTTTACTCATCGCCCCACATTAGTAAGTCTCAATGGTCACACATACACATGTAGATGATATGTATATATACTATGCATTATATTTCCTTTCGAGATACGAATACTCTCGCATTCAAACCTTACTTTGCGTGAATATTAATGAATATTTTGGGGATATACATAAATCAAGGAGGAACTAACTTAAATACTTTTATCTGGCCGTGGCACACAGAAGTATGTATTTACATAAAAGTGAAAAGGGAAATCAAATATATTATTAAGGCTTAAGAATAGGTATTACACAGTTGAATAAACCGATTTCTCTTCTGAAGTTCTCTTCATGTATTAGTATTTAAAGAACAGTGTGTTTCATGATATAGCATTTTATTTCAGGGATTTTTAAATGAACATAATTCATATACGTATATAATTATATATATATATATATATATATATATATATATATATATATATATATATATATATATATATATATGTATATATATGTGTGTGTATAGATGTACGTATTAACCTACCTGAATCTATTGGATGGTTTACCCGATACCAGTGCAGTGGATTGCAGCAGACATAGACGTAATCCCGAGCACTGGGGCAGGTGGGCAGACGCCTTAGCTCGCCGGCATCCCTGAGGTCGGACCAAAAAAAAAGCTGGCACGTGATTACATGCTGCTCTTCGTCGAGGGGTGAAGTGCACTTGATTAGAATGCACTGTAGATAACTCGGTGTGGCTGATATGATGGCCCCATTGCCTGCCAGCGAGTCGCGCTTGTGAGGTGGGTCCACTCGACTTTTTACTGCCTGGAGTAGGTCGGTTACCTGTTTGTTCTTCAGCTTTTTCAGCAACGCATTGAAGATTTGATGGCGAAAAGATGTCGTTGACATTGACACAGCTCCAGCTGTGGACATCGTTGTCGAGTGGGTATGCATTGGGCAGGTGGGTGGGGATGGGGTTACGCGCTGGCGACTCTGATTGTGGCGTTTGTTGTCGATCGGGATCGTTTTCGAAAAGAATCCATTGTCGGAGTCTGTCGTCGGACCACTGCTGCCGCCGCCGCAGCAGTTTCGAAACATGTTCGCCGCTGTCATTGCAAAGGTCGCTGCGGCCGTCATTGACTGTGCGTTGGAACAAGTCGGCACCGACGACGGAACCGTCACCGGACAGAGCCCGTTTTTGTCGTTCAATATGTCGACGCCAGAGCTTGCGTAGCTGCAGCCATCTTTTATATAGGAATAATCCGATTCGTCGGTCGCCGAAGCGGACACGGAAATTTCTTCTTCTGGATTTGTGTGACACCTCAGTTGTTGCTGCTGTTGCTGGTGCTGGTGTTGCTGCTGACGGTGGATGAGACGATAGGAGCCTGAACAGTCTATGGAGCAAGGAATTGAACAGTATGGTGGTGGTGGAGGGTTGATCAGGGAAGACTGATCCGTGTAGCAGCAGCAGAAGCTGGCGCACGTTTGAAGGTGGCGTTGATGTAGAGGGTGCAGCGGCTGTTGTTGCTGCATGGGTATCGGTATCCCATCCGCATCGCACGTAGCCGGATTGTTTCTTGACGCATAACGCCATAGTGCATTTTTCTTTTCTCTTGGGAATATCATGGAGGGACATCAATTCTTTTGGTAACATCGATATTATCGAATGTGCATTATTTGAGTTAATCAACTTTATTAAGACGCACTCATAAGGCTCGGCTTGTCGACGTTTCGATTGCTTTGTGATATGTGCGGTGGGTTAGATTGTGGGTTGACTCGAACGTCCTCTTAGTTACAGTAACTGTTCTGTTAATTTTAGCATATATGTGTATGTATGAATATATGATTGCATATGTACATAAATACAAAAATTATTATTATACGTTGACTAGGCTTGGCTTGGCTTGGCGGTATAATCGAATTCCTTTCTATCACTCAATAGATTTTCAGCTGTGATATGATTTTGGTGGTGTTTCGATTGCTTTGATATGCACTCTGCAAATAAAAAAATAGAGAACAAAATTAATCAAAATTCTTTTGCACGGCAAAATAAGAACAATATAATATTTTTGGGCTACCGAATAGAATAGAATAGAATTAATTTTGGATTATTTTAGTTTATGCTTAGTTTTTGTTATTTCTCTTTGATCGTCACTCTGCATCGATTACTTAGCCCTGTTGTCCATGTTTTTGTTTAGTTACCCAAATCTAAACAATTTTTGTACATTTTGGAGAGATTAGGCAGCCCCCAGGATAAGCAAACCAAATTCATGGTTTTAGCTGTAGAATATTGCTCAACATTTTTAATTAATATTAAATTGTATTTTGAATTTGGAAAAATTATATTTAATATTGAAAATCTTTACATTAGCCATTTCATATGATGTTTCACGATCGAGAATTGACACAAATATATATGTACATAGTATAAGTAAATACGTATGTAATTTTAACTAAAAATAAAACTAGAAGAAACTTAATTAAAAAAAAAAAAAAACAAATAAGAATGTTGTAGTCGGGCATGACTGACTGTATTATACTCCTTCACGGTCCTAAAGCATTTGATGCTTGGTGTAAGCAAGGAATAAGCAAGGAGTCTGCTGAAACTAAGCCACCAAATTTTGCAAAGAAGTTTTTCAGCAACTTTCATGACAAATTTTAAAAAAAGAAATATTTCAAGTCTCAATCTTTAATGAAATAATTCACAAATTGGAAATTACACAAAAACTAATCTACTTTTTTCATTTTGTAAGCGAATATAAAAACTAATATGAGTGGACGCAAAACTTATCTGGGGTTAAGCGTTGCGAATGTATATATATATATTTTTTTCACACACACACACACACACACACACATATATATATATATATATATATATATATATATATATATATATATATATATATATATATGTATATGTATATGTACGTACAAACACACCGAAGAGCTTCCGGTTCGTTGCCAGGTACTGTAGAATACACACAAATGTTTCAGCTACATTAAAAAGAAGGCATTGACCACCGACATACATATGTATATAGATTGGCATATATATATATATTGGCCTACTAATGTATACATATTTATTTGTCAAATGCATGATGTATACACATACATGTGTAAATTATGTCATACACATGTGCATGTACACTGTTTCTACGTGAATGCATATGTGCATACATACATATGTATGTACAGTATGTATGCATGTATGTGATTAGCTGTTATCAGAGCTAAATAAAGCACAAACGCGCCGCACAAGTAGCGAATCAAGGCGCATGAGTAATATGCCGATCCCAGCGGCGGCGGTGTCGGACTGCGCAGCATCACTGACTGGCGCTGGCGCTGACAGAGGCCGCTGCAAGTTAACAACCCAAATACAAAACTGTGGCCCCTACGACCATTTTGTTGCTGGCTGACTGGCTCGCTGGCATTTCTTGTGCTCCTTATCGCGACGACAACAGTGGCGCCGCCGACTTGACGGCACGACCACATGCTCAGTCGAACACACACACGCAAACGTACGTATGCATGCTTGTCTGTATTTAAGTACGTACAAATGTTCATATGCATACATACATTCATACAAACATACACATACACACTCACACACACAGATGTATTGAATTTACTTGCTTGCGTGCCAGCCAGAGGCAAAAGCAAAAGCAAAGGCAGGGCAACAACGCGACGAGACGAGACGAGACTCAATGAGGCACAGGCGCCACAGTGGGCGCCACTGACGTAAACGTAATAAAAGAAATAATAGTAACGATGTCGGCGGCGGCGTCGTCGCAATGGCGCCACCAATATAAACTTATATCAGACAGACACGAAACAACGACAGCGCCAGAAACTACAACAACAATACAACAACGATACTATAGACCGACGCGTCGGTCGGTCGGTTGGTTGCTCGTTCGGTCGTTTTGTCAGCCGGTTTGACAAGTTGGAAGAATCAACAATTTGAGGTGAATTCAAACAAGCGAGAGCACGAAAGCAAGTGCACAAGAGAGCGTCCGTTCAGTGTGTGTTTGCATGGGTGTATATGTTATACATATATATGCTATATGTATATATATATATATATATGTGTGTGTGTGTATATGCGTGCATGTGTGTCTATCGGTGGCAAAGAAATAACACATTTCCGAATTCTTTTGAAAATTCAACAAGTATAAAAATCTAGTATTGGTAATAGTAGTATGCGCAGTAAGGAACAGAGGAAGAGCAAGGATTCTCAATGATATTGTTATAATGTATGTCGTAAAAGTTAAAAAAGATTTTTTATTTACATACACATGCATATGTATGTCCCCATTAGCTCTTGGAAAGTCGCTTGTACACACAGATGCACATAGCAATGTATATCTGCGAAATATATGGGCATACACCTGCTAACAGCACTGCCTTCTATGTTGAAGGATGTCATGCAAGTAGGTAAAGGTATTGTTGCTGTTAAGTAAATGGCAATGGCGCCGGAAAGATGTTTACAGCGAGTCGGCATTATTGGGGCATTAAACGAATCTGCAAGGGAACATTTCCTGTGATTCTGTTTGCAATATAGAAAAAAGAACTCGTAAAACGAAATTTGCCTTGGATGTTGAAGATTACTGTAAGTTAAGAAAATCTTGATAAAATCATTCGGGATATATCTATATGTCGAATAAGAAGTTTAGTGTAGTGAAGTTTGTGTTATGCACTCTGTAACGCCCGATTGTAACTTTCATATATATTTTGCTAGATCCCGACTGTTCAAATAAATTAAATGTTCATATAAATTAACTTTATGGTACACAAAACTGGTGTTTTGAAAGCAAACTAACTAATGTTTTTAGAATCAAGCAATACTAAAATTAAATAAAATATATATTGTAATATAAGTACTTACTTTATTGATGGGGTTATTATTCCATTATATCCTTATAAGGCTTATTTTATAAAACACACCAATCTTATGTTGATATGTTGGTGTATTGCGATTTGTTGATATGTATTTGGGTTTAATTCACACTTATTTAAAGATTCACATTTCGAATTATTTATATTCAATTGTAATCAATGAGGATTTGCATCATTCTTCACTACTGAAAACGGATTCGATTATTTATTTATTATCTTTAGTAAGCACTTATCGAGTTGTCAGCATTAAACGTTAGTCTATTGTTTACACACACATAAATACATACATACATATGTACACTTAGCATCAATCTAATTAAGTGAGTTGTTTTGATCTTTGAAAGAACTTTAATTTATATTCGGAAAGTATTTCCATGCAATTGAGTCGACGATGATAGCTAAATAATATTAATAATAACAAAATCAACTTTGTGGTTAAGAAGATCGTTTAAGTTTGGACGTCAGATATATATAAATCCATAAATTGAAGGTGAAGACATTCGTATTTGTTGAAATGCTTTCCAGTAATTGAGGCATATAATTATAACGTTGTTTATATGGAAAAAGATGTTGTTAATGGAAAAACATCATGTTTTCGAAAGTAGCGAAAATGTAACTCATCCACATTTTATTATATAAGACTGTCTACATCAAAACAAGTAAATAAAATCCGGCAAACGGAAACATGATAAAGTCATAATCACCATGTCAGAAGCCAGGGCTTAGGAATAAACACAGAATAAGTCCTGATCTAAATCTACTATATACACTATATACAATCAGTCTCATCATCTATATGACAAGAATAAAAGAATATACTTTCATAGTTCATAGAACACGCACAGTTGAAAATAAATAAGATAATCACAATAATACTTAACATGCATACACATATGTTCATGTATGTATGGTCATGTACTTATATACGTATTATCGTATTATCGGTAGCTTTAAGCAGTGATCAATCTATGGAAGTACGTATGTATGCATGTATGAATGTACGTATATATTAATGTATGTTGCGTTACGTTGCGTTTTGTTACCACTCACGCATATTTCAATGGTAAATTTAAGTAACGTACGTACACTACTTTTTGTTTATTGATCAATTTTTCTTACATCGCACTTTTTGTGTGCCGTTATTCACTTTAATATATATTTTGATTCGGCTTACACATGTGCACTGCGACGGCGACGGCGACGGCAACGAATTTATATTTGTTCGTCACTTAACACACTCAACCTTTCATTTCACTTTTCGCTTGCACAATGCTTTAATGTAAGAGAACTAAGAAATGTGTCCAAATCAAAATGTCTAAAGCAGCATAGAATGTGAACGCTGTGAACAAGCAACTGTCGCTGGACTATGTATTTTGCATTTATTTGTTGGTTACGCCCGCGTAACAAAAAAAATGTTCGGATAGCAACCGAAAAACACTACGTCCGCTTACAACGAAAGTTTCTTGCGTTTTGAATCAGTATGCATATGTGTGTTTTTGTATCCGACAGATGTGTGGTGAATTTCTCGCTGCGCTCTCTCGCATACAGCTACGCCCGTCGCACAAACACATACGCATATGTACACTTGAAGTTGGCCGCACGCAATTTGCGACTCACTTGAAGTTGGCTGCGCGCGATTTTAAGTCGCGTTATATTTTGAGCAAAAATTAACTTGAATATGAATATATATATAAATATATGTTATATTATATATATATGATATGTTATATTCAGTATATTTATTTATACATAATATATATTAAATATAATATTGAAGTTCATAAATAACAAATACCTTTAATATATAAATATAATATATATTTATCTTATTTTTATATATGTATAATATAATGTATAATGTATGTATACATATATATAAATATATATTAAATACGTAATGATAAATATGCATAATTTTCTAATATTTTTTTCTTATAATGTAAAAAAGTTAATAACAAATACTTAATAAAAAACGAAGATATTTAAGAACGTTTAGAATAAAGTAACTGTTAGTGCCAGGTAAAAATATTGAGCTTGTTCTCAAGATGTGATAAATAGTTCCGATCAAGGACATATCAGTTGCACTTACTACGTTCGATTCTGTAGATCAGTGGCAGTCTTACACTCACACAGAGGTAAAGAGAGAGAGAGAGAGAGACAGAGAGACGGTTAAGTTGCAAAAGAGATCAAAGAAGTATGTGAGAGTTTGTTGGCCAGCTCCAGCGGAGATAATTGTTTTGGGTCTGAACGACTTGAAAACATAAAAGCAAATAGGCTGCTGTCATTACGATAATAACAGGTCGGAACCGCAGGGTCTCGATGACTGTAGGATAGCAGCGGAAGACGAAAACTGACTCACCTTATGATAGGATATTGCAGCTGAAAGTTGAAGTTGAAGAAGTTCTTTATGGTTCTACGAATTAGAATACTAACATACAATTTATATATATTCATTCAATATATAACTATAACTACAGAATATAGAACTGTTGAAACTCTATGGACTTCGTATAAATGTTTTCGTTTAAATATAACAATACAATAACAGTTAACTAGCTAAGCTTAGCTACTAACTAAGCTTAGCTAGCATGTATAGTCGTGAAAAACGTCAATTGAGGAAGAGACAAATAAAATCATGTACCTTTTTAGAACTAGGCCCCAATATTTGGAACTTGCGTCGCTAACAGAACGATTATAACATTATGAATATACGCCCACAAGAGGCGTGGTAAAACGTGGATAAATAAATTAATTAAGGATTTCAATTAATCCTATTATGTTTTCAGCGCTATTTGAGCATATGCATATTTAACAGTGTAGTAGATATTTATTTGGCAAAACCACAATCCCAAAATTTGAGATATATATACATATATAATATATACATCGTCTATTATTATCTCTTATCAATAAATAAAAAATGATTTTATAACTTAAAATTGAAAGTGTCTTATACATTCGATTCCATGTATATTTACATAAATTGTAGTTAACCAGTTCTATGTATTCTCATCTTCATGAGTTGGTAACTTTAAGGCAAATAATATTCAGCTATGTAAATTCTAATCTCTCTGGCCATTAAAAACATGTATAAAGAATTTTAATAATAATAATTTGTGGTTTAAATACCCATTTCTTAATTGTTGATGTTTCTAGGGTATATATATACATTAAATTATGGTCTACATAAAAATAATTGAGTTCCAAACTATAAAAGTTCATAAGCCTGCCTAAGTTATTATTCAAAATCAACTTATTTCAGAATTCTATTTGAGATCTCAACTAACTGTGCCGGACAAATTTCGACCAGTGAGCATGCAAAGCTACCTAAATATATAAATATCGACAATCCTACTTGGGTGGTCGAAGACGCATTATGCACATTTGGGCATATTTCTTGAGATGAGCTCAACTAAGAGGTTAAAACTAATAAGATATCATCGACGCACTTCAGTCAAAACAAACTTGTTAAAACCCCATTACAGAGGAGGGCAACAGAGAAGCACTCGCGGTTGCATGCGCAGTCACAGTAACCGGCGCAATCAGAGTGAGAGTTACAAACCTGTTTATATATCATAACGTCATTATCATCATAATCATCTGTATCCTCGTTAACATATTGCTGTACAGGCTACACTCACGAATGTGAATTCCTTCTGCTTGTACAGTTTGGCGATAGAGATGGGCGACTGAAATGTCGAACACGAAGTGAATCACCTCGGCGTGTCCGTATTGCATTGATCACAGCGACGGTATTATAGAAGATATCAAAGTAAATCAGTATATTCCTTAACGAAATGACTGAGTGCACACTTTCGGTTGTTGTTCATAGGTTTGTATGAAATGAAAAAGTTCATGATAAGCGCAGTATATAGTCGACCGCAACCTCCTACATTAGGCAGCAATTACTTTTTTCGAAGCGAAAGAAGAGTATATTAGCTTTGTGCAATGACCATCTCAAACCACTATTTTTTTACTGTTGAAGTTATTTACTTTTGGATTATTTACTCATCTTGTAAAAGTGTTAAGGTAAAACAGGTATAAGGTATAACAACTATTACGTGGGGTAGACAACACAGAGCTATAAATACTTAGCAGAAACACATGTCGACGCCCACACATGAGATATGGAGATGTATCTTTTAAAATAAGCTTAAAACACTACTTATCGAGTTCCCGTTATCACCCTCCATTAATTTGCCCGCTTTTTGGCAGTTCATTAGAAAATATTTCTGTTGCAGGTTTTCAGCTGAAACCCCAAAATTTTATTTTTACGTTACTGTAGATCCTCCTTGTAGACCCTTTGGTTATTATTGACCTCTATTAATTTAACAAAAACTATTTTTATATGGTCTTCATTGGGAAGTTTTAGTTATAGATCTAAAAAATGTACCGTTTAATGGGACAATCTTGAGATTGAATAAAGTACAATATATGCATACTTATTCCAGAGTTTTTCAGCAAAAATCAAAACATTATTGCCGGTGCAACAACTTCTTCCAAAAAGACTTAAATTGGGGCGTGTCATCCAATCCAATCCAATCCAAAAATATCAATTTTTGTATACCCCTTACTATTTTTGGTTCGGGAATAAGTATTAAAATATTCTTACTTGCTGATATTTAATAATTGTTTAAAACTAGACATTTTTTTGTTAATGTAACAAATCTTGTTCAATTTGTGAATAATACTTAAAACTTAGAACGGATTATAGTGTTTTGAGTATTACGAAATGTTTTTAAAATATCATGAAGTACCATATTTGTTGCTTCTTTCAACTAGCAATTTTAATACACGCACACGCGTGACTCCTAGATCTTTACCTATTTTTTTTAATAAGTTCCTATGGAATCTTTCACAGCACAAACATTTTTTTATTATCGAATATCGAAGACAGATCACATCATATATAAAATGTCAAGGATTGATAAATACACAGATCGCAGGCATCTAGTAAAAATACGTTTTGAAATTTCCCGCAAATAGGTTTATAAAATATGTGGGTTTTAAAAACGTGAAATATTATTTACTTAGTGACATCCAACTCAACATTTTTATTTATGAGAACTTGCATATAAATAAGGTTCTAGTATGTGTTTTATTGCCATTTGCTCGACTTACCAAATAACCAAACACACTTTTGATTTTTCTGTTTTAAATATTTGACTAGTTTTGAAACATGTTCATTAACGCGTTCATACAGACGCTTCACTGTACTTTCCAATATTTTGAAACGTTAGCTGCTGAACGGAAGTTAATGCGAGAGTGTATTGCCTTGACTGCGATGGCTAGTAAAGTGATATATCCTTTAATTGGTGCACAATGGACTGCTGTGTCCTGCGGCATGATTCCTTGCGAACTAAATGCCAGCCATGTACGCGCTTATCCTTTTATATGCTTCAGCCAGTGCGCAATTGTGACCACTGCGCAGAGCATTCTGCAGACTGACGCAGACGGCGTCAAAAAAGCGTTCAACAAGGCGCCGTCGCCGCAGCCAAAACGTCCTGATTTCTGACTCATTGTCACATATATATTTATATATATATATCTCTGTTTATATTTGTATATACTGCACTGTTTTGCTAATAATATCTAAAAAATAAAACGATATATTGAGTTGCGATTCCAAAGTTCGGATTCTGTCTTCGGAAAAGAAACATGATTCTTAGGAAATGACTTCCTTTGAAGTTAGTTACCTTCACAAGGCATATGATTGTAGATTATATGATAAGAGCTATCGCCTGGTGATTTATACGTCATTTTTTGTCTTGAAAACTTGAAATTAAAATATAATTTTCAACCAAAGAGGAAAGGTAGAATCTGATTCTTGGTTAATTAGTTTGATCGAATTTGATCAGTTTTTGGGTTGGAATGTAATAAATTCGAAATCTTCTGTGAGAGGAAGAATTCTAAAAAGATCATCAACGCATCAGATTAAGCTCGGCGTTGAGGATGTCTTTAGATCATGTGATTATTTATTATTACTTAGTATATGCTGCCTCTTATATGTGTATGCATATTTAGTTAGCATGGGGAGGATTGGCGGTGACAGAACTGTACTCAAAGTGAATTGAAATCAAAACATGGCAGCGTATAAAAATGAAATACTCTTAAAAACTAGACTGAGTAATAGAAAATAAATTTGTACTAGTTGGCGACACTTGGCTTCTAGTCCCCATGGTGTTGAATCTTAAACCTATTCTGTATCTGTATCTGCGCCCAGTTTAGTTGTCGAATGTTGGCTGCCGGTCTGCCGGCTCCAGCAACATTGGCGGCAACCGCGTTGGCGACGGTAACACAGACGGCGACTGGCGGCCGAAGTCAACTAAACAACGCCATCCATACCAGCAGCAACAACAAGAGCCCTTTAGTCGCGATTGCTCGACTAGGATATACCCTTCAAGGCGCGCTGAACTGCTGTCATTCAAAAGATTCCAGCTCGTATCTGGCACATAACCCCCAGCTATTGTTTAACCTAATGAAATAAATGCCCAATTAATTAACTTCGATACTATTTGAGTAATTCTATTGCAATTTTCAGGGTATACATTTATAAATATCTATGTATGTGGACCTATACACGTATTTAAATTTAAAATAGTCAATATTGCTTATAACAAATAACTAAATATTGATATGAATATTGATACGTTATCAGCAATGTGATACAAACTTAATCTGCAAGTGCTAAAGAGTCTCTTTTATAAGTCCCGAGGTAAATAAGTTCAAACATAGATCTAGTCCGTTGATTTTGATCAAGATTCTATGTTACATAAATTCTAATAAAAACAATATGCTCTGTCCTCGCATTTTTAATGGGCTCAGGGCATAATAACAGCAACAATAACACAGTCATAACGACAAACCCCCTAAAGAGAGAAATACCCGCGTCCATCCTTGGCGTCGCATTGGCAAAAAGCCCTTCCAGCAGCTCAATGTGTCGACAGCTAACCGTGGAGCAGTGAGCACTAAGATGCTTGACCTGAGCTTCATATATATTTTCGATTAATCAATTGAACTTTCGAAACGCATTAATAGCAAACCTGAAGCTCATTAGCTAAAATATGGTAGTCTATATATGTATGACTGTGGCACATCATCCCTTTGCGTTTTCCTACCACTGTGCCGCTCGACATTTCGGTGAGACGGGACAAAGCAGAATGTCGCCGCATCAGGGACTTAATCATGCCCCCAATAGACGCCTCACTTTTGGCAAATTTCAAAACAATAACCGATCACAATATCAAGTTTTGGAAATCCAAAAATTATTGTATTATATATTAACATAATTTCAATTATAGATGTCATTTCATCAATGAATACACTACTTTGCTAGAGTTACTCGGAAAAGTAGTTTGCTCTTGAACCCAACCCTCATTAATGCCAGGCACTTTTACATACAAACATACACATATCTGTGTAGGTGCTTATAATATCTGTATCTATATCTCATCAAAGTTCAGTTTTAAAATACGCATATGTACATAGGTCCTACGATACGGTCCCTGAAACCGTAGCATATACGATAGCGTTCTATAATCGATAATATCTTCTAAATAGTTTGTATTTGTTCGTATTTCCAAATTTATAAACTTAATCCACAATTTGTCAGTAGATTTTGCGCTTCAAATTTGGAGTCCTCTGGTCAGTGCTGCTAACGGCTTATATTTTATAAGGCGCCAAAGTGCGTAACAAGTGTCGGTAGCTTCGGAAGTTGTTTCGAAGAATCAACGACGTCGACGCGTCGGCGCTGACTGCGAGCATAACAGAGGAGAGCAGTGAAAACGTCAGCGCTAGCGCCAGCGGCGACCACTGCGACGACAACTTGTCGGCATTTTCTTTCTTCTCAATGAAATGAGCCACACTCACACACACACAGAGACATACTGAACATGCAGCAGCCAAAGCTAGATACGGCTAGCACTTGTGGCGACGATTCACCCCGTCCCATTGTGCGAATGTCGCGACAGTGGGGGCGAATGAATAGTACGACCTAGAGCCAAGTATACAGATACACACGCTGTTCACTTCAGCATGCATGTGTAAGTGTAAGCTCATAAGGACAAGCAGGACAAAACAGACACGGATACTCATATGCACAACTCTGATTTTCACACAGAAACTGGCGGCAGGGCGTGCGCGAATTGGGCGCCATTATTGCCACCATTGTCGCGACAAATGCCACTGTTATCTCCAATTAGAAGCGAAAATAGTTGTGGCGTCGATGATGACGAGTTGTGTTGAATGGAAAGCTGGTTAGAAGAATTCAAGAAAGTTGTGCATGGAATATCGAAGATGGAGAACACTGAATACACTTCAAATAGGTATGAAACATTGACTGTAGATATATTACCAGAATGTCCTTTTAACAAGAACGCTGGAGTCGGGTAAAACCTGATTATTATAATAAAAAAGTGTATTTAAATAATTTTGGGTTAATCAAAACAGAACGTCAATTTTAGCTATAAATATGTACAAAATACATATTCTCAAGTATATATTTCGAATGTCAAATCTCTAGTGTCAGTTTTTGAAATACATTAGGATTTATACAAATCTTTAAATATTCATTCATCATAGTGAGGATATAAGTAATATCTTAGCATGTTTTAAAACGAAGGTGCCACGAGTATATCTATCTTTATACGTTTACTAGTATATAGAGATACGTGCATAGACAGATTTAAAATGGAAAGGAGGCGTTCAATATACAGAAATCGGTTGGACTCGATCGACATTTTTATGTATACAAATAACTAACACATTCACTATACAAATTAGCTATATTTATATATATATATATATATATATATATATATATATATATATATATATATTATATATATATATATTCATATTTACCACGCCCCAACAGTTATACTATAGGTTATACTATACTATAGTTATACTATAGGTCTTTTTAGACAGTCGTATAATAGTTTTTCAGTTGCAAAATTAGCCGACTTCAGCTCAAATCTGTTGAGGATACAATTTTTCTCGCGCTCTATATTTTGCTATGAGTTTACCTCTGTAATTATAACAAGGGTGGTCTAACTGGGACTGCTCGGCATGGTGATACCGTGAACCCTGCGTATAAGTGATATTTTAATTATCTTACGCTTTTTATACATACAAAGCAAACTACACATACACACTCGGCTTACTGCAAATTTTATGCAGCGACTGCTCGTGGCCTGCATATGACTGCATAACTTCTCCTCTAGATGTACCAACACAAGTCTCAAGTATTTAAAATAGGGTTTTTGCGAATTTCGAGGGAGTGGGAGATGTATCCGAAATCCAAAATATGCAAAAAAAAACTGTTTATTCATTAATAGAGTATCTGAAACTTAAGATTTTACGGTATTCGAGCTAGGCTAGGTTCGTCGACCTGATCAGGAATACTTTACGGGGACCTTCACGCCTCCTTCTGCCTGTTAAACACATTTTCATAAAACGATTATACCCTGAATTCTGTTTTTCAAAGGGTTCAGGATATTAAAGAGATTTAAGAAAATTCCAAATCCATTTGGGTAGAATTTACAAATTGTTAACCTAAAAATACGTTTGATATATACAAAAAAGTTTTCGGAATTCATAAAAAAATTCATTTAATTTTTCACAATTATTATTAACAATTCATAGAAATGTTAAAAATATAATATAACAAACGTATTCATTGTATATTTTTTTAAACAATTTATAAAATTCTCTCGTTGTTCGTTTTTTTAAATCAAAATAGTAAGGAATTATTTAATAGAAATCGTACTTTATTTATATGCGACAAATGAAAAGATTTTTCTTATTATTATTTCAAGTCAAGTGCAATATTTGCTTTGATCTGCTTGATTTTGCTTTTATAAACATTAAAAAATGTATTCTTTAAACATTATGGTGCAATAAATACTTCAGTATACACGAACATGTATCATACTTTTTGTATTATATGCAATCTATCATCCACTTAAACTGTAATTTAATTGTGAAAAGCCGACTTTTTAGTGTTATTCTGAAAAATATATCGATTTATAAAAATGAATGAATTATGAAGCACATAATTATAATTGACACTTAAAATACAAAATGAAGAACACACAAAAATTTATAATCGTGTTTAAATTATTAAAATAGATACAAATAAAAATGATCGAAAAAGATCTCTCAATACGAGACGACGGAGGTTGAAAACAAATTTTTTCCGCTGTTTTTTTAAATATATTTCTAAAAAAACAGAAATGAGCAATTATATACTGTTACACTTCTGCTTAAATATTAAGTTTTTTAAATACACAAAATGTATCACAATTTGGATATTTTTTGTAATACAAACTTTAATGTTTATATTTTATATAGATAAAATTGTTTGCTTGTGAGACAACTTTACATTTTGTTATAAAGGGTTTACATTAATTTAATTCATAAAAAAAAAACAAAAATACATCATTCAATGCATTTCAAGACTGATATTTACAAAGTACCAAAATTTAAAAAAGTCACTAATAAAAATCTACATAAACAATGAAAATATGGAACAAATTAAAATAATTTCAAATCAAAATGAAATTGTCAAAATATAATTAATATAAGTAATTTTTAAATTTGAAATATTTAAATTATATTCAATTACTCAAAAATGTTTCTTATGTTAATCAAATAAGCCAGCCAAGTAAATGATTTAACATACCTCAATAAAATAGAGCTGTCGACAAGTATTCACTATCAAATTCAGAATGGCATATATACAATGAGCAAAATGTTTAATGCCATAACAAAGTATTTTGATTTTTTAGGTGCACAAAGTCTATTGATGAAATAAACGTGGATTTTTGTTTGTTTTGAAATTGTTTACATGGTTATTTAATTTTTTACGAGTACTTTTATATTTTGTTTTACGTTTCTTTATATGTATGAGCTCTGCCAGTGATATATGTACATGTATGTGTGTGAATGAATTTCTTTTACAAATTGTGCGCGTGTCGCAAATTGTATATGTAAAATTAAACAATACAACAATGCATAGTTTAAACATATATATTAACTGCTGAATAAGACAACATTAATGTCAGACCTCATACAAGGGTATTTTTTTTATAACTTTCTCATCCCAAAATTTATGAAAAATAATAGGAAATAATGCCTGCGTTTAATTAATTTGATGTTTAGCTTGGGTAATTAAAGCTAGAAGCGCATCTAGTTTCAAGTCTTTGAAACGCGCAAAGTGATTCATCATGGGTTGAATTGCATCAGACTCAATTGCCGCTGAGATGGTTTGATTTTGTATGGTGCGATTAAGGCAGGAAGCAACCTGCGCAAGAAACTCACGCCATTTTTGTCGGTTCTCCTCGGTAAGCGTTGAATCGAGGTTTGAAATGTAAATGGCTTCTACCCGTAGTATAATTCCGACAAGTGATAGAATGCCAAACTAAAAGTATGATGAAATATGTTGCAATCACAAAAACAACATGGCCTGCATGTATAAACTTACGCGACTACAGAAAATGCCCGACATCTTTTTATCATTCATTGTAAACGCAGTTGAAATGTTGATAATTGTTTCTAAATTCGCTTCATGTATTTGATTTTTAAACTCCGGATAAAGCGCATAGAGACAACCTTCCAAATCTTCTCGATCTTTTTTAACAACATTTTGCAGTGAACAGAATACACCACTCCAAACTGTCCAGCGTATTGTCTGATCAGAAATAAATGGCATAATCCGACGTAATAGTATCTAAAGTAAGCAGAAATGTAAACTATAAGAATGTGTGCCATATAAACAAAAATATGAATAACATATACCTTGCCTTTGCGCACGTTCATCATGGATACAACCTTATTAAAAGTGAGGCCTGCTTTCAGTTTACTCACTAAAATATCGCGCGGCTCGATTTCATAATTGAATTTATTTTTTAGCGCTGGATTCATAGATTGCGGATTATTTGCTTCAGCCGCACGCTCTTCAGGTGTTTTATTTGCCATTTCAAGTTGCTCCACAGCAGCTATGCGTTCGCTCTCCTTTTTCTTTTTTAAAATAATTGTTGCCATTACCTCGGGACTCTCCAAGTCCTCCAACTTAAGCAGATACCTATATAGGGTCTCTATGTGTAGCAAAATGTGTCGCGATTTTCGCATGCTGCTCGGCACAAGGATCACCTCACCTTGACCTTCATTGCTTTTCTCAGTGCTTTGTCTAGCAGCAGATGATGCTGATACAGTATTGTCCGCAGTTGTTGTGTCACTCCCCATGATTTCAGCATCAATAATCTTGCGGGGTGCTGTAACACTTCCATACTGTAACTTGCCCAGAGAATTTTCAAACTTCAAGGGAGAAAATATATATCCAGATAGGGCGTTGCTGTTGTTGCCACTGTTTGTAATGCCACTGGCATTGCTGCTGCTCGTATTGTCCGAGTTGCGCCTTTCGCGATGTTGTTGGCCGTTACGCGAGCCATTTTTGTTGCCCAACTGAACCAGAATAAGCTGCGCATGACCCCGGGGCTGCGTCAGTGGATGATTTAGTTGGTTGTCCTTGTGTGCCTGACTATGACGAACCTGACCATTCTTACGCTGCCTGTGTACCGTGTAATAGTAGTCGTCAATGTATGGTGTGTCCGTGTTCAGCTGTGATAGCTGGATTCCAATTAGCCAATGCTTATCGCGTGTGCTCATCAGATTGGCGTAATCGTCGAATTCTTCTTGAGGCAGGTTGCCGCCATAGCGATTGATTTGCTGTTGTTGCTGTTGCTGTTGTTGCATCTGCTGAGGAACCGACTGCTGCTGCTGTTTTTGGCGTTCGCCGGGTCGACTTTGCTGCTGTTGACGAACCACTGCCGCATTCTGAAGAAGCGGATGATTCTGTTGAATTTCCTGAACCAGTCGCATATTAAACATGTTATACATTGAGTTGGGTTGCTGATTAAGCAGATTGTGTGGAGGTAGGCGTGGCGGTAGCACAGGCTGCATATAAGCCGCCGGATGCATGCCAACTGCGCGCATCGCATTGAAGCTTGGATGCATGGCAAAGTTGTTAAGCGCCGTGGGTAAATGTGGATTTGGCAGTGGACGTGGAAAATTGGCCGGCAAAACATGTTGTTGCAATAATGCATGCTGTGGCAGATTCGTAGCTAGGCCAGTTTGATACATAAACCCAGGCGGCACACGATTCGCACTGATTCCATTTAACTGTTGGTGTTGTGATTGCGGCGTTGGCATTAGACCCGGTCCTGGGCCGGATCCACCCATCGGATGTGGACCATGAAAACCCATATTTTGCCTTGGTGGCGGTGTTTGAGGCGCGGCTAAAAATCCAGGAGGGGCTGAAATGCGAAATAGTTATTTTTTAACATTTATCTTTAATTCTGCTTTTAATTGATTTATAAAGTTACGAGTGTATAATATAAATTTGTTATAATATTTATGCTCGACGTTGAAACCGATTGAGAATGGATAAACAAATTTTTATCATGATATATTTTTAGATGAAGATAAAAAACTGGTGAACAAATATATAAACCAAAAATACAATTAAGAATTGTTGAAGTTTAGATAATATATATAGATATATTTAAGGATAAATGCCTTACCCTTGTGCTGCGGTTGCTTTTGTAGCTGTTGTTGGTGTTGCGCTAATGTTGGCGTTACCACCAAATGCTGCCGATTAGTTAAATTCAATTCCTGTTGGTGCAGAGGCTGTGGATGCTGCTGATGTAGCTGTTGTTGTGGTTGTTGTTGTTGTTGTGGTTTGGGTACTGCCTGTTGTATGATTAAATTACGTTCAATGTCTTCAAGTGTTGAGATTTTAGCTGTCGCGGCTGTTGGCAACGGCGGTATCCCAAAATTGGCATTTGCCTCCTGCAGTGGCTTTATTTGTGTGATTGCCATTACCGTTGCGGCTGCCTGCGGCTGAGGCTTAAATGCGCTGCGAAAGTTGTCTCGGAAAAGATTTTGATTGCTGGACATTGGAAAGGGGGGATTGTTAGTCCAGACGCCTGAGTCCAACTTAATGCGATTGCTTCCATCGGTTTCACCGAACGTACTTAAATCGACGTCATCTAATTTTATTGACGATAAATTTAGTTCCAAATCTAAGTCGTCGATGCTCCCACTCTGAAACCCACGCTGCTGTCGATTAAAAAAAGCACCATTACCGCTAAGGTCTTGATCTCTAAAATCTTTACGAGCTTTTTCGCCGTTGCCGCCAAGTAGGACAAGCGTTTCGTGGGCTTCCTCCCAGTCGCCGTTTATGGCTGAACCGAACGTCTCATCATTAAGGGCGTCGTACTCCTCTTCCGGGGGTTCCGCAATTCGCCCATCACTGCCATCATCATCCTATAAAATAAAATAAATATATTTATTGTTTTTAACACATTTTGAATTATTAAGTGGAAAAAAGCATGGTGGCAAATTGTGTGAATTTTTTTTCCAGACGATTGCGTTTGTCCAAAAAGAAAACGGGCGTACGCTTCATATCTTTTTTCTAGGTACTTTATTACTTGTTGTATCTTTTTAATTCCTTACCGGTAAACTTGTAGTTGTATCAAATCCGAAAAACGAATCGTCCATTGCGAATAACTATTTGTTTTATAAAAAATTATCATGACTTGTCAGTCACCATGAATGGTTAAGTTGAGAAGAAGAAGTTCAATAGAGTCCACATCATCCACAGGCCACATCCACATAAAATACCGATGTTTAAGCAATCGATTAAATGCACACATCGATAAGCACGTTGAAAATCTTTTCGCATAGCTCGGTTATTAATGAGTTACCTAAATATTTAATACTGTATTTAATATATCTTATTTTGTTTTAATTTATCAGAGCGCCCTTAATGAAATGAAAAACATTCTTTAGAATTATTGAATAGTCCTGAAGTCCTGACACTGACGATATATATAATACATCATAAAGTATGTAATATATAATAACAATTTTTGTTCTATGAACAAAGTGTCATGATAAATAGACGGATTTCTGGACCATATTTGAGAAACAAAAAATAAATTGATCAATATTAAACGAGTTTAAAATAATTACATAGTTTTTAATTATAAACTACTTATTAGAGGCCTATAAAAAATTCACATTAACTCTTATCTAATTATATGCTAAACAAATTATATTGATAAGTGATTTGTATAATACTTATTATTTCAGGGACAATTTGCGTTGCTCTATTTCAAGAAGTTTTTTTTTCAATTCTATTTTTTCCGCCATTAATTGTTCAATGACCGAGTGGTGCCTCTTATTTTCAATTAGTTTTTGTTTATAAAGGGTGCAAAATTCATTAAGAGCAATTTGTGTACTACAAGCAACATCATTAATTACGCTGATTCTTTTACTTATTGTCTCAAGTTCTTTTTTAATGGCCTGAGTTCCATATTTCCCACTCTTGCCACTTTGCAAGAAAAGCGGATCAATATCAATATCAATTTCAGCCTTTGTATCTTCTGGCTCATAAGAAAATCCTGAAACATCTTGAAGTGCACTATGGTCCTCCTCTTCAGGAACAACATCTTCAACATCTTCCATTTCGAATGTAGCATTCGAATTATCTTGTAAATCGTCCTCAGATGCATTCATTATAATTTGACTGACATCATCGTTCAAACGACATAAACTAGCTATAGTTTCCTCAGCTGAGCTCAGACCAGTTGCTAGAGGAATATTGTGCATTTCGTTTTTCTCCACTTTCTTGATTATAAATCTTTTCCAGTCCTTCAATGCCTTGCATAAAAATATGAACGATAAGATTACGATAATTATAAAGATATCGATCAAATAGGCACCTCACCTTTTTCCAAGTAGCTACGTCTTTTTGTGGCGGCCCGCTAGCATTGAGCTCGGACGTGAGTTGCTCCCACAGTGATTCATATGAATTACGTGTTTCCCATGATGGATTTTGTAACAAGATGGGATGTTTCTTAATGAATTTCAGTATTATTAACTCCTGAGTAGGATTCCGAGGTTTGCCTCTGTGGCGATCACTTGACTGAGGCAAAATTTTATACTTTCGATTCTGTGGAGATCCAGAAACATTTGCATTAGGATGCATTCTGTTCATGTGTTTGCTTAAATTTGTTGTGGTTGTTTTGTATGATAACTTGGCTTTGCAAATGTTACATAAGGCAAAAGTGTCATCAACTGCCCGAAAGAAGCACCATATTTCACTGGTTTTTCGCTTCATGTTGTTATTGTTTAATGCAACTTAATATCGTTCCCAATATTTTTTTTATTAATTGTGACAGTGTTAGTAAGGAGCTAATACAGTGTTGCAATGCAGCCAATGGGAAATATTTGGGGTATTCTTAAACTAGTTGTGGTAGTGCAATTCGTTGTGCATATCTAAAGAAAACTCCATAAAATATATAAAATCGAATATTATTTAGTAATATTAAATACAATAACAATATTTAAAAGCGTCATGTAATGATAGGTCAACTTTTTTTTAAATTAAGGTAAATAAAATAATTAATGTTGTTAAATATCTTTTGCATTTTTATATTCATAAATTTTTTTAGATTGTATATATTGTCTTTTGTTTTTAAATATTGGTATTAATCCAATAAATAAATAAGCACTCAAATATCACCATAATTCCCATGCGATGGCTATTAGGGCATTTATTTCCAATGTCTGGTCACACTATTTACAACATCGCGGTTTATTCAATTAGTTACAATTTTGTAGATAGTATCGAACATTTACACAACTTAAAAAATGTTGCCCACTGCACTTTCGCAAATATTTACAACATTTTCTGTGTCTCCAACTAAAGTAGTTAAAATCATTTCAATGGCGAATGGGGAGTCCTTCTGGACTCCTTCGAATATACAATTTTGGGTCGTAAGCCATCGTATTGAAACCTTCAACATTTTACAACGTTTAATTGAATTTGCGTGTTATTTATAATTTCGTCTTAAGTTTATAATAAATATTAATCAATATATAATATTTAAGAACAATGCTTTACCTCTCCATTATTATACTCGAGGTAACTAAATCGTACCATGAACATTATTGAGTTTGAATACAGAAAATTGAAAAAGCCTAGATAGTAAAGAATGGATATAAGTATTTCTCACTATTCATTTTTATTTGGAATGCGCAGCATAGTAAAGCCCATAGCGCAGTCGCCGATATGTCCCTCGTAAAGTCCACAGTAAGCGAATATGTATGTGTGTATACTTGTATTGTTTGTCATGCATTTATAGAATTATAGGAATAACAGCAGTAGGGTTCAGAGTATCTTCTAGTCGGACACTTCCGAGAGCACTTCCGTTACATTTTTCTTATTGTCGGATGTAGTGATTGCTGCTTGTATGTGCTCAGTCTCAAAAAGTTATTGAGTATGTGCATATATATGAATAAAGAATATGTATATAAATACTTCATTGCTGACCTCTACCTTGTGAAGAGATGTGCGATGCGTAAACGTCACGAAGTGAATGTGCTCTTAGCTTGAGCTAATGAGCTTTCAAGTACACATTATCTTGAAATCTGAAAAATAAGCATTTTGCTTAATCTTCGCCATCAAAGTAAGAATTTGGCACGTGCGTGTTATGCTGTGCTATGCGGAAGTTACCATTCTATCAAATCACGACTGCTATCGCTCGATGATCGTGCGAAAACAGAAACTCTTCTTCGCTGAGCGGGCGTATATATGCCATATATATAAGGTGTCAGTGAAGAAAGTGCATCACAGTTAATTCAGTTCGATAACAATGAGAGTGTTTATTGCGGTTGTTGGGCTACTCTTGTTGGTGATCAGCGCCTCAAGGGCGAAGGATCAACCATTTGGTTGCCCATTCCATCAGTTGGACTCGTCAGAGTTGGAATACACTGGTAGACACAAGCGAAGCAGCGACTCGTTTGATGTGCCAACTGGCGAAGGCGCAGAGCATCACCTGGACGACTTACTCAAAAGCATTTTACCTAAGAACAGCATCAGCTCAGGACTCAGCAGTTGGATAAGCACGACTGAAAATGAAAAGCGAATGAAGCAGCCCATTAAGTGCGGCATACCACCGCTGAACTGTTTAAATGATACGAGGAATTTGCATTATCGCAGTATTGACGGCGCCTGTAATAATTTGCTGTATCCCGAGTTTGGAATCGCCACCTCCAGATATAAGCGACTTTTGCGCCCTACATACGTGCAGCATGGACAAACTGTGCCCAACGCACGTCTCCTTTCGCTGTCAATGTTCGGTGAGAAAACAGTTATGGACAAGTTCCGCACGGTGGCGTCCATGCAGTTTGGCCAGTTCGTCGCCCACGACATTAGCCAGTTGACCACCCAGGGAGCACCCAGAGATTGTTGCGCCGAACCGCGTCACCCCCAGTGCCAACCCATAACTCTAGCAGCAGGTGGACCCATCGCCTATAATACAGGGAGGTCTTGCCTTAGCTTTGCACGCGCTTTATCTGACGCGGATGGCATTTGCCCAAAGAGCGGTCTACCTTATAGTGAGAAGCTGTCTGTGGTTACGGCCTATTTGGATCTCTCTTCACTGTATGGCAATTCGCCGGCACAAAATCAACGAGTACGTCTTTTCAAGGGCGGACAGCTCCGCACTTCGTATGCCAATGGCCAGCAGTGGATGCCCGTGACGCAGAATCATGAAGGTGAATGTGGCATTAACAGTGAGTGCTACAGCATGCCAGACTTACGCAATCGTTTCACACCGACAATTGCCGTACTTCACACAATTATGCTGCGCGAGCATAATCGACTGGCAGAGCAACTGGGCCTATTGAATCCCCATTACAACGATGAGCGCTTATACCAGGAAGCTCGCAAGATTAATATTGCGCAGTATCAGAAGATCACATATTATGACTACCTAGTGGCTGTTCTAGGCAGCGCCTACACGCATCTGAATGGCCTTACGTATCCCTATTCAGAAGGCTCAACGGACTATGTGAATGACTATGACGAGGGCGTTAATCCCAATCCCTACGCTGAGTTTTCTGCTGCTGCCTTCCGCTACTCGCACACTCAGGTTGCGGGATGGTTCTCGTAAGCTATAATATCTTGGGTGTTAAAGAAACAAGAATTAACTTTCTACTCATTTACAGAATGGTTTCATCTAATCGCTATGCAAATCAGACTCTACGTCTCAGCGACTTCTTTGAGCGCCCTGAGACGATTCGTTTATTGTCCTCGAACTACAATTTTGCTGATTTGGTTCGTGGAATGGCCACGCAACTACAGAAGCGAGCAGACTCTAATATCGATCGTGAGATCAAACACTACTTCAACCGGAAAGAGTTTGAGGAGTTCGGATCCGATCTCAAGTCGTTGGACATCCAACGTGCTCGCGATTTCGGACTGCCTTCTTACAACGATGTTCGTGAGTTTTGTGGTCTGCGGCGAGCCAGTGACTGGTCGGAATTTGCCAGCGAAATACCCAGCGAGGTGGGACACATATAACATATAAATTTAATGTCAATCACGAGCTTAAGAAATCATTTCGCAGAAAATTAATTTACTGCGTAAGCTGTATGCCTCCCCAGCTGATGTCGAGCTTAGTGTGGGTGGCACTCTTGAGTTTCATGTTCCTGGCTCATTATTTGGACCCACATTGCTCTGTGTTGTTGGAAAGCAGTTCCTAAATACACGTCGAGGTGATCGCTTTTTCTTTGAACGGGAAAATCATCTAAGTGGCTTTTCACGCAGTGAGTTTCAACTAAAGTATTTCAATATTATTACACTTCTTTAACGTTATTAACTTCTCGTAAAGGCCAACTGTCGGAGATACGGAAAATCAGCTTAGCATCATTGTTCTGCAATAATGTTCAAGGCCTACATTATATCCAGCCGAATGTTTTCATTTTCCCTAACACTCGGTAAGTAACACTGTGCATAAGCCCATTAAATGTTAATATTATTAACTTGGTTTTTTATACATTTTCAGCAATATTTTGCTAAGCTGCAATGATATTCCACAGCTGGACCTTACCAAATGGCAAGACCTCACTCCCCAACTGGTTAACTAATAAGCAGCAAGTCACTTTGGAGAGAAATGTAGAAATATTACTTTGTTAAATAACCACCTGATAGATAATCAAAAGCACTTAAATGGTTTCAATTTTATAATAAATGATTTTTAATTAAAAAAAGTATTGTTTTCTTCTATTGACAACGAGTTGTTAGCGAGGATCTGCGCTCTAATAGAGATTGTGTAAATAGGTTGACTCAGAAATTATACATTTTATTTCGGTTAATACATTCTGATCGACTCGTTGCTTATGCTATTCGCGTATATATATTCGTACAAAACTATTAGTTCTGCTGCAAAAAAAAAATTTAATCATATATCGCTCTTCAATACACAGACTCACATCGTTTAGCGCCGGCTCCAATGGGCATACCAATATTTTCACCTGGTATATGTTTCTGATATCAAGTCTATTGAAGAATCAAATTATTAAGAGCGTTAAAGCAACGGCCTAATTAAAAAAAAAAACAAAACCTAAACGTTTTATTATTCGCAGAAATAGACTTACATATAACAAGCCCAGAATTTCACATTGTGAGCCAGTATAAAAACCTAATCTGCAATTAAAAAACAAGTAAGAAAGCTCTAACGTGGTGCCCGACTAGGAGATACCCTGATCCCAGTCCTTTGAGTTTTAATATTTTCCGTAGTTTGTATCGAGTATTAAAAAAAAAAGAAAACAAAAATCGACATTGCGAGACCAGGTTTCGAACCCGGATTATTTGTGCAACGTGCACAAACTCTACCAACACCGCCACTTCATAACTAAAAAAAATAAAACAATAAAAAACATACAAGCGGCGCCTCTACCAACGCAGCCACTTCCCTCTTTGCGTGAGCTGTTGCAAATTTGAACATAAGTAGCAGCTAATAATTCAGCACAATTCAATCGCAATTTCAATTCTTGGAATAGAAAAGAATAGGAAAAATGCGTGCGCGTGGCGCTGCTGACATGTGCTTTTGCAAATTGGCCAAACGTTTTGTTTAATAACTTCTGTTTTACTTAATGGATTTTAATGCAATTTTCAGCATTTGATCTACATATCCTATTGGCTTGGTTGAGATGCAAACGCCTTGACGTAATGGCCCTAGTTCCAACTAAACTTAAATTCTAAGAATTTGGGGGAATTTGGAGCCGGTATCCAAAATCCAACAAAAATCAAAATTGCATAAAATATACATAAGACTAAATACAAAATTTGGAGGCTCTAGCTCTTAAGACGTTCGAGATATAATTTATTTACTGCATTTCAATCATGTTTTTATTCGATAACAATTGAATGCGAATAGTTATCGAATATTTGAAACAAACTTGACCTGCGCGTGCTATACACGGACCTACAAAAAAATTTCAAGTCTCTAGCTCTTATAGATGCTGAGATCCACGCGTTCACACATACGGACAGACGGACAGACGGACAGACAGACAGACGGACAGTTCTCAATCGACTCGGCTTGTCGTCCTGATCAAGAATATATATACTTTATGGGGTCTGCCACGCCTCCTTCTGCCTGTTACATACATTTGCACAAAACCATTATACTCTGATTTCCCATTTTCAATGGGATCAGGGTATAACAATAGATCAAGAGATTAAAAATGTCCTGTTTTTGAACTGAATGGATACATATTTTTTGGTCTACGCTCTATCAACAGTCAAATGCTGGGGCTAAGACTCTCACAGTGTCGAAATTACAGTGTATTTTCATAGAATTAATCAAAGTTCAAGTCCCTAACAGTGATGAAATGATTTGAGTTCATGCGGACAGATGGGCGGATGGACAGCAAACTGAGTCCCAGCACAAAAGCAATAAACTATTTTGCTAAATGATAACTACTTTGTGGAGAAAACGATTAGTGATTGGTGCCAGAAAACGCGTATATTGTCTACGGCATCTGTACGTCTGGATAAGCGCAGCAATCTGAGCGTGTAAATGAGCAATTTAGCTCCAGCTGTAGAATATTTAGGTGTGCCTGCCCCAATTTGATTATAGACGTCGATGCTAATGCATGCTAATAACAAGTGGAAGATGCTTTAAGTGTAGAGATTCAAATAGGAAAGTATGAATTAATAAGCAATTCATACTGAAAAAGTGACCATGTTTCATTAGTCTTAGAGATCTTATTAATCAATTAACAACTGAGAGGTATGCAAGTGTCCACTGATGAACTCAAGTGTTGACTATGGCGTAATATGAGCCACAAAGACTGAAAAGCCTTTAACTTTCGCTCTGACCTTGCGGCTTCTTTAACGTTTGAATTCTTTTGACACATCAATCTGTATGTGGGCTAATGATATTCTGACGCGCGACACCTTTGCGGAATGCTTTAACGTTTTACTATCAGTCGTAATGGCGTGACGAAAGAAGCAGATCTAACGCGATAGGTGCCAAAATTTTTATCATAGAAAGTCAATGAGTTTTATATTTAAATTATTGTTGAAAAATAAAGAAACCCAATAACAGATAGATTTCTCACTTGATGTGATGAATAACGGTCCCATAGAATCTGGATTATTGAAAGTAAGTCTTTGAAATATGAATTTGCCTGGCACATTCTTGCGCTTAATATAAAAGCGATCGATTCATCGGCGAAAGACAGCATTTGTCTCTTAGCCATGAAACTGATCACTTCAATCTGCATCTGCTGTGGTAAGCAACAATAATCGACTTTATTCATTGAGGTAAAATAATATGACTCTTGCCGCAGGGATATTCATTGCCAACAATGTTGGTACGGTACTCGCGAAGGAGACTGATAAAGAAACGGGAAGATTTGTCCCCACATTTTCGGCTCCGGTTCCAGCGCCAGCCCCGGCACCAAATGTGGTATACAAAATACCGTCACCATATTATCCGCATCCGCACCCACATCCGCCTCAGCAATGTTTCTGTCCGCCGGGTCCTCCAGGACCACCGGGTCTACCGGGTCCACCAGGTCCTTCAGGTGAGCACTGTATAAAAGTGTGTATTTTACATTATTTTTATTTTATTCTATTTTTCTGCAGGCTCAAAGGGAAAACCAGGTTATCCCGGACAGAAAGGAGACCCAGGATTAAAGGGAGACAAAGGACACTTTGGTCCTCCAGGGTTGCCGGGACCTCAGGGTCCAATAGGACCTCCAGGTTATCCAGGTGGCAAGAAGTGGCCGGCACCTCCGCCAATTTATCCACATCCACCTCCTATAATAATACCTTTTCCTATTCCACCTCCCCATAAGGGACATCATCATTCAGACCATAAAGGTGGTCATAATGGGGCTCCAGGATTTCCTGGATACCCAGGCTATCCGGGTCAACCGGGGTATCCAGGTTATCCAGGTTATCCTGGTTATCATCCCCCTGGTCATCCTGGACATCATCACCCAGGACATCCAGAACATCACCATCCTGGTCAACCTGGAGACCATCATCATGGACATCATCATCCTGGTCATCCTGGACATCATCACCCTGGTGACCATGGACATCATCATCCTGGACATCATCATCCTGGACATCATCAGCCTGGACATCATCATCCTGGACATCATCATCCTGGACATCATTGGGAACACCGGCGACCTCCGCTAATGCAGCCTGAGACAGAAATGCTGAACGACTCTGCCCAAAATGATTTGAATTCATATGACAATCAAAACGATGACGACACTGTAGCTGAAAACGATCTTAATGCATCATTGCTCTACCTGACTGAAACTATGTTTGATGAAGGTGAATCAAGCAATCAGCTGGCTGATGTAGGCAGTTCGAGCGAAAATAGTGTGGAAGTATCCAACCCAGATATGAACGAAGAGAGCATTCAACAACAGCAATCAATGAGCGATAATCAGTCCTTAGAGAATAACGAAGTTGAAGAACGGAGCAGAAAAGGTTCAATTATCTTAGCTATTAGCACCCCACGAAATCCATTGCAAATATATTCATACGATAAAATCAAATAAAAAGAAGTAGAGGCTCTCTAGTCCGGATTGCCCGACTAGAAAATACACTAAACCCTGAGGAGCACTGATATGTCATTAAAAATGGGCGATTTAGGCTATGCTGGTACCTATATATAATGCGTATATATATGGTTGATTGGGAAGACAAGATGAGTCGATCTAGACTTGTGCGTCTGACTTTTCGTTTATCCGGATTTTTGAATTTTGTTATATTGCGATAAAAGCCAATTTTTAAAAATGTTTGCATCTTTACTAAACTCACAAATACTCAATAACTAACTAAACACTAAACTAACACAGATGTTATTAAAACGCTTGATCAACTGGCAACAGCAGGTGTCAGCAGCGACAAGCATACGCATTTACATATACATATACATATAAGCACATACATTCAAATCAGTGCATTCCTCTCTATTGAAGGAATCACAATTATGCTTGAATCTCTAAACTAAAGTAGCATTTAGTTTAAATTTACAATTAGCGGTTTTATTCCTGGAACATTACATACATATAATATATATAAATATATATATATATATATATATATATAGTGTATCTCCGTGAGTTGAGTGTTTCTATGCATAGCTAGCAGCTATATAGTAAAAACGCAGATTGGTTGGCTTATAGTCGGGCACAGCCGACTAGTACTTTCTAACTTGTTGTACCCTGAGCTCATTGAAAACGTGATAACTCTTGGTCAGAACGACAAGTTCAATCGATCTGGACATGTTCATCCGTCTTTTATGCAAATATAGGGTATACACAAAACTAAGAGTAAGAATGCACATATTATGAATATTTTCGATTTTTGATACTCTCTCTAATGCTCTCCTAAATTAAATAAAACGTGTAGACTTGGGTGCAAGTGTGTGGAGTCATTAAAGCTGTTAAGACTTAAGACAAAGTGTCGGCGCTGAATAAAGTAATCTTGCTTACTTTAGGGTATCTCAAAGTCGGAATGACAGCAGCATTTGTAGTAGTTTACAATTATTCATTCACATTTTCTTGGAGTCGACCACAAACATCGTTCGCTGATTTCATTTTCCCCTTTTTTGTATGGGCTTTATAGGAAATTTTTGAATTTGTTTAATTCAATTATTAAAACAGAAAACTTTTTAACTCAAAAGCACACACAAAGCCACAAGCAAAATGGAAAGAACACTCAAAATTTCAACAAAAGAAATGTAAATATGTTTATCTTTTACACATCACATAAATATGCATTGAGAAATATGTCGGTAAATAAATTTGATTTGTTTATAACATATTTATTTATGTATTGAAATGTAGAAACAGTGAAACTGACCAAAGATAATAGCCCAGAACGACGTCGACTATACACATTTTCAGGCCCCTACGTTCAGGATAAAGAAATCTAATTCAGTAAAACCATTTAAAATCTTTTGATTTATACAAATTGAAACATTTTTATTCATTGGCATGATTTATTTATATACATAAAAAGGAAATATAATACATGGAGCTTGTTGATTTCATAGGTTTTAACCTGATTACACTATATGTTATTATATTTTGAGCTAGTTAATGATAGATCGTGTGTATAAAGAGTATCATTTCCTTCCGAATAGAATTGAATGATCTGAGGAGGGATGTACATTTTGGTCGATCCATTTCGTGATGTCAACTTGCGGGATATTTGAGCATGGCACAACAGGGTTCCTGGCAAAGTGATCATTAAGAATCATTTGTGATACACTTTACTTTTATTATACTCACGATCCAGAAATCGTTTTAAATGCTGCAGGTTGCATCGAAGCAATATTGTTGCCATTGTCGCAAAGCAAACGTGCCATGCTTGCCTTACGTAGCTCTGCCAATTGATCTGGTAATAAGAAAGGAACCGTTAATAAAAATATTGGCAATGCGAGCTACTTTAATACCTGGAGTAAAGCCAGTAAGCTTGTCGCCATTTTCGTAGAAGAAACGATCGCCTACACGAGTTCTATAGAATTGTTCTGTTAGGATGCAAAGGAACGTGGGACCGGCCAATGCACCGGCGACATGTGCTTCTAAAGAAGCCCCAACTGTCAAATCCACATCCTCGTGACTATCATAGAGCGACTTGAGCGTAGCGATTATTTGTGGACTGATCAGATCGCCAAAGTCTTCCCATGAGCCAGCACGTTTTAGCCCACAAAACTCTCTCATATCATTATAAGATGCAAGTCCGTGATCGCGATTCCGCTGAATATCCAATGAACGCAAATCGGTACCAAAGGGCCTATTGCGTCTAAATAGGAAATGCTTAATCTAAAACATAAGGAGAACATATTAACGAATCGTATTTTCAATATAACAGTAGTGCATATGTCTATAAGCACCTGTTTGTCGAAATGGATATCCGTCAGCTCTTCTGGCTGCGTCGCATGACCCCTGGTTAGGGAGTCGAAGTTGTCGCCGACTTCGAGAATGCCAGGACGATTAAACCAATCACTCAGAGTCAAGGAGCCAAGCACTGCTCGTAGCTCGGACAGAAGACTACAAATAGAAACAATTATAATACATAGAGAATGCTCTCAACCAATCAACTCTTTAGGGAGGGACATCTATTCTATTGTGCTTACTCCAATCTGCCCTCGATTTGGGAATGGAAATATCTGAAAGCAGCTGTGGCATGTTCGTTTAAGACGCTGGGATCGATGTTGGCATCGTAGTCATTTACGTAGCTTCCGCCAGGTGCCTTGTAAATAATGCGGTTCTTTAACATATTTTCGCCACCCAGGAAGATGGGAAGCCATTCGTAGAAGCTAATATGTTGGTATTGGGCAATGTTTATTTTACGAGCCTCCTGGAACAGCGTGCGATCGTCGAAGTGTGGATTCAGGGCTGCAAGAGCATCAGCAATACGGTTATGCTCGCGAAGTAGCACAGTTTGTAGAATAGCCAGGCCCGGGTTCTGATTGACACGCACGTCGCCCGCTCTGTAGCAGACCTCACTGGCATCAACCGCATCGCAGTCACCTGTGACGTTACGAGACAAAGGTAGCCATTTGGCGCCATTGCGTTCCTCGACAATCATTCGACCGCCTTGGAATTCGCGGATGTCGCTGTTCTGTTGGATGGAGTTGCCGTAAACCAGCGACAGGTCCATGTAGGCAGTAACTACTGTCAGCTGTTCAGCTGGGCCACCAGTGTATTGACAGTTGGAATCGCGATCTGTCAGCGTGCGAACGAAGTTTAGACACTCCGTACCCACTTGGGAATAAGCCGGATCATGCGGCGGCACAATTATAGCAAAACAGGTCTTATGAGCAACGTCTAAGCCAACCAAACGTCCATCATCGGTGCAACAACGAGTCGGATGTTTCCCTATAGAACTGAATATGGTTAATAATCAACTTAGCATATCTGGACGGCTCTCATACTCGATTGGGTTCCGCCAGCTTGCATGCTCATGTCGTGCGTAATTATCTGGCCCCACTGCATATTGTGGAGCGTAAACTGAGGATCGGGCACATCCTGTTCGCCAAATGCCACCAGAGATACTAGACGTGCACTGGGTAGCTCATCGCCAGTAACAGAACGAGTAGGTGCTGATATGCCATCGGCGTACTTCGGCGATAGAAGGCGCCCGTACCTAGAATAGTTACATATATACATCAAATGTGCTGTAAGGGCTACATTGCTTCTTACTTTGTATTGGGAACGCCAAGTCCTGGTCGTTGCAAGTTATTGCATGAGCCATCCATCGTGCGGTAGGCCGTCTTCTCACATGCAGCTGGAGGACTCGCACATGTGACTCGCGCCGGCATCGGAGGAGCTCGTGGAGCATTGGAAACTGCTAGAAAGGGGTTTTGTAGTGCGGGTGAAGTATCTACCAGTACTGGGGGCAGGGCATTGCTAGGAAAAATCAAAGAGTTCAAGAGTCATAGCAAGTGTAAGAAGGACAAGGATCTTACCCTATAAAATGCTGATTTGCTGAGCCTTGCAGATACGCGAATCCATGGTGGCTTCCGCCATGGCCCTGTAGTTGATCGTTGTGAACGATGTGATAGCCAGTGGACACTTTTAGCCCGGCTGCCTCATAGACAAGCCCCAAAAGGCCAAGTAGAAGAATATTTCGCTGCAAGCGCCCCTGAAATCAAGTATTTAACCATTGCAATGAAATATAAACAGAAACTGGAAACCTTTAACCGAGGCAAAGTTATGCAAACAGTGCACATTTTATTGTGAACTAGATTTGTGTGGTTCAACATTATTGATATCGAGCACACAGCTATTCCAGGTCGAAACATTTTAATTGTAATGAGATTGAAAATGAAAATGTTATGTCTCATAAATTAGTAAAACACTGAATTATAATTTATCTTAGGCATTGGTGAATTTGGAGCAAGACCAGCAGAACATTGTGAAACCAATTCAGCTTGACTGGCAGCAGAGTTACGTATTTGCATGTTTGCTTAGCATTTGTGAAGCTAGGAAAAAGTTGACTGCAGCAATTGAAAATCGATCTCTGCATCTTGTTACAGACTCCTGCTGATATGGTCAGAACTGGTTTCGTCGCTTTTTTGGTATGTATTCTATCCATGAATTATTCATTTCGATTGCGACATTTTAATAGCTCTATATACCAGGCACAGGCCAACAATTTGTAGGGAATATTTGCCTAGTTAGTTATGCACTGTGAACTGTGCTGGCGTGAAAAGTCTGTTTATTGTTTTATTATAATAAATGCTCATTTGACCAATTTGCAGGTTTCTTATGTAAGCAAACTGAGCACAATGTATTTTTTTGTAGCTCTCTAACCTCGAGCTTAGACACGGACTCATTTATCTAGCAAGAGCGCCACAGCAGTTGGAGCAAACCACGACTCCAAATCTAGTGTCAGACCTTTGTTTAAATGCCAGCTGCATGCAAATGCGCAGATATTAGCGACCAATCCGTCGCCGTGGGTTCCGCGACAAAAACCAACACCAACATATAGTATATTTTAATTGCATGCCAGGCAGAACAATGGCCCAGACAATGCGATCGGACGGCAATAGTTGCACAGTCAAAGCTGCCATGAGTCTTGACTAGAGCAGCAGGCTCTGGCTGGTCGGCTTCCTAGTTGGGTCAAGCCTCGTAGCTCAATTAAAACCAACAAGGCAGCGCTCTGACGTCCATGTACCCCCACAATCTCCAGCATCAAGCTTATAAAAATTAAAAAAGCAAACACAAAAACGGCTAAATACACGATTTTGAATTCTAATTTAAACTGGATTAACAAGGCACAATGCACACAGCGGCGATTGTTCAAGGTTAATCATTGATGTTTTCGAAACAAATTACAATAATTTAAGGCGGCTGCTCACCCTGCCAGTTCCAGTTCCAGTTGTCGAAATGAACTGATCCCAACTTGCGAATCAGAAAGCTTAAATACATTTCAAAAGGAAGTTTTAGAGCTGCAACAACTACACAAAGATCGTGAACAATTCGAAAAATAATATAACTAGTTAATGGACTCGAGTCTTAATAGTGAATTCATTAATGAATTGGCTGTAACAGCTTACATTCCCAAGTGAATAGACCAGCAAATAATCGCATATTTTATGGGGAATACATGCATTTGAAGTGGAGCAACCTATAACTGACGATTAATGCCCGTATTGGGTAAATGCGAGCAAATTTTTACAACTTTAACGACTTCTAATTAAAATCGAGTTCGCAGTCATTCGAATCGCCAAAGAAATTTGGTGATCATTAAGGTGTAAAATAGCTCTGCACAAGACGATAAAGATATTCAATATAAAATGATTGATTTATTGATGGCTTGGAATACTGGTCGCAACCTTATAGAGCAGCCAAAAGTATTGCGGCTGTTCGCCAGAGCGCCATAATGGATATATAGACGTGCATATCTGTCAATATCTCTCTGGCAGTCTGTTGGCAGCTGGGAGGCGAGGTCGCCGAAAGGCATGTAAACGTGCTGTGCTCACAAATCGCCAAGCATTCCGATGGATCTATGTAAGTAACAAGCACTAATTGAAATTGCCATTTTAAGTGAAAGTGTCCCAAAGACAGCAGAGCACCGAGACTATCAGCACCTTACAGTGCAGATTGGGACGCTGCTCTGGTATTCGAAATGTTAGCTTATAAGTTATGTAAGTGTTTTGCTTCTTTTGAGATCTGCAAAAAATAATTACAAAATATTTGCGCATTTTGCAATCGAAATCGAACACACACACATATTTTATGCAACATGACAGCTTTTCGTATAATTGATGCCAATAAGTAGAGTGGCACATTGAGTGTCCCACACAAGCATAATGAGTGTGTGAGTGTGTGTGTGTGTGTGTGTGTGCATAAGTGCACAAAAAATATTCACTTACAAGCACACGCATGAGTATGCTTCGTATCGAAAAAGTCTTGTGACCAACCAGACCCAGCCAGAGACCAGAGACCAGAGCAGTTAGCTAAAAGTCACATGAGTTTTAAGCACTCAGTATATCGTATTGTATAGTAAAGTACCCTAACTCAGTGGGGTGATTAGCAATTTATGAACTTGTTGGGCACAACTGGTCGCATTTTGGCATTCGAATTTGCCACAGAATTCCATTAATTAATTGCGAATGCAATCATCAGTTGCCTTTGCCGTCGTAAATTTAGATGCTACAAGCAAATTGATTCTTAATAGCCTTTGGCCGATTTGGCCAATTTACGAAAACTGGTTATAAAGGAAATTAAAATCAGTAACCTCAAATCAAAATTATAGATGGATGTAAATTGAGCCTGTGACATGATTCTAACTGCCACATACTGTGTCTGTGCTATGAAAGAGCGTAACATAAACAAAGTTTTTTAATGCAAGACATTAAATTAATGTTAGGCATAATTTTTCATAATTATTAGAGTTGCAATAATTTACACATATATTTTCTACTTAAGTTGCACTCTAAAACCCGATGTCGGAAAGAGTATAAGCCATTATACGTAGTGGGCTTAAAAGTTGTCGCCGGCTTGCACAGTGGAGCTATCATTCTAGCTTCAGATCTAAGGTAGTGCAATGCCTTTCGCCATTCGAAGTGACATATCACGATTTCGACTTTAATACTGGCCTGCAGTATGAAAATTCGCCTGCTTCACTTTTAATTACCGAAAATACCAAGCCAATTGAATCGGCGAATCGAATAACTTCTCTGATTTAGAGCTGTATACATTTTGACATATCCTTAGAACTTTTATTTTGGCAATGTTTATTTATTTAGAAATACTTTCTACCGCCTTGATCAGGTTAAGACTTGTTTTTGCGGTTTTTGTTTTTGTTAAAAAATATAAATTTCTTTTTAATACATTCTACTGTTAGCTACAAAGATTAAAAGAATTTATAAATTTAAAGTACAAAAAACATGCCAAAAGCCGGTTTGAATAATGCCCATATACTCGAATTAGAGAATCGCAAGATCGTAAATATATATATATATTACAAAAGGCAGCGTGTTTTCTTTTAATTTATAGTCTTTGTTTGGGCAAATTTGTTGATGGGCGTTATAAAAAGTGATTATTTTAAAAGAGCACGTAATATATATACACTTACATATATATTTAGATATTATAACATAAAATATCAATATTAATATTATCCCACAAATTTATTGGCCCTAATTACTTTTTTAACACAAAGATGTATGTGTGCTGGATTAATTAACGCTTAAAGTAATTAACATGTCGCATTCACTTTAGATGGATATTCCAAAAATGCCATAAAAATGCATTTGTCCTTAGACTTTCACTTTTGCCACAGAAAAAATCCATTCACAATGACACTCGTGTTCACAGTACACTATTATTGGTAGATAATTCAATCCCTTGCTGTGTTATAATAATTGTCTTTCCCATGATCTACTGCATGGCTGAGTTTTGACCGACACATGCTTCAGCGGCAATTAAAAGCGAGCTAATTATGATGCTCTTAACGCAATTGCCTCATCCGGCCTGGTTCCGGCCCCTACGACAACGACGGCACTGACAATGCCAACCAGAGCAGAGCCAGCAACGTTGTCTTTACAACGGAAGAGACTGAACGAAAAACTATAAGGCGACAATAACGAGAAACACGCGAGAAAAACAATAACAATTTGACGATCAAAAGTCTGCGGATATGTAAAAAAGCCAACGACCAAAGCTTTGAGCTGTATGTATTAAGGGGTAGCTCCTTAGGGGTCTGTACTGAGTCACATGTGTAGCTTTCAGCTAATAGTTAGCTACAGTCAACTGATCTTGTGTTTTACTCACTTTTCCAAATTATGATTTATGTTCTCTAGGAAGCCACATTAACATTTAACTAAATGTTAAATATTTAACATTTAAACTGACTCGAGTTCCAGACTAGACTATATCGTAGTATCTAATAATTTAGTATTAATTTTAATAATTAACGTTTCTACTATGATTCTCAGTCCAAGTTTATCGTATTCTTTTATAGGCTTAACGCAACTTTTATAAGTTGAGATCAAACAGTTTTTAAAACTGTTCTGTGAGCATGGCAAATAAAAAGATCTCTTTTTCAGCTTCAGTCTTAGAGACACCAAATGTTGCGGGTGGAGCAGTCTTGATCTGCTCTGCAGATAGACTTGAAAGTAATATGATCCTTATAAATGATATGAATTGGAAAACATCCCTATCGTTAAATGTATCCTTTTTGGAATATAAACAAGTATAATGCTGTCAATTCTGCTTCAGCTTTTAATGTAACTCACCTACTTCAGTTTTCGTATAGCTCTCCATATTCAAAATTCAATGCTCCATATTCGAATCTATTGTGTAACGAACGCATTATAGGGTATTTCTTGGCTGCCCTCTCCCGTCTGTTGCTTAGCAGCAATGATTTCGAAAATTGATGTGATCGGTATCGGTATGTGACCGCGCAGACTATTATTGTCCCCGTTGGCAAGCTACAGTTAACAGCTAAGTAATGAGCTTCGGAAAACACGAAGTGTGTGCAACATGCTCGAAACAGTCATAAGTACACTGACAATACTTTGTGTGTAGAGTGTGCGAAATATTATGTGAATTTCTACAACTTCATTCAGATGTCGCACGCGATTCGCATCCGCCTCCCCCATCCCGCCGTTCGGGCTGTACGAACCACAAGCCTCCGTCTGCGGAAAGATGAAGTTGTAATTGGCTTAAATTATGGCCAGATGGCGTTTGCTTTTAGCCGTTGTCCGTTAGCCGTTAGTCGTAATGTCTGGCAATGACTTGAGCGCTTGTGCTGCAGCTGTTGTTGTTGCTATAGACCTTGACTTTGAAAGTGTACAAGTTGCTTGAGTAGTTGCATCAACTAACGACTCGCAACGTAAATGAAACCGAAAGCTAATGCCAAACCCAAACTGGTTAATATTAACGTGTCATTTGCTTTCTTTCGGCGTTCATCCAATTAGCTCTATTTTTTTAGATTTTGAGGTCGCTAGATTTGATTTGAATCACATCATTGCCTCCATCCATAATTATTTCAATACGAATCGCGTGTGATTTTCTCTCTTTGAGGTAGGGCAAATTAAATCATAAGGCCACAGAAAATTAGCAAATTATGATTTCAGGCAAATACTTCTGTCGGAGAGTTTATTTCCCATTTATTACTGATCGATAAAAACTAACTTAAGACCGCTCAAACTTATCAAATTTGTTATACCTTGGCTTTTTACATTAATACCCAATTATTCATTTTCAGGTTTCTTTACGTATTTTTGTAATTTGTCTATTTCTTTAGTAGAGCATTTTACTTTGTCAAGTTATCTGAATATCTTACATGCAAATAGTTTTAAGTTTACCAAACAAATCATTTTTCTTTAACTTAAGTTTTACTATTAATTAATTTTTATAATTTAAATTCTAATAACATATATGAGCATTTTTTGAATCGCAGCAAACGTCAAAACCGCATTCTACGTTCCGCTCAGCTAATTAATTTTGAAATGAATTGTTTTTAACGCTATGCATTAATTGGGTTGGTTAGTGAATTCTCGAGCGGAATTCGATGAAAGTGCCTTTTGAGCGCGTTCATAAAGTGAATAGATTATATTTGTTTTGTGCAATCTTGAATCCTATCATCGCTTTTATGTCACATGACTTGAAAATGGAGGCCTCTACTGATATTTCTGTAAATCATATGAGCCTGCCATAGGGTGTTGTAAATTGAAAAACATCGCCTTTTTAATGATATACCCTAAATGTATTGAAAAAAAAAAAAAAAAAATTCAATCTCGATGTTCGACTATCTGTCAATGCTCGCATCAAATTCCGACTTCAAATTTGAAATATATATTCTTGCTTATGGCTTATGCTTTACAAGTTTGTTTATATATACTTTCGATGTATATCATGACCTTTTTCTCGATAAAAACATTTGTTTTGACTGGAAAGAGCGTTAAACCTAGAGAAACACAAAAGTAACCAGTTTGAAATTCTGAATGGCTATAATAAATAGAGTATTGGTATTTTCACTACTCGCCCCCAAAATAAAAAACTCTTTTCTAACAGCACAGAGCGCTGGCTTCAGGCTTCTGGCTGTTAACCAGTCGGTCATGGGCATTTGTTATTATTAACTTTTGCTTTTATAAACATGTTATATGAATGCGCCTTTAAACTCTGTACAGACAATATCTGTTTCTTATCGAATAAACCCATTGAAGCTCTGGGTTTGGATAAGTAGACATGTGGCAGCATGCGAAAGGTACGCATAGCTTTTTTAAAGTATATAGGTAGCTTTATGTTTGTCTTCGAGTAAATATGTACTTCCACAATTATTGCCGTCAGCATACCCAATGATTGAAAACCAGTAAAACAATGCATAAGAAATAATGTAACTCTCAGTTTTGGAAAAAAATCTTAAATCTTCGGTTCGCCTTTGTGAGATTTTTACCCAAGACCAAAGCAATGCCATTGTTCGCTACGCCCTGAGATGACGTGACTGATTTGAAAAAATCCCCAATAATATGTAATATTTATAGTACATGTGAGTGCGGGTACTTAACCAGTGCATCTGTTTATTAATCACTTGGTCTAAATGTATTTTGGAGCAAGTATGTATATAAGACATAATAAGTCTATGTGCTTATGTAGCATTTGCATATTTGACTTCTGGGTTTTGGTTTTAACTAAAGCCAGTGAACTGAACTGAATGTAATCGGCAAGTGAATGGCAAGTCGTCAAATTGTGGTTATACTCGTGCATAAATAAGCAAACACACACACACACTAAGTCAGCCGTAATGAAGTTTGTATATACATAAAATCGTCATAATTGAGTATATTGCGTAACTGGCTTAAGATTCCAGTTGAGAGTGAGAGCCGCCTGGCGAGTAAGAGAAAGTATATATGTGTGAACTGCTAAGCCCTCCAGCCACCGAACTTAAGGCCTGTCTAAATCAAATGCACTTAAGCCAGTTCAGAGTTCTTTTGAATACTTAATTCCCCCTCTATGCAAATAGCTCAAGCAAAAATCAAAACAATACCAATGCTCGCTTTTAATGTAATCGACATTTAGCTTTGGCCAGTTGCAGCAGTTGGCCCCACTCGAAAAATTCAAATATGTCGGTATATAAAAGTAAATAATTTATGGTTGCTGCTAAGAGTTGTTGACTGTCTGCATTGATTAATATCGAAAATGCTTACAATTCTGGTTTACCTAGAGCCGATACTAAACAATGGGGCGTATCCAATTAGATGGCGTCGATTTGTGGCCATACACCAAATCCCTTGATCTTTTAATAAAGATGGGGCAAGGTATGATGGGCCACAGGCAAGGGCCAGAGTTGGGCATAAAGAAATATTTAAAGATGTCTTGGGTGTTTCTTTCATGGACTGGAAGCTATACTTCGTGCTCTACAATTTGCGACAGGGACACAAAACCAGCACAAAAATTAAAACGAATTCAGCTATGAAGGTCATTCGCTGGCTACCTTAAATTAATTACCTTACCTTTAATATTGAACAAAAAAAAAAAAAAATAAAGGCAAATACAATTTTCAACACAATTATTATGCCACTTTCAAAGTTGTGTGTGTTTTTACTGCACGTCTAAGAGTTGTAGCTGGTATTACAAACAATAGTGTGTAATTTGTTTTTAAATATGCTATTAGAGGTAGTCAACATAAACTGGTATGAATAGTTAGAGTTAGATTAACAAATAATCTCATATTATATATGTATAAATGGCAAATAAAATATTTTACAAGCACTTACAGCATGTTACGAAAGTGTAACGGGGCTGGCCATAATATGGTCAACATCAAGGCGACATAAAAGCCTTCTTATCTTTCTGTTTACAAATTTTATATTTAAAAAAAAAAATATACTTAAGCTAATTTTTGGCATATACGAATTCACGTATTTATTTAGAATATTGTTTGAAAGTTAAGTAGCACAAGTAGGTTTTGGGCTCACAATAAATCTTGAAATATTGTCTTTATATTTATATTTATATTTATATTAATTTAATGTTTAATTTTATTTAAACAACTTTAAATTTATCATAAAGTTCTTAACCTTAATCGAAAATACAAGTTTTCTGCATTATATACGATGCTCCGAATCTCTATCACTCATAGATAATCTACTCTTCCAATAACTAGCTACCTTATATATATTTGTGTACACATAATTGACCAATTATATTCAAATGATATTTATATTTATTTAGGTTCTGGTACTTACCATGCTAAGCTTCTCCTACTCTTTAGCAATTTGTAATTTCAAACCGTTATAAATATTTCACTTTAAATTACTCACGAAATACAACAACTCGAATATAGGTCTATGAACAGCCAATATTTGCTATTCGACAATTACAAAATCGGAATCGTGAATTGTACGCTCAGTTGGGCATGGATATATAAATTTTTCTTGGCAAACAATATTTTGAATTGATTTGATTTAATTTGATTTGCCAAATTTGCAGCTTAATTAGCTACTCATTCACAACTCAACACCTGCTCATAAATGAGCGCCAAGCTTTAATTCGGCAGCTGGATTAGATTACGATCCGTCGGGTAAATCTCTTTCAACCAAAACCAAGTACCCAAGTTGCTGTCGGCGGCAAACTAACTGGCCAGCCGTTGATTTTTGGGCTTTTATAACGAATCGACATCGGCTGTCGCAGCAACTGAGCTGCACAACGCCAACGCGAACATAAACGCCAGCGCCTAGGCCAACAAAGCTACCTGCGCTTGCGGTTGAGCTTCAGCAAGCGTTTGCTTAAAGCCAGTTTATACTTGGTAGCGCTGCAGGCGCAGGCGACGGCGAAGGCGCAGGCGCAGGCGCAACAGTAGACGGTAGACGCGGGCGCGTGCGCAGACGCAGGCTCAGGCTTAGACGCTGAAGTTGCCGTTGACTGCGAAGAAGCTTGCTTAAATTTTTTCGCTCTGCTCTAATTTATAGCTATGCGAAGCGACGATGGCGACTCAGGGACGCGAGGAACACACATTGCTGGCGCTGCTTAATACGTCCAGCAGTGGGTTTTTATGCTTCATACTTGCAATCTATGCAATTTCAGTCTATTGGCCGGTTGTCACTTTTTGGCTAGGACCCGCAGAGCATTGCTTTACAATCTGGGCCAAAAGCCATTTGTATAACTTTAAGGTAAGCTCCGCATGAAAAACGAAGTTGGACATAAGCACATGCAGACTCACTCATGCACACATATACACATACGTAACCCCATCGACCTTTTTGGAGTGCGGCTGTTGTAATGCGACAAAATGTTGTATGGAATCGGCATCTGTGACCTAGAAAGCTTTTCTTTTAAAAATGTTACGCAAACTGTAGCTGTGTTTGCGTGACGTTGATATGGACAATTGTTTTCATTAATTAAACATTTTCAACATAATAAGCCAACTTTTTGCAATGTATTATTATTTACATACTGGTACACAAACATGATTGACGATATAGAAAATGCGTACGCACTCGCATCTGATTTCTATAAGTAAAACGCAGCTTAGAAAAAGCTTAGTAAGCCGTAGTTTACACCTTTGCGACTCTTAATAATTACTATGATCATTTATCGTACACGAGTAGACCAGCATCAGTGGTATACACAACGGGGGCTGTAGGGGCCACACGTCAGTCAAAACAGTACAGGAAATATTTCTTAAAATACTGTCGAGAATACGATTAAAAAGCGAGTAAGCCTGCTCATAACATGCTATGCATTCTATAGTCTTGTTAACCCCCAATATATATAATACGTCACTTAAAAAATATCTTTGGAGATTATTATTATAAAATGCCACTGCTTTAGTTATTTTTAAACTTCGCATGGGAAGGTGGTAAAAAGTGAAATATTAACAAATTATATATTATCTATCTATTTATACATTTCAATATCTATAGCAATTGCAAGTAAAAGTGAAGCTTAATAAATATTCGTTATCTTTAAAAAATGGGAATAGATATAAAAAATGTTGTTGATGTCTCATAATATTTACGAGTCTTTTAAATGTGCACAGTAACGAAAGTCACAATAAATAAAGTGCTCAATGTTAATTTTTTGCACAAATCAATTTGATCTTCACTAGGTATAAATTTGTGTATAACTGTTCTCTTGAAGAATCGCGCCTTGTTCGTAATTTTAAACCTTACTTAAGCCCATCAAATGGTTTTAAAGACATCAATCAGGAATGGTGATATAAGATCTTCTTATTACCTTAGCCTTAGGTACATTAATCTTAATCTTGTGGTCAGATTGATTGAAGTCTAAATATCTAAATATTCGTGTGCTGCAAATAAATTGAATTCAAACCGCAAAACAGCGTAACCTAAGTCGTCGCACGCATGCAAATAATTTTAAGCGAGGAATTGAAGCATTGCCTCATGTATATTAAATATTTCTTATTTAATTTAAAAAAAGTTGCACTTGCTACATTGGGAAGTAGGCTTGAAAGTGTGCAAATGTACCTATAGATGGTCAGACAAAGGAACATAAAGAGATCGTTCTGCCCAGGATTTTATGTGGACAACAACTCAACGCAGTTGGTTCTTCGATCTTTCTTATCGCCGTTGCATATGCACCATGGTTTTAGTGGCACCCCTTGTTTGCAACTAATAATTTGTACCTCCGCCGCTGTATAGCGTATGTATGTTTATGTTTGCTTGCCTTGAATACTAAATGTTGAAACTTTGTCCAATTAGAGAGTTAGAACTCATTTAATTTGTCTTAGTTTGCCGCTGGTATAAATAATCATGTGTATTTCGCCAGAGTCCGCTAAGACTAGATCTTAAGTACGACAACATTAAAATTGTAGATTATAATAAAACTTATCATTTCTTATGTTAGTAGACCTTAAATTGTACTAATGTCTATAAGGCATGTATGAAATTTAAATATTACACTTTTTATTCTCATATTGTATAGTATGTACAGATATATATTAAAATAAATGAACAAAAATTACAAGTAAATAAAACAATTTAAAGGTTCATGTGGTCTAATTAAGTACCACATAATCGTAAAGTTCATTTGATTCGAAATGTTCAAATCATGCTCCAATGTAAAAGTAAACATTGAGTAACAAAAGAATGCCTAGAAGACCTCATTAAGATCGTTATTTGACTGGTCAGCCTTTTGCCTGGCACGCGCCAGCTTCGCTGACAACTCGGAGGATCGAATTGTTTTGTACTGAAAAAACGATCATTAGAAGAAAAGTTTATTACACATTGAAAGTAACTGTACCTCGCAGAAGTTTTTCTGTAGCACAATTTGTGATATGAGTCGACGGCTCTCGCGCTGTCCAAAGTAGCTCTCAATAGTGTGAGGAGACAGCGCAAATATTTCCTCGCCGCTTAGCGTGTGCAGTCGCTTGATGATATTATCGGAAAACCCTTTGCCGCGCAACCACTCTTCCACTTCCTTGGGCTTGGAGTTCTGGGTAATAAATATCTCGGGTGTCTTAAGGATTTCAAGATCCCTGCGTTGCTGTCTCTGCTGGAGCAAGATTTTCAGTTCGTCGTTAACGTCGCTCTGCATAAGGTAGGCCTCATCGTCGGCATCGCAGTCGTTGCGAGCGCGCATCGCTGTTTTAGGTCCAAGATATTATTATTACGATTTTAGCTTACAATTGGGAAGTACTTTAGTACACTTAGAACCAACCTGCAAGGGTTCCAGCAGCGGCCATGTTGCGTTTCAAGGTTCCACTCGGAGTAGGTGTTTGGCTATCACTTGCCGGAGGCATCGGTGGAGGGATCGGCACGTTGGGCATAGAGTAGGAACGAGGCATATTTTTCGAATTTCCTATCGGTTGCTGCGACTCCCGATCACCATTAGGCACATATAGTGCCATTGTGTTGCGGTAAAGTGGATTGTTCATCTCCGGATCTCCGTTCTCCAAAGACTCAGAGGCCAGTGACTCATTATCGCGCATATTCCTCATAAGTACGGGATCAAAATTGTAAGGAATCAAGACGGTGTGAGGTACGTAGCCAATGTTTCCGGAAGAGTTGCGCGCCTTCCACCAGTTTTTGGAGCTGTCTATCACCTGCATATGCCAAATAAAAATATTTAGCATTGTTACAAATTTAATTACAGAAGAAATTCGCCGCTCACCTCCAAATATTCGCCTTTCGCAACATTTAGTTCCTTATCATTGGTGGCCGTCTTATTATAAGCCACTTCTGCGATGTTAACGTTGCGACTCTCAAGGCGACTGAGCCAAGTGCGGTTGCTTGTTGGACTTAGGGGAATGGGCACCGGTGAGGATGTTGGGGTCTTCTTGAGAGCGGGTGCTAGATACTGCACCGGCTCATCCACCACCCAATCTGGGGACCAATCGTCATAGAATATAGGATGGTATTTCCCTACGTGGTCCTTGAATTGATCTTTTGGGACTGTCCAATTCGGGCCCAGACTAAGCCACAGATTTTTCTCATTGGAGTCCAGTACGCCATTCAGAAAACCAATTGTTTCTCGGCGAAGTAGAGGATTCACGACGCTCTCCGGCAAATGAGTACCGGCGTATACGTCATTGCAGACGTTCACAATAGTTTGCAGAGATACAAAAACATTGTGAATTGGATCAGCGCTCTTGCTAAAATGGTTCTGCAATTTGACTGCGAAATTAAGTGCCAGCTTTATTTTAGCTAGAATGTCGAAGAACTCCGTCTCGATTGGAGGGCGCGATCGTAAAACCAGTAGGCCTTCTCCATGCGGGTTATGCTGATTTTTGCGAGACTCTAGCTCATGCAATGCCTCAGCTGCATAGTGCAATCTGGCAATAAATCGTTCCACATCCTCGCTGTGTGCAAAAAGTAAATAATCAATTGAGCAATAAACAAACAGTACAATTAAACAAAAAGATACAGAAATATTTTGAATGATCTATAACACGCATCATATAAAAAATAAAAAATAAATATGTTAATAAAAAAGTATGAGTTTAAGGACATTAAATATTGGGAAATGTGAAGAGTCGAATTGAAAGTGCAATTTTGTTTAAAAATTAGTCTTTCCCAATTATCCCATTTAGGAACTATCCAGAAAGACAATATACTCATGGATTGTGAATGCTTCAAGAGAATCTTTTTTTTCGTCACGATAATGCCTGAGTAGCTTAAGTTTGAATCGATCTTTTAATTGTTTAAAACAAATTTATCTGCGCATAGGACACAGAGGACGACATTAGCGTCAACTTCTGAGCTGTACCTCAAATGGGTCGACGGACGGACAAGCAGATCGTTTATTTTATATGTGTTAAGACGCTGTGGAGTATTACTAAATGATTAAACTGACAAAGGCCATTTTTCCAGAATGCTACTAAGCCAAATAGTACATACAAGCAATGATTGAGCACTTGGACATCACGATCGGTTTGCTCGCGATCCTGAGCATTCTTCTCAGCGGCAATTCCTGCTACGGCAGCTGCAATGCCGTATTGATCCTTTGCCTGTTGATTGCCTGTACGGTCGGGCTTGGGCAAGCGTATGGGTGTCTTGTTGCGGTCCACAGTGACGGGCGAGCCGCTGCTTAGCTTACGCAGATCTTCAACCAAATGGACCGAGTTCACGTCACTGACCTATATATCATAGTTAATAGGGGGAGCAATGACTTCAGTTAATTAATATCTTACCTGAAATATGTGCATTTCAGTATTGCCCAGCGAGATTCCCGGAACAGAGAATATCAAAATATTATTGTATGTTTCGAGTGGATCGTCACTTATAAAGGCTGTTGGCTCTGTTATTAGACTGCCCGGAAAGTTTTCGATTTCCTTCATGTCCTTATTAAGCATTAGCAGCCATTGGCCATTAAAGCACATGTACATCTTATGGGGCCAAATTCCGCCAGTCTTATCTAGTTCAATTAACAATTTCATTTTATCTTTCGGCTGTTTCACTTCAGCCTCATTTTTTAATTTAAAGGTGACCAAATGATCCAAGGCATATGTCGGCTTAATATCGTCATTATCGTAGCCTTCATTGAACTTATTACTGGGATGAGCTCCATTATCATAACCGTTTCGCAGCATACTACTAATAATTAAAAAAAAAACAACAATTTAAACTAAATACGTAAATTTATTCACACATAAAACTGTTAATAATCTCACGATATACAACTTTTCATATAATACCAAAGACTCAAATCATTTATCAGGTAATTACTGTTACCACACAAGTCAATAATTCTTCAGTCATCGGTGTTTTATACCCATATCATAAATACCAATTATGTGCGTAATTGATAAAGCCCAAATCTTTACTTTTCGAAATACACTAATTTTTATTTGAAGGGAATTCTCCAAATCGAAGAAATTCATCACAGAAAGCCAAGCAAAACGTTTGAAATCTTTGAAATCAAAATAGCAACTTCTATTGATAATAAGGAATGACGGTATTATTAATAAGAAAATAGAATAAACTATCAATCGAATATTATATACAGACATTTTTAGATAAAATTTCAAGTGTCAGCTTTTGTAATATACGAGATATGTATCTACGTTCAGACAGGCACGTCTAGATCGACTAAAAGGGGTGCTGATCAAGACTTAATACACACACCATAAACAAATGCCACGCCTTCTTATCGTAATTTCCACAAAAACCAATATACTCTGATACAAATTTGGACAAATTTTGAGTATTTTGAAGTCGTTTACTGCTTCCAGTAGTAGGTATTCTCTGAACACAATTAGGAGCATTTTAACTCGTAGATCAACTTCACATAAATAATCTTTTTTCTTAAACAAAAATATTATATATGTATATCAAGCAGCTCGAATGCCACATATATTTCAATATTTCTTTATCAATTGAAAATATGTGTTTGCATATCAAAACCTAACTTCTGACCTTTGTATAAAAAATTTATTTAACGGACCGATTGGATACTATTATAGCTACAACAGAAATATATAATATTTTAAAGTAAATAATTTAAAGTAAATAAAAAACTGAGTATAAATATGATACAGAGCTATAAATGCCCAACTGAATATTCTCAAATTGTATAGATAAATCAATGTTAACTTCCTCACAGATATGGTTTGGACTCTGATCTTGAATTCTGAAGTCGCTTTGCCAGCGATTGGAACGGCGTTTTCACTTGTTTGCAATATACACGACGAAATGTTATATTAATATTGGTTTTTTATTTATTTTTGAAATATATACTCCTGTATAAATATCAGCATAATCACAACAGTTTGGACGAACATTGAGTGAATCGTTTTTACAACTTTTAAGGGTTCAGCGAATCATTACATTTTAGAAGATTGATCACTGTTAAACTTCTCTACATATTTAGTAATAAATTATAGGTTTTATAAAAAGCAAGTTGAAAATATTGCAAGCGATCACATCGGGTATAAAAAGATAGTCCTTCGAGACACAGTCCGCAAGAACTGTATTAAATGACTCCTAGATTTTATTTATTCATTATAACTGACTGCATCGATAAGTAAGTTTTTAGTACTTGTTGATATTCACCTACGCGTAACCACTATGGGTCGAAAATATTTTAAGGTCCTTTGACTTGGCTTAACCATTGGAATGCGATTCAATTTTTATTCTTTGGTAACGCGTGTATTGAAGCTCGCGCGACTGAGATTTCATTAAATACATTTTAGCTTACTAATATCAAAACTGGCAGTACTTATATATAAATATGATTATTCATAAGATCAAATCAGAAATATATACTCGTGTCTATGTGAACACTAAATATAAATACATATATATGTTCTGAATATAGTTCATGGCATACACCTGTGGACTTGTGCATGTGGTGAGTGCCATGCTGATTAGATAAACACACAATTGAACGGTTGCTTTTGATTTTGCTTTTGCTCTTGCTCATGCTTTTGCACCTTTTTGTCAATGCCACAGTTTTCCGTTTATCGCCTTACGTTTGAAAATTCTTGTCGGGTGAAGCAATCTTTTTTTAATGTCCGTTACATAAGCCCTGTTATTATAAGCAAATCAATATAATTTTAGTTTCTGATTACGATTCAGTTGATTTTTCGTGTTTCTTAAAAATTGATTGCTCTCGTGACATCATTGCCACAATCGCAGACATGCACATTTCCTTTATCATAGAGATCTTGATTTATGTAGTATATCAGCTTTTGTTATCAATCGACTAGCAAATTCTTTATACAATAAATACATATGCGCGAGATGAGCAATGGGTTACCTTAGGCGAGATATTCAGATACTACGCTACTCTGGTAAAAACTTCCACTCTCGACACGCCGCGAATCAAACTTGAACTAACTGCCAATGGCAATGGGCCATCGGGCCAATGGAGCGATATCAGTTGGCTCTCCACACACAGCGACTATTAATTGATTGCTCGAAATTGTTTCGGTTAAGTCTTATCTCAATGTACGAAAAAACCTTTTTATCTACCTGTTTGTTTTTGTTTTCATTGCATGTATTATTATTTCTGTTTGTGCTGCTACGTATTCGCAGTGCTTTTGCAATGCTATCACACAGAATATACATATATACACATATATATACATATATGTTACATACATATTCATTATTTATATAATAGGAACGCTTCAATTCATTTTACAGCCCAAAAACTAGTGGCAAAGCTCTTTTTGTTATTATATCAGCTCATTACATTTTTACCGCTTCTATGCGAAATATTCTATAGACTTGTAGAACAGCTTAAATAAATAAGGAATTTATCTAAATCAAATATTTCATATTTACATAAATTCATTATATTTACATTATGCATATTTACATAAATGCATTGCAAAGCAAAGTAATGTCATTTAACTAGTCACAAGACAGTTTTCTTATAGCATACTACTAGTTAAAATGTATACAATTTTATAAGCCCCTCAGATTTGCTAAAAACTCAAAGCTCAAGAAATGCATATTTAAAAAAATTAACATTTTAAGCTGTCACAATCTCGAGTCCGAATATGCGACTTAATTCTTTTATAATACAATGAAGTATCTTTTTTGATCAAATAAATAAGACTTCAACTCATTATATAGTTATCAGGCCTTCTATACAAGCGTAAAGTGTTTTGCCCTACTGAAGCTAGAAATATGTGGAATTTTGAACATATGCTCGTTCATACCCTTACCTTATAGAGTGATACGCAAAACAATAAGAAAATTATATATCTTCGAGTACCCAACATCTATTATTAAAGACGCGGCTTAGAGACTTGCAATTTTGTATGTAGACACGCCCTGAATTCTCAAATGTGAAAAGTAGGCGGATCAGTGTTGACCTTCTTCAGAGATAAGCCTTTAAATTTGATCTGTCTATTGAGCCGTAGCAAATTCGAAAATTTTGATTTTGGAAAAAACTATTTGTGCTGTTGGCCCGTAAGCGACAATAAGAGGCTGCCCCAAATCCAACTTTCCTTCAAATTTATTTTAATATATAAATAGGGACACTTTTTATTTGCCTTCGTCGGTAAAGGACAACCAACAAGACGGGCTGATAGCAAGACATTGCAAAGTCGACTCAGCTGTTGCTACTGGTGGGTTGGCACATTCTTTCGTCATAGTATATACATATCAATAAAAAAATATCCATTAAAAATATAACTTTTGCGTGTAAACTAATAATTTACCTTAAACATTTTGTGATTTATTTATTTATAATTATAAGCGTTGTATATTGTATTCATTTTGTATAATGATATAGAATACGCTTTCAGCAGCACTATGAATACGAGTAAAATCCTTCAACAAAACATTCATGTTGTAAACAATAATTTAAAACGCAACTAGTGGCCGTATGAAAATATAACTTAACACCTTTCCGGACGAGGCTGCTTCACCTGTGAGGAAATGCTTTGCGTGCACACGGGAAGACGGGCAAGCAGACACATCATCAATACGGACATTGTATAACCAATATACTCTTTCCAGTTTGTAAATGCAAATCATGTAAGAGATACACTTTACATACATACCAAAGCAGCAAACTTTGAATTAAAGATAGATAAGAAATAGTTTTGAATAGGCATTGAAAACCTATTTAAATATTACTATTATTATTATTATATATATATATATTATATATAATATATATTATTACAAAGTACAGATTCCAGAATATTTATAATATTTATTGAATATAACGTCGGTATTTAACAATTGATTATATAACATGATCTATGCGTTGAAATTAGGAACATCATCAAAATTCGTCTTGGTTGAAATTGGGATTTCATTTCGCCACGAAGCTCTCCAGCCTACCGACGCTGAGTTATTAAATATCGTCACACTTAACCAGGCGATTGCTGCAAATGAAAGTAGTAAATTGATAATTGAACGCTTGTAATTACAATTGAGCCGCTTATCTCTCGAATCCTTAACCTTATATTAAAAGCAAATCAACTTTTTTACTGAAATGTGATTCACTGTCGGGTTTCTTGTCATTTTTGATAGCGACTTTCGTCGACATGTGAGCTGTGATTTGCGTTGTTATGTGCCAGAGTTATATGTAGTAGCGCTCACCTGTTGGACTGCAATCGGAATATATTTTGTGGCACAGACACCATATCAGAGTTCAGGCACAAGAGTTTCGTTCCGTTTATGGCACTGTACGCTCTCAGCAAAGAGTCGTCAGTTGGCAGTTGGCGCTGCTGTTGACGCTGGTGGATTTTCGAGAATTGCTCAGCTAAAACGATGCAAGCAAGTTGAAAGTACATTTGCTGCCGCTATCAAATTGACCCTCTTACCCAATATACACTTAAAGGTGGGGCCAACAGTTCCGTCGACAGGTTGCTCTGATATTCCTCCGATTAAGAGATCCACATCTCTCCATCTTTGATATACATTCCTCAGTTTATCCACGATCTGTTGTAGTTGAATAAATGTATATACTTATATACTATACATAAATGTATATCCTTAAGAATAAAAAAGTGGAGACTTAACCTAATTTTCGACTACAAAAATATTGCAAGCAACTCCATTATTTGTCCCCGAACTGTGAAATCCGAAATTGATACATCAATTGGAAATTCAAAAAATTCAATATTGAAGCTAGAGCAATTTGAAATATATACTCGTGGGTACCCTCGTCTAATATCTTCTACACAAACAAACCTAAAAATTCGATTATTGTGTTACTGTTACTTCTGAGGGAGTATCTAAAATACCGTCATTATCACAGTTTTGGAGCCTTACCCTAAACAAATTATAATTGCGTTACTTTAGACTCATTTTTCATATTTTATATTTCAAAATATAAAAATATAAAAAAAAATATTTTATATTTTTCATATTTCCACTTCCTTAAACTCCAGCGCTTCAGAGTTAGGAATGGGTATTTAGCAGTTGGTAACGCCCGACTGCAATGTTCTTATTTACGCTTCGCTCTAATTGCGCTGTGGTTTTCCCAATTGACCACACGTGTTTTCTAATAACATCTATATTACTTGTCGGTCTTCAAATGATTTTAGTATATAGCCGACATATTCTATTGAATATGTGAAATATCAATAATTAAACTTCTTCTATATTTTGACAATATTTTCAAAATTGGACAAACTGTACATGAACCAAACTGCTCAATTAATACATACTATCTTCAAAGTTTTAAGACGCACAGAAGTAGATCAACTCGGTATATATATACTTTAAGAGATCTCATACATATAAAAAACAAAGTTTTGATTACGCTGACGACTTGCGTCAATATATCTTTTCGTCATTTTGAATGAGCTTATCAATCAAAAAAATACACTCATATGTATATATATATATATAAATATATACATATATTTTGTTAGTTTATATATAAATACGTATCTTTTAAGATATTTATATAAATATTTCGACGTTGTCTATGCGTCATAGGCATGCAATTTTGCATAATACTTTTCATAATACGTTGTTAGTAAGTATTTCACACTTTCATAAATAAATATCTCCACGTTGCCCAAATCAAAATATTATTTAAAATAGTCAAGTCTTAGGCTTAAGTACATACACATATTAAGATACTATTTTATATATTCATGCCCTGAACATTTCATTCAGATAATAAATCTGGATATTAATTTATGTTATTTAATTTAATTTTCTTTTCACTAGATAGAATACGTAAGAGCTTTAAGCATCATCATCATTGCAGTATGCAAATCATTACCAGCATTGACTCACCTTTTTCGGCATCACGGCCTCAAAGTCTGACCAACCAGCAATGTTTTTCTTATTACCACATGCTTCCAAGTACTTGTAATAAGGCTGTAGTCCATGGTCTCGTCCTCTTTGAATGTCAAATGCCAAAACATCGGCATGCGTTGGCTTTGTTGGTTCATGCCATACAATCTGCAGTGAAGATTGAATATTGTTTATTCTCTGTTCAGTAGCTCTCTAGTCGGAAAGGTGCAAAATACTTACTGCACCCACGTAGAAGGCATCCATTTTCATGGCACGCTCATGCAGCAGACTCTGCAATATCTCGCTCAGTTTTTTGGAAGTATATTGTAGTTGGGGTTTGTATATTTCATTTTGCAGCTCAAAAATATTTGTCAGCGGAAGAATATTGCTAAAAAATGAAAGAAAAACAGATCGTTTCATAAGGTTCTTGTTTTTCGATTTCGATAATTTTCAGATATTTTCCACGCATGTCATTATACACTAGTATGTATATTGACAACTATACGAACATTACACAAAATCAATATAAAGACTTCACTTCGCAAATGTCTACAATCCACAAATATTACCAATAATGAGCCAACTGTCTTACTTGTTAGATGAGCCAACTTTGTTATCGGAGGCGAGATTGTGGAGTGCATTCGGAAGCATTGATAAATAGAATCGAATCGCAGCCACTGCGAATTCATTGGACACCTCCGAAAGTCTTTCGTCGGCTGCAACAGGGGGCGTTGCAAGCACATCTGCGGCCGTCTTCTGGCCTAGTACTTCAGGAAGCCACTCCCGCATAATAACGCGCCGATAAATATCAATATTTACTGCCTTGGCCGCTTGGTATAGCTGCTCATCAGTCCAAGTCTTGTGCCGAGACAACAGCTCAGCAGCAATGCGATTGTGATTCCTCATAAAGATCGTGTAGACCAGAATTGAGAGAGGACTGCTGTTAACACGTGAGTCTCCAGCAATAAAGCAAGTGGTCACATTGGCACTATTGTTCCAAGCGCAAAATCTATGATCCTCATCGTCTGACGTCATGGGCAACAATTTGCCATGCAAGCTGGACTTCAAGGCCCCGTTTGTTAGCGTACGCATTTTACGCTCCGCGGCATCGGTGAAACCATAGAGCTGAGACAGATCCAAGTTGCCAGTAGCTTGGTTCAGCTGCATTTGAAAGGATAATCCGGCTTAGTCCTGTTCAGATCCATTTGATGACAGCTACACCTACCTGCTCAGCAGACCCGAAGTTACATCTCTCGCCCACAGCAAGCGCACTTCTTACATAGTTCAAGCAATTGGGCCAATTGTTTTTATCATTGTACAGAATCGGCGCACACAGTGGATGGTGAAAACGGGGCTGCAAATTGTTCTGATTGCGATTGCAGCATTCAATCGGATAACCATTGCCTGGAGACGATAAATATTTGTATTGCAACTGCCTGGCCCTGAACACATTTTCTTACTCATCGACTGTGAAACGGTCTTGCTCATATCGTGCTCTACGAACTGTGAAAACTGAACAAGAACTAAATTCGAGTAGTCACTGTCATCTGTGTCAGCTCTTGTTCTTGAGCCAGTTCTGTGCAACGAATCATTTTCCTGATCATACAATGCCATACTGATAGACCAGGCTCCAGGTAATTTGTCCTCTCCAAACATCTAAAAGCAAATAACATTTCAATTAGCTAACAAAGTTAACGCGTTTTCACAATACTCGCCTCGTGAAAGCCATTCTTGTAGTTGCGCGGCAGCAGGCGCCTAAAGGCATGGTGACCTGTACGTGGGCTCTGAAGCACTCGATTGCACTCGACGCTTAGGGGGCTGCCTTCAGGGAGTGGCTTTGTCTCAAGGAATGCCCGACACTCATCTCCACTGATTCCTCTAGGAAGACACTTGCTGTTGTACATAAACAATGTTCCCTTGAGAATTTTAAGTGCGATGTCACTGTCAAGCTGCGACTTCTCATTCGGTAGAGTGTCCAGCAACTGAGCATGGGAGAGACTGCCATTTTGAACTGTGATGTCAGAGCTTAAGAGGTTGTCCTCGAGCCTAAATGTAATGTGTATTGTGAGTTCTTAAGTTAATTCAAGCATAAAGATACAAATTAGTTGCATTACAGCTAATTACTAAACCATTTTTATACAATTTTGTTATCTAACGATTCTTCAACCTCAGACCCATCACAAATTATGTTTAATTACTTCAAATTTGAAGAATTATTATTTACGTAATTCTTGATTATATTTATTTATATTATTTAAGAAGAAGCCGATTTTATATTGGTAGGCAAGCATAGGAGATTTTGCTGATCGTTGAGCTCAGCCAAGGGCCAAATGATCCTCCACCATACTTTCATTTGCTCCGATTTTTTTTTTTCAAAACGTGAAACAACCCAAAGTTTTAATAATGAGTTAAATTGTAAGCAATGCACAACCTTTTTTGTCTGTTGATTGAATCAATTCCTGATGTCAAAAATTCCATCCATTCAGCCGGCGATATTCTATTAAGGTAATCCCTTACATCCTTCCGTAAACTAATTGGAGCTGCAAGGTAAGCAAAAGTTTGCAATTATAGAAATATTTCTTTAGCTAGTGAAGAGTATAAGAATAATTCAAAGAAATGTGCTCAATCTGTAGGGGAACCTTTTAATGCATAAATAGCCTTGTTTAGCTTATATTACAAAAAAACATATTGCATGGAAAATTCTTGTAGCGTCAAATTACTTTCATACTATTTCAGATATGGCATTTGAAACTTGAATTACTCTCCTTTATAGTCACAGTGAATTTTTGGAAAATAACATATTTACATATAAGTACATGCATACATACATAACAAACCGATAATTACACACAATAAGTCAGCCCGTAAGCCCCATGCCGAACACCTTCCTCAAACATTCTATTCCTATCTACATACTAATACATTCATACACAAAATCACATGTACACGGGCATGAATACTTCGTATTCTACACTGTTTCTGTGATTCTTCTTTTTCCATTACTGAATAGAAATTGGTATTGTTATTGTTATTGAATAAGTTTATTGTTTATTGTCGGTTCGAATGGGAGTTTTCAGGGTAAGAATCTGTGAATAAGCCACGTCTGTTTCAACGTGTAACAGACATTTTAGAAAAGTAATACAGTTTGAGCCAACATACATTTGCGATCTTTGGCTAATTTACTATTTAACTATTATTGTTCAATTACATCATGTTCGTTACGAACTAAAACTTACATTGTTGAAATGCAAGCACGTTAGCACTATAGCTCGACCCGGGTGATAAAGCCACTATTATTACGAGATTAAGCAGCCAAAGGTAGGCTTTTTGCCTCATTTTAAATTCCTTTGTGATTTAATATTGGGTTTTCCACAATGTGACGAGTTACGATGTTCTCAAAAGGCGACTACGAAAACAAGATTCAATCTATTTATTTATATACAAGCAAACAAAAAATAATAGGCAATTGCACTCATTACACAGGCTATTGATAAGAACTTAATAATCTTCACACACTTCGACTAGTGGCAGCTCTAGGGCGATTCGAACTTTACTGAATTGATATGCAAATCTCAACACACATCGAAACTGAGCTGAACTGAGCTCAGCTGAGCCGAGCTACGCTTTTGTCATTATCAGAATGATCGCAGTTTAAATCGTCAGCATTGTTGGCTCTCGGAGAGGAACGCAACAAAGCTTTAATCAAAGGTCAACTTTGAAATACCCTCTACTCCATATTAAATTCTAATCATCTCTTTAAACATACTGAGGAATCAATTTAATTATTAAATCTTATTTATTACGTTTATTTGTAGTTCATCTGTGTAACATCCCGATTACCAAATTAGTCACATACTCGTTATGCAAGGTGTAAACACAATTATATCACAGATAATTTTATTTTTTATGTATTTAGATCTTTGATCTTCGACTCTTCAAGCAAGCTCCCTTTGTACTTCTGCAGTCTTGACCAATTAAAATATTGAAAATAATGATTCTATGTCCACTGCCGTAAATAGGGTATTTGTGAGTCTATGAGGAAAATAAAATAATTTCCAAATCGTTTTGATTCTTCATTATATACGCACATATGCACACCCTTACATACATACATATTATACATATTTCTGATCGTTCCTTATTTGTTTTGTCAAATGCTAAAATTGGAGAAAATAATATACATTTTCGATTTTAATTAAATATATATATATATATATATATATATATATATATATATATATATATATATATATATATATATATATATATATATATATATATATATATATATATGTGTATATATATATACGTACATTAATTTTGTCGTATATCTAAATATCTAAATAATTATATATAAATATAATATATCGTATCGTATCGTATATCTAAATATCTAAATAATTGCAGGGAATACGATCATCTCTTTGTTTACGAAGCGTGGCTCATGCCTACACATACATTAATATGTATACTGTGCACTGAAAATGACTCTGGCAAAAGATGCGTAAGATAACAAAGATTTCGTCTTTGCTCATGAGTAGTATGGACGTACATATGTGTCCAGATACTTCATTCAATTGTATTTTTGAATGACTGCAATACCTGACATGCGATATTTAGGCTTTAAATATATTTAAGTCTTATGAATATTCCCTATGTAAAAATGATCAATCACAATTAAATATTTTTAAAAATATATAGTTTATATAGAGCCTCAAAAAATGTCACGTGGGCACTAGAATTACTGTAGTTATCACTGCAGAAAGTATATTGAATATCCATTCCCATCGCGTAACGATCGCTGTTGTGTAAAAATAACTCGACATCTTTTCTTTCTAGAAATTTCAGAACAGTTTCGTTAGCAGCAGTAGAGAAGACAACCGGAAAGAGCTTTGTAAAGATATTAACAAAAATCAGATGAGGACTTAGCTGAAAAAAATAATAAACCAAACACCACCAAATTCCTTAAGGATAAAGAGGCTCCGGGACCACATAATATACCTCAGAGATACACAACCTGCTAGAGAAGCTCAAAAGACCCAGGCAGACTGCGTGAGGAACAGGGCAACGCAAAGAGGCTATGACAGGCTGGCTTCCTAGGGGCAGATAAAGAGTGACCGAAATACCGTAGATGTACACTATAGAGTAATTCAATTCGTTATCCGCACACAGACGTGGCTTAGCTCCCGAAGCTTTAGAACTTGCTACCCAAAAAACATGTATCCATCGAAATAGAGATGCAAGAAAGCGGGCACTTCATAAGAAAGGAAGTACCTTTTTGGTACAACTTCAACACGCCACGCAAAAAACAGCAATAGCAACGAAGAATGGCAAACGTTGACGGATCGACTGCAGAAAACAAAGACTCCTAATGGTAGCAACACATACAATCCTACTATATGGTACCGAATTATGAGCGGACACTTTAAAAGTACACGTAAGGCAGAAGTCAATGCTATTTTTATAGGATTTTAAGTATTGCAATTATTTTCACTTTTTAATAAAAATAATTATTATATATTTATCTTTGAAATATAATTCCATTAATTTTTAATGACGTCTTATTTAATATAAAATTTTGTATCCTAAAACAGTAGTTTTTTATAAAAATAACAGATAATAATAATGGATAACATACTAACATTATGTTAGTATTTTTATATGTTGTGATATAATTTAATTATTTAAGATGAATAATTATAAAACTATTTTTATTTAAAAAAACGTAATTGCAAAATAAATAAAATATTTATAATATCTAAGCTCATTAAATACATATGCAAAAGATTTATCAGAAACTAAAGCAAATGCAATGTGACAATATCATCATAAGTTTAACATCTGATAAAAATACTATTTTTTACGATTTACAACCTAAGAAATGCCAAAAAAATATGAGCTTGGGAATTTTTATTAAAGAGTAAAATAAAAGTAATAATAATAATGTATATTAGTAAAAAAATATTTCAATTTATTTTCCTTGATCGATCCTTTAGAAAATACCAAATATCTTAGTATTTTGTATTCATACTTTAGTGTTTTTATAGAATTTGTGGTATTTTTGCATTGCATTATTACGGGCATACTTTAATTAGTTCTGTTTTGCAGAAAATTTTGTGTTCAACAGCAATTTTTATAAAATCATATTATATCTGAAACAAAGTTATATTGTCGGAAGCAAAAGTAATCAACAATGCCTTTACTAGAAACAGACAACGCCAATGAACAGTTTTACACTGAACAATCTAAGCCTATGTCCGGGCCCATCATTGGCATTATATATCCGCCGCCGGAAGTTAGAAGCATCCTTTTACAAAACAAATATATTATATTTTATTTTATTATTAACAAATAACAAAAATGGTTTTCTATGCTCAATAAATAATAATTAACTTACTAGATATTGTTGACAAGACTGCTAGCTTTGTGGCGCGCAATGGACCGGAATTTGAGGCACGCATCCGGCAAAACGAACTTGGCAATCCGAAATTCAACTTCTTGAACGGAGGAGATCCATACCATGCATATTACCGGCACAAGGTTAATGAATTTCGGGAAGGCAACGGTAAATATTATAGCTTATTAGAAGTATAATTTTACTATACATTTCTCTATGGAAGTAGATAACACCAGTTCGGCAGTAAGCGGCATTAAGCAGTTGGCTGTAACTAGTGCAGCGCAGCAGCGTCAGCAGGAGCTATTAAAGCAGGTGGTAGAACAGCAGTTTGTACCGAAGGAACCGCCATCTGAGTTCGAATTCATAGCTGATCCTCCCTCAATTTCAGCATTAGACTTGTAAGAAAATATAAAATATATAGTGTCAAGCATAATATAATAATAATTATATTCTAGAGACATCGTTAAGTTAACCGCTCAGTTTGTGGCCCGCAATGGACGTCAGTTTCTTACGAATCTAATGAGCAGGGAACAACGGAATTTTCAATTTGATTTCCTAAGACCTCAGCATTCGCTTTTTCAATATTTTACCAAACTATTGGAGCAGTACACCAAAGTACTTATTCCCCCAAAAGATCTACTAAGCAAATTGCGTACAGAGAGTGCTCCCGGTCGGGCTAGTATGGTTCAAGTGCTGGAACAGGTCAAATATCGTGCCAATTGGCAACGGCATCAGGAGGCACAGCGACGCCGCGAAGAGGAAAAAATAGAACGTGAACGTGTCGCCTATGCGCAAATAGACTGGCATGATTTTGTCGTAGTAGAGACAGTAGACTATCAGCCGTTTGAAAGTGGAAACTTTCCACCACCTACAAATCCTGACGAAGTCGGTGCTCGTGTACTGATGGAAGAACGCTTAATGGAGGAAGAGGGCGACATTGAAATGCAAATCGAGTCGGATGAAGAGGAAGACTCGCCACTGGTTGGTCACATGGACAGTGGAGTTAAGCTATCGCAAATGGAAAATCGAGTGGGCATTCAAATGAAGAACGCTACTGCTTATGGACAGCCCGTGAGCACAAATCGTGACAATACACAGGTTCAAGACATGGACGAGGCATCTAGTGATGAGGATACACCCACTGCAAAAATGCAACCAGTTGCACCGATGCTACCTCCTACACACGACAAGGTTGTAGTTAAGAAATACGATCCAAAGGCGGCGCAAACGAAACCAGTACAAGTGCCTACAGATGAATATCTCATATCTCCGATTACAGGCGAGAAAATTCCAGCCTCCAAAGTGTCAGAACATATGCGCATCGGCCTTCTAGATCCACGCTGGGTCGAACAACGGGACAAACACACCGTAGAAAAGATTAACCAAGACAATGTATTCGCAGCGGGAACAGCCATCGAGGCCAGTTTGAAGCAATTGGCGGAGCGACGTACAGATATTTTTGGCGTTGGTGACGAGGAAACTGTCATTGGAAAGAAGCTTGGAGAAGAAGAAACCAAAAAGGATGATCGCGTTACCTGGGACGGCCACACGTCCAGTGTAGAGGCAGCAACGCGGGCAGCCCGTGCTAATATAACGCTCGAAGATCAAATACATCAAATTCACAAAGTCAAAGGTCTACTGCACGATGAAGAAAAAGAAAAAATTGGTCCCAAACCAGTTGGTAACAAGGCAACGCTTTCAGCTCCACCGCAGCCATCTTCTAAGAGCCAGCATAGCAACAGCCACCAACATAACCAGGCCCAGCATCATCAAGGTGGTGGGATGCCTCATCACCATGCTCAGCATCATCATCACCAATCGCAACAACAACCGCCGTCGCTCCATCAACATCATCAGCAGCAGCAATCGCAACATAGTTTGTCTCAGTCCTCTAATCCGGTAATGATGATGCAGAGACCACCTATGATACGTATGTAGCACATTTATATTACACGTTACATCTATTTTAATCTCATCTCTTGTAGCGACACCTTATGGCGGTGGCTCTAGCGGCTATATGGGCATGCCATCTGGCAACAATCCACAGCAGATTTCACCAGCGCCTCCAGTTGATATGATGCCTATTGAGGAAGAGCCGCCTACTAAGAAGATGCGTTCCGAAGATAATTTGATACCCGAAGCAGACTTTATAGCTCAACATAAGGTTAGTTAAACGTATTGGCTTAACAACTAATTATGTACAATATATATATACTTTAATATGTCCACTCGATACTTATATAATACAAATTGTAATTCTTCGACTTTCAGAGTCCTGTGACTATACAGGTGCAGGTGCCGAACACGGACAAATCGGAATGGAAGCTGAATGGGCAGATGATTGCCATTACACTTGCGTTAACTGATCCGATTGCGAATCTTAAATCTAAGTTACAGGACGAAACAGGCATGCCCCCTGCAAAGCAAAAAATATTTTACGAGGTAAGGAAAATATAGAAATCACTGTATTTTCCTCTGACAAAATACTGCAGTCTAAATGTGTATTTCTATTTTACAGGGTATGTTTTTTAAGGATAGTAATACCATGGCATTCTACAACTTGCTAAGCGGTACTACGGTGCATCTTCAAGTCAAGGAACGCGGCGGCCGGAAAAAGTAACATGCTCTTGCACTCAATAATAAAAAACATTTTGCATATGTAAAAGTATTTTTTTGTGAATGCTTAATCAATCAGTATAAAAAATGGTTAATCACAGAAAAATGTTTGTTAATTGCACTTTAGTCTTATATACGTTTATAAAAAAATGAAGACTGGAATGTGGAGTTGAGAAACTTGACAGATGTCCAAATCGTGGGGCGCGAGGTTGTACATTGGCTTACTGAGTTAATTGACTCTCTAGGATTTGTGCCATGTCTCTATACCGCTGCAGCATAGGCGTATAGATAGTCTCACTATCCTTATTTGGCTCGCAAACAAGCATTACAGGGTTTGGAGTCTGGTCCAGGATGTAGTCGCGGTAGCCCTTTTTAGGTTCCGTCGTATTATTCGTGTCTAGATGGAACGCATAGGCTGCCCGATATGCGGCACCTAAAAGGGCTGCCTCACTTTCATTCTGAAAAAAAAAAACAACAGAAATGTAAAAATACATTTAAACAGGTGAATAATAATTTACTTGTTTGTACACGGGGGCATTGAAAACATCAGCAATTACTTGCAGTATGGATTTGTTGATCGATGCACCACCAGTAACAAGAATTTTAGTCTGGCTGCCAAAATGGAAACCCATCTCCTCTGCAATAGCACGATGATGCAACATTTGTCCCTCGACTAATGCACGAATTTCAATTTGAGGCGAGCTGAATCTATGAAGAGTCACTGCGAGAATAAATGCTGACACACAAACTGATTTGTTTTTAAAACTCACTTGAGCACACCTTTTGCAGCATCGTTCGAACTGCTGTGCATATCTTTGTTCCAGCGCAGCGTTCCCTTAGCCTTTGGAATGATTTCCATTTCATTAAAGTGTAATGCCATATTGCCGAAATTGCCTCGTGGCGTCGAATCTAGCAATTCATTGAACCTTTCCCAATTGTTATCAGCCTCTGATCTACTTACAGCTTCACGAACGAGTGAGCCATTTCTGAAACTACGAGAGAACTTAAAAAAATATGCGCAAATTCTAATGTGTGGCTGATGGGCAGCTTTCAGTGAAATAGGGGTTAATTTAATATTGTGTACCTACCACAAAAGCCCCATATATTCATGATTTTCAGTTGGATGACATAGTACATGTCCTTCTTCTAAATTAGGGGGTTCATCTAAGGTCATCATGAGCGTATCGCTAGTGCCCAGTGAGATACTCAGCCAGTTTTTGTCGACAAGCATTCCGGCCAGAGCAGATGGATTATCGCCCGTACACGCAACAACTTTGCATGTGGACGGAAAGCAAAAGCGCTGCACAAAGTAATCGCTCACATTACCCAGAATAGAAAATCCACTGACTGGTTCACCCAAGCGATCCTCCAGATCTGGCGCACAAGCATTCAGACAGGTTTTTGACCACGTTTTGCTACGAATATCCAACAAGTTCATGCCGGAGCCATCGGCGAAATCAATAGCCGCCACTTTTCCTAGAAACAACGAGGCCAGAAAGCTGCTGACTAACGAAATACGCCTTGCATCTTCATATGCATGGGTGCGTTGCTGGTAAATTTTGCGAATTTGAGGTCCCGTGAAGCGCGCATAGCATTTGGACCCAGTCTTCTGAACCATTTCAGTATGTCCTCCTATCGCCGTCTCCATTTCAAAGCATTGCTTTAGTGTAGATGCATCCATCCATATGGGCGTTCGGTTTACTACAAACGCTGAATCGTCAATTTGCGCATGCAAGAATTTATCGGCATCTAAATTTTGTAGAGCAGCAATTCCGTGTTTTGACCAGTAAAGAGAGCCATGCTGCTGAGCAGATCCACTAATAGCGACAACTGTACTTAAATCTACCTCCTGCATCACTAAACGATCCAATACAATGTCCATTGCCTTAACCCACATCACCGGCTGAACAAAGTATCTAAAACATTTACATTTTCCTTAGCTGGAGAAGTTTCAATTCATCATTGTTTGACTTACTCGAATTTATTGGGACCTGGGTTGGCACCACCTGTGGTTCGAAACTCCGGTAAGTCACTATCGAATTTTACCTCAGCTGTGGCAACAACGTTCAGTTCAGAATTCAAAAGGATGGCCTTAAGCTAAAACAGTCAAGAATTATTGTCAGTGCTGAAGACACACCTTAAAATTAACGACCAAACATTAACAGAGGACAACCAAAGGCAAATTAACTGTCAATGCTTGCGTCATGTCTAAATAGTTGTTTATAAGTTAATATATGAATATATACATAAATACGGCCTAATCTTAATCAGCCGTATAAATACGCATTGTAATGTAATTAAAAATTAAATTTGAATTGAGCGATAAGAAAGAACATTATGTTGTATTTATTTCATACTGATAATGACTTGATTAACAATTATTATACTATTTTGTCTTTGAGCAATGACCTTTTGTCAAGCAACTCTTCAAAATTATTAAACTATAAATTTGGCTTATTTTTTATTCTTTACCTTTTGTGTGCTCAAGTCAAACCCCAGAAAGGTTCGCTGTGTATCCTGTTCTTGTTGCGGCATTATCTCGAAATTTGTCTTAGTTAATCCCGTTTTCTAAAAATCAGTAGCACACTTATAGACCCAACAGTATCGTTAACTTAAGAGCAGCTTGGCTTTTGCTAATAAACTAACATTGAAGCAACAAATCGAACGTCTCGACTCTTAGCGTCAGATGTGTTAGCATTCATTCGTCGGTAGGATTGCCACCTTGTTATAAAAATACAGTCATCATATATTCAGCGTTAATGATGTTCCATCAGTGAATTTAAAATTTAGCCTTGATTAAGAATAATAATTTGTGCATATACCACCTAAATTATAGAAAGAAATGCTAACTATAATTTCTCTCGTACTTATAAGGCATTCAATATTTTGCTTAGGCGATGGCGTCACCTAATATATTTATTGCTGTGAACATATCGCTGCGAAAATTTAATTTTTCAGTTATATATAAATATATTTTCAATCAGAAGGTAATTGATATTATTTTTTTTTGCGACGAGATTAATAAAATTATTATAAAAATAGATGTAACAATATGATATTTAAATAAAAAATCGAAAATGGCAATACTCTTCTCGGTAATGAAAATTAAAAGTATATCGAAACATATCAACACAATCACCATATGTACGTATCGCCGACTATCGATTACCTTCTGACTCGTCTTTTTTTAATAAATTGACAATTAATAAATTAAATAGTTTAAATAAAAATGTCGCTGAACTACGAAGAAATGAGTTGGTCAGGTAAATATTTAAAATACAATAACTGGTAGATAACTTATTAGACTTATTTTTATTGATTAAATATGGTTGACCCACTTGCTAAAGTAAAATTTTCTGTTAACAATAATAAAGAAGAAAAATTACATATTACGTGGAATTAAACTTTCAGATGTGCGAGATCAGTTTAGAAAATGGCGCGAGGAGTCTGGACGCCATAGTGAGGATGTGGTACAATTGTGGATAGCCGTACTCGAGGACAAAGTCTACAAAACAGGCAACGAAAGACATTTGATACTCGAACAAGTAATCGTTGCTGCATTGGATACAGCACGTTTTGACATTGCTACAAAATGTACAAAGCAATTGAGTGCCGAATTCCCAGGTAGCTTGCGTGTGATGAAGTTTAAGGCAATGCGATTGGAAGCACTTGAGCAGTACGATGCCGCCAACGAAGTGTTAGATGCCATCATTGAGAAGGACGAGACAAATGCGGCGCCGCGTAAAAGGAAAATAGCTATAATGAAAGCACGCGGATTACGTTTGGATGCAATTAAGGAACTTAATGCATATCTGAAAAAGTAATACATTTTTTAAACATATTTGTAATTGAATTAATGTCAATTGATGTTTATAGATTCATGTCGGATCAGGAGGCATGGCAGGAGCTCTGCAACTTGTACTTGGCCGAAGGTGAGTTCGGCAAGGCAGCCTTTTGTATGGAAGAGGTTCTGCTCCACAATCCCCACAGTCATCTTATACATCAGCGACTGGCGGATATCCGATATACCATGGTAATTGAGCATTGTTTTCAATTATTTTTTTATATTTAACACGTTACATATATCTTCAGAGTGGCGTTGAAAATATTGAAATTGCTCGCACGTATTACTCGCAAGCCATCAAGCTAAATCCGCACAATTTGCGAGCACTCTATGGTTTATTTTTATGCTGCAGCTATTTGGCAAACTCTAAAGCTGTTAGCTTGAAGCGTAAAGAGTCACAAAAGTTGGCACAATGGGCATTGGAGCAAGCCATGGATCATACTACAAGGCATTCATCAATCAATAACAATGACAAGTGGATTGCTTCATTGGATTTAGCTTTTGGCAATCTGGAGATCAAGTCAAATTAGTCAATAGGTACTGCCGATATATTTAGCATATAAATTATTCCAAATATGCCTAAAAATGCGACTACTATTTAAAGCACCAACCACAAACATATATAGATAAACAATATACTTTCATGTCTTTTAATATTATGATTGCAACTCAATCTGAATCAAAGTTTGTAATTTAACTAGGCAAAAGAATATTTTCATTTTAAAGTTTTGTTATAATGTTTGCCAGCTGAATAAATACCTTATACAACTTGTAAGATCGTAAATAAAACTAGGAGAATGTATATGAAATTCAAACTTTAAATTAATTTTTTTATTAAATGCAAAACAAATCGATTTAAAATATTCAAGCAGACTTTGTGAACAAATTAGCAAACATGTTCAAAGCTTCAAAATTCGAAAACATATTTAAAAATATGATCAGTACTGTGTGACATGTTCTTTTTTAAAACGTAAATGTTTTGAAACATGTTAATTAATTGTGCCAATATTTATAAGCAATAATTGATAAATTGTTCTTTGATAGTTATAAAAATTGAGATCGATAATCAAAAATAAAGAACGTCTATCTGCAGAGGAGATGAACTGACAAATTGTGGAAAATATACTTTTTCCCGATTGAAAACTATCTAAAATTGGTAAAAATTTGTCATTTTATTGGCAAATCATATATCCTTATTAGGCGGTGGCATATCCAACTATATATTTCCACTTAATTTGTGTATTATAATTTTCCAGACTAGCTTCAACCTGACATTGCATAATACTAATATATTTTTTGCGTAGCGAACGCGATGCATTGGCAAACAAATTAGTGTACCTCAAACAGAAAATGTAGGCGTCGAATGATTTTATTTCACTTATAATGTATATGTAAAAATCCAAGTATTTAATTTCAGTCAAGCAATTATAACATAATATACATATAAATAGTTATAGATATATGTCAATCTGTCTGTAAACAAAATTATAAAAAAAACTGATAAGCATATGCTACGAAGCCCATACTGTGACAGCATATTACTGGATGCAGTTCTCGACTCGTTCATCAGTGGACTATTTATTGCCTATAGTATTGTAAAGTATAGTATGTACGTATATATAAAGCTCAGTTTGATGAGGAGCCACCCGAACTGTTCGTCTTTTTACCAGATTTGAGTCGAAAGAGCTCCTTAAAGCTGAGGGTGGGTGAGGTGATCTTTGGCTTTTCAGAAGCACTGGTCGATTCGTCGGGGCCCTGTGCTGCCATAGAAACACACGAGGACGAGGGCGCTGCTGCTGTTGTAAGATATCGGTTGTCGATCTGAGTTTTGGAATCTCGATTGCTAAATGAATAACGCGAAATACCATCCACGAATTTGAGATTGGGTAGAGCTTGCAGTATATATTCGCGGGCATAGGTTGTCGGCGAGGCAGGGCCATGATTTTTGAACGCAATCTGAATGCCTGGATTACCCATACAGGAAAACTGTTCGAGCGCAGGACAATGACGCTCTATGCTGTGAATCCAGTCCGTTATATTGCAGATATCGCAGTTGTTTATCCTGGAAGGTTCGACATGCATATGTATACATTCCATTAAAAATATATTTACTTACCACAAAATTTTCAAATTGAGCATATAGGGAAATGTGTTCACATCCAAATTACTATTGCGGTCCAGTATAAGTGTATGCAATTCTTCGAAAAACAAAAGAAATTTTAGGTTCCGAAAGTTGTTGTAGCTGAGATCAAGGAATTTGATCTGTGCAGCAAATTTATCGGTCAATCGTCGCGGAATGCTGCACAGATTTTCATATGCCAATGAGATTCGATTATCTTCCTCGAGAACGATGTCGGTAAACCCATCTTCGCTGCCGCAGGTGCTGCTCGATATAAATCCACTAAATGAGTATGGCTCGGGTGTTATCATATTCTCGTCGTTGTGCAGCTGAGTACAAGGAGACAGCGACTCCAGTGACTGAATGTTGGCACACGTCTTCAAGATCTCTTGCAGACGAAAGTTGTTACTGGGCAGGGTATAATAGACCACGTAAAATTTCAGATTATAGTTCAACGCATAAAAGTGATAATACCTACCTAGAAAGATCTTCGGAATGTGAGCGGCCAGACGTTGATGTTTCAGACATTACTGAGACAAATGAAACGTATATTACTAGAAAGCAAATCTACGCCTATAAATGGCGCTTCTTCCCTCTGATTTAGTTCTCATTTATCAACTGCCTTACTTGACTTTGGGTTCGTTGGGCTCCAGGTCCAATGCTTGATGCTGACTGGAAAAATAATCACAAACCACTCGCACCCAGCACAACAATAGCAGAGCAAGTGACAAAAGATTTTCGAGTCTGCCACAGAAAGAATATAAATGTAAATATACATACATATGTATATGTATATGTGTATGCAATCAAACATGTATGTAAGCCAATTACGTATGTATGCACTTATCAGTGGTGAGAGCTTAGCCTTTTTGCAGCTATAGAGCTATATATATATATATATATATATATATATATATTGTGCAATATTTTAATTTTAACATATTTTAATATATATTTTACAAATTTTTTTTTAATTGAGCTTCATATAAATCGCCCCTAATAGATAACACATATAACTTTTTTGGCAATCTGAGGATCTTAAATGTGGAATTTCACCCGATGTGCGGGAAGATTTCGAACATATATCTCTTTGATCTTGGAGTCAAGTCTCTAGAATTTTAGCAAATATCCAATTTAGTATTCGTGCTTTAGTATTCAAGTCTTTAGCTTCAATAGTGGCGAAATGTTTTACGGTCACCCGTAAAACGGGCAGACAAAAAACAGGACGGACATTGCACGAAACCAATATACTCATTTACGAAGTGAAATTAGTATAAAAATAAGCACTAAAAGGCGAACTATTTTTATTTTCAATTTTCTCTCAAATTATATAAATGCATTTTTACCTTGTTTTTATTAGTTGGAGTTTATCTCTCATGTTTTTACGATAGGTAGTTCGCAGCACTGGTAGTTGGTTATGCATATCTCTGCGTATACAATCAGACTAATCGTAAAATCATCCACAAAGCATATTTACACAACACAACAGCATCGTCTTTGTCTACCTCTACGTTTACTAGGTAGTGCGTAGGTCCAAATAATTGGCGAATTGTCTCTGTACCTTTTCAACCGGGTATAAGGAACTATCCGACTAAGAGATACCCTGACACTTACGTAGATCTTATTATACCATTTTTGCTATCAATGCTTTCTGGTTATAGAAAGTAATAATTATCAGAGTCCAACTACCAAGGAAATACGATGAGCTATCGAAAAAAAAGATAACATTGTTCGGTGTATGGTATACACGACTAAACTTCCAAATTTCAACTCAAGACAAACAGACATTCAGACGGACAATGTCAACGTTATGGGGTTTACCATGCGTCGTCCTGCGTATTACATACATTTTTACAAAACCATTATATCCTAAATTCCAGTTTCCCATGGGTTCAGGGTGTACAAATTTTAGTTACCCATTTCCCCGGATTCGCTTGAAGCTTCAACATAAGATATTTTGTGCTTTGTAGTGTTCCTGAAGGCTTTCAATATATGAAATGTCCATATCCATATCCATATGAAATATCCACCTGCCAATGCAATCATTTCTTCGATGTTGAATCTAAATAACATGCAATTTGTAACATACATATGTGTACTCGTATGTACCTTTCAATAGCAATCGCAATTTGTATAAACCTTAAGAATATACACCATCATTGGCAATAATCATCAAGATTTTTGCAGATTTGATATGAGATATGAATTTGAAATGAGCTTGTATAATATATATATATATTTAAAGGATTCAAAAAGACTTCAATCTTCGATTTATTACTAAAAATTGTATACAAATTGATAAGAAATTTTGTTAAGACTGAAAGCAGGAAGAACTCCGAACTATAAAAGAAAATATCTGCTCTCTAACAGTCTGTGCTCAATGATGGATGCCTAATATGTCGCAAGCAAAAGAATGAACGACATTGGTACAGCTCAATACTTATTGTACCAAATGTGCTTGTGTAGATTAATGCATGAGTGTACCAATGTACATATGTATGCATATGTGTGTATGTGAGTAGAGGCAGCTGGTTTGGCTAGTTATCGTAAAAAGAATAATACTATGGAGGCGAGCCTCCAAACAGCTAGTTTCGGTCATTCGCTCTTTTTTACTCGCTCGTGCTCGTTCGCCCGCTCGCTGTTAGCGCTGGGGCCTCGGCTGCTCTAGCCCGCATGCTATAGATACAATGGAGCGAGGCAGCGACAGTCTGTGTCTATGCTTAGACCTCGATAGTTGGGCGCGGCAAGTATTGCATGTTAACGTGGACACACGATTAAAAATCCAAGATCGACTTCATCGGCGACGACTGACTGCGGACCCCTTTCAATTACCTACGATAAAGCACCCGCCGTGACAATCTGACTGAGAGAGCGGTGTGGGCATGTGTGCGTGCAACAGCTGTTGACAAATTATTGAGCACTGCTTGGCCTTCGTCGATTTTCGAGTTGGCAAATCAAAACGGTAATAACAGAAAACATCAGGTCATATTAGTGTAACTGTGTGTGTACGTACGTATGCATTTAGAACGCATAAATAATCATAAATGCATTTCAACTAATAACACTATTAAATACAATAATATTTTGATTGCCATGTTGTGATACAGTGATTAACATAATGTGATGGTCGCGCCATTTTTGTATGTGTACATTGCATCACACCAACATATACACTTGCACTTAACGAATTCGAAGTATTACAATATTTCGAAACAAAAAGTACCTAGCTTGCGCATAGAAACATTGTTAAAATAAATTTCCTTTATTTGAATGAGAAGTTTATTTTTTATAGTCAATTTACAAAACTATAGAAAAAATCAATATTGTTTTTGGTTACATACATACATAAGTACATTAAATTATAACCACACAATGGGATTGACAAGTTTCCATTGGGAGACAAAAATATCAAGTCTACCATGGAATAAGCAAAGTACCCACTTTTGCGACACGGACGGAAGTCGTACACACATAAGAAATATACACACATGCATGCATATGTATGTATGTATGCACAAACATGCATGGGAATACGTAAAACTTTAATTTAAAACAATAACCACGTTCGCGTGTAGGCATGCAAAACACTTTATAAGCATTTATGTACATTTATATGTACATATAGTATACATATACTAAATACAAACTTAGATTAATTACCCGAAAGAGGTATTTGTACGCTTATCAAATGATGAGGCTGGCGCGTGTTTGACTTCCATGAATTTTTGTGCCGAATTCTAGTTTTCATGAACTATTCAGCAGAATATATGGACTACAGTTAAATACTTAGCTAGTGAATATTGTCATGTGTATGTGCATACATATACACACATATGTACATATGTACATTTCTGTGTTGTCATTCATATTCAGCTTCACCATTTAATTATACTTTTAAAAGTCGAAGACTGTTTTTTCTAGCAGTTATCACGCCACACTCTTGGTTACCTAATTGGAGTCCTCACTGTGCGTTCGTCTGAACGATCAGCTGATACAATAAGGGAGGGAGAGAACGCGCTCATTGATTAAAGCAAAGTTTCCAGCTGTCGTTTCCTTCTTTGTAAATCTTATCAACAGTGCCAGCAACAACAAATGCTTAAGTATGACTACGCATACGTGCATATGTATATGCATACCTATACTTTACAAAAAGAGTATATGTCGCTACTTATGTATTGGGTTGCTGCAAACGAAGTAAACAAATACAATCGATGCAATCGATACGAGCAGTCCTAAATACAAAGTATTTTGACTGTATTATTTATATGACATTTTAAAGTTGTATACTTGTGTATGTACATACATGCCTTTGTCATATATACATACACGCTTTTGGCTGTGCTTCCAATAAGCTCACATGAGAAAGTGCATAGAACAGTTATATATGTACAAACGTAAGCCATGCAATTGTTTCAAAGTCCAGAGACTCTATTTGACTCGTGGGTATTCGTCGTTAACTGAGACTCACACAAACATATGTGCATCCATATGTATCTACATGTGTATGTGTTATATATTGTTCTGTCATCGGCCAAAGTTTTTTGAGCGATATGTGCTAAAAAGTAACAAAAACAAAAACAAAAACAAAAACAAAAAATATCGTGTAGAACAACAACGAAACCGGCATTGTTCAGTGCCAAACAAAGAAAAAATCAACAAATCAAATGCCAAAAGTCAATGTGTGGAGACATACATATGTACGTGTGAACATAAAGTAAAAATATATATTATATACATATGTATGTACATGTATAAATACCTGTATTTTAAATATATATTTTTATTTTATATTTTGGTTTTGTCCTGAACAACTAGAAGTTTTAGCATTGGGAAACTGGAAATTGCTCGGTGTGCCAATACTTTTTTGACTCACTGTACATAGACACACACAAACATTTATGAATTTAATTTATTTAACGCTATTAAGAGAATGAGTTATTAGGATTTATAATAAAGTCAAATGTATAAGGGCAATTTTAATTTATTTGTTTGATTTATATATTGATAGATTAATAGAAAAGTAAAGCATTGTTTTTTCCCCAGTCATGCGTCATGCCATATTTGTAGGTATTAAATTAAAAACTTATACAAATGAGTTTGTGACACTGTGACTTGCTTGTAAGCAGTATTTAAAGCGAAAAATACTCGTGCAAAGAGGTTTAGCTTCTACAATTGAGATCGTCTTACGTCATGCGCATCATTGAGATTGTAGCTATCAATGAGCATCTGTTTTCTGATCGCTTTGTTCCAATTTAAGCTGAACGTAAATATAAATTGAATATAGATTTTGGCACAGTTTAAAAGCTCAATAACATCTTCGTTATTTTTTTATCTAATAAAATTGTATTTAAAGATTATGTTTAACTAAAATTCAGTTAAATATGTTTAAATTTTAGCTTTTTTATATAACAATTATCAAGACAACTTCGGATTATTTCAAACTTTGCCACAATTCTATTAAGCAACATACATATACACATATCACTTAGTCGGAGCTTCACACACAAAGAATTTTACTACAATCAAAAAACTGGTTTGAATCAAAACAGATTTTAAGCAAATGAAACTTGATTAGTTTCGGTCAAGGGTATCTTTTATTTGCATTCAATCGGCGTCTGGTTGATCGTCCTTCTGTCTGCTGTTGCTATCATATTAGTATAAGACTTAGTAATTATACTTCCCATTGGAATATAAGTACTTGGAGTTTATCGTACAGACACGGATATGGCATCGCCAGATGAAAATGTAATTATGTAAGTGCATGTGGACATTCATTAGAAACGTGTTAAATCCTTAAAAAGTATATAATTATATACTATAACTTGAAGGTGGTTTGCATACAGTACAATTAGGGAATTACGAGCTACTGAAGCTGCTGATGCTTTGCTTGTATTAAATGGGTTTTTTTGGGGCGGGCAAATGGGAATCAGATATCAATTTATGAGCATCTTCTTATAATAATGGAGTCGGTACCGCCCGTCTCTAAAGTTTTCGAATACTGGTAAATAATATGAAAAACAATTAGTCGTAAACTTATTTAATATTAGTTTGACTTTCGCTGATTTTACGTAATATATTCTTTTTTGTGTTCGCACTATTCAATATTCTATGATTGCCTAGACCTTGGCACAGCCGACCACCTATCAATGATGAGCTAGCGTCACGTGAATGTAAATTGGTTAACAAACGGTGATTAGAGTGGACCTTAAATATTTCCTAGCGTAAATGTACATGTATATATTAAAAAAAAATATATATATATATATATATTTATGTGTATTTATATAACTACAAAATAGAACGAGAATTAAGATATACTTCTCTAGGTGATCCGCTATGCATGTCGTCATGTTTTTCAATTAGATATTGTACAAGTCCAGAATGTTTATTCAATTCGACCGTACTTCACATAGTTTTCAGTTTTATTTTTCATGAAAGCAAATTCATTGAAGGTTATTGCACCGCACAATCACTGAATACATAATCAGGTGTACATATATATTAATCGATTTTAATCAATTTTTTTCCAGATAATTTTCAATTATTAAACAAAAAATTGTGAAATGACTGGATCAGGTGAGTATGCGCATAATATTTACGACAAAAATAAAAATGATTCTTTTAGAATTCATAAATCTAACAACATTGTAATACGAACTTAACTCTGTTCTTGATTCAAGACCTACATTTTCAAACTACTGCAAAATATGAAAATGAGAAACTAAATTTTCTTGCTTCCTTCACGGAGTAATATATTTTTGTATGTTGCACTATACATAATACTTAATTATACAGCTTTGTTAAGCAAAGATTTTATGAATTTTAAAATATTTTCACAAAAATTTGAATTTTATATTATTTAATTGTATTTGAAATAGCACAGGGAATCGTCTTACTCTATCAAAGGGACCCTTGTATATTATTGCTTGAATCTGAGATTTTCCTTAATACTAAACATTTGCAAATTATATTTGCAGTCCACGATCCAAAATGGAGCCTGGAGCGACGCGAATCTTCGGGCCATTTGGTGTGGCGTAAAGAGTCGCCATCATCAAAGGTTCGCTTTCGATTCGATGTGGAAGTCTTAGAATTTGAAAAGCACCCAAACGAAGAGTTGGATCACAAAGACGATAATTTCTCGATCACAAACTTATCCACAACAATTGCCCTCTGTGCCACATGCATTGCCGTTGTAGCTGCCTCCGTATTCCTGCCCTGGTACCTTATGGAGAAGGTCGGCGCGATCTGAAAGCAGTTCGTTGGCATGCATATCCATATTCATACTCATGTGTATGTGCGATGTATATTATTGACGGTATTAAGTAGCTTTATGTATATAGAAAGGCGTAGATTTAAGTAATGTTACAATGTGTAAATACGAATGTAAATAATGCGTATATGTTAATAGACTCAAATCTAAGGCTTTAGTGGCAAATAAATTACACAGACTGTTTTTAATGAAATAAAATCATTTCGATTTTTAATTATATGATTACAAGCCCAGTTTTAAAGGTAAATAATAATAATAAGCAAATTGCATGTACCGAGCTCTAGATTTAATATACTTAATCGTTGCAATTGATTCTGTAGTTGGATAAGATACAAATAAGTTGTTGATAGATGTAACATAGAAAGGAATTTGATCTTAATTGAACAATATGTCCACAGAGAAATGATGCGTTTACGTTGGAGTATGGAAATTTTTCCAAATTAGATTACAGCACACTGTTTTTTAAGTAGACTCCAAATCTCTCAAACACATGTTTAGTTAAGTATTTTCGATCAGTATAGGAAATCACGATTTCGCCTAATAAGTTTTGATATGCACTCTTGTTTCTCAGTTTTAATCTGATCCCAATTTTTATAATTCATAAAAAATATATATTTTTGATCAGCACAACAAGCTGCGTCCCTTTCCAACTTTTCGCATGTATGAACGCGTACATATCTCAGAGCCTAGAAGAGCTAGATACTAGAGTGGATTATTGGTGGTTATTAAATTATAACTGTATCGGCTTTAGAGCTAGTCTCCAAATTTATTTAGTTTTATGTTTACTTTATACAACTATGATTTTTGCTATATTTTGGATATTGGTTCCCAATTTCCCAAATTCTTTAAAGTTTGTCTTTTCATTAAGCAATCAAGTATACCAATAGAATATGTAGAACTGCTTGTGTTTGGAGTGTCAGTAGCTACTTTATTTTTGATTTCAAACTTATCGCTCAAGCACAGAAATGACGGTGTGAAGTTCTGGGTTCAACGCCTGCCGACGTAAGGATCAACTTAGCTCGTCGTCCTGATCAAGAGTATATCCCTTCTATGGTCTGACACGCCTCCTTCTGTCAGTTACATAAATTTTCACACAATCATTATATACCCTAAATAAGGGTATACGTGTTTATGCCCTGATTATGAAATGAAGTTAGGAAAATCCATCTAAAACAAAAGTTATTAACAGTTGCACGTCTGCTTATGAATGCATGTATATGTGTGTGTGAATGTGTATGAATGTGCAATGTTTGTATATATCTATCGTTGACTGACTGGAATATCATCGCCTCGGAGGATTCGGGATAACTCCTAGTCGAACCTTCTCGGCTAGAGCCACCTCAGTTGTTTTTGGCAGGTGTTGGTAGAGGATATGTTGGCCCGAGTTCTGGTATTCTAATGTCTGTTTTAAGAATATCAGCTAATCGGGAATCCTGTACTAGTTTCTTTCTTGTTCTGATTCAGACAGGAAAGTCGTGTATGATACATCAGACCAGTGAGCCAGTTTAACGTGGAAAACGAACTGTGGAGGCTTACCTATGACATTATTTGGAAGTGCGATTTAGTCATAGCAACACAATATCTTAAATATTTGAATATTATGGATTTATTTAATAGTGTATTAAACAAGACACGCAAGTAGGCCGCATAGAGATTAAGTTTGTCTGGGCTTTGGTAACATTAATAACTTTGTGCACTTCCGTAGTGACTGGGAGTGGTTTATCCTAATGACATCTTAATTATCATGAGGACTATTCAATTTAAAAGTGCCTAGACAATTTGTCGACTAAGCATAGATTTTTACAAATAACGTTCTAACTGAATATCTTCCATATATTTAGAGGTGAAATAATCAAATAAGGCATGTGTCAACAGCTAACAAATAAAATATATATTATATGCGAGTGTATAGATAAGAGCTAAAATGGTTGAAAGTATTACACGGCAGTGTGCTTAAAGTATATATTATATGAATACTATTTATATATATTAACAACACAAGCTACATAACAGATATTTTGATTTGTTGTAAGCTTTGGGTATATATATTTCAAATGACACTGAAAAAATACAATTCGTATTAAACAATAAAAAGAAAATCTTGATTTACTATGCCCTCGGTGGGCATATACATATACTTTGTAAATATATTCCGAATACCGATATACAGACGGACTATGAAAAAAGTCACTATATTCTTTAACTTCGTCAAAGTATATAAAAAAACAAAAAATAAGAGTACCCCATAATAAATTGTTAAAAAATAAAAAATAAATTGTTAAAATAAAGTGAACGATAGCACCTCAAAGTGGATAGAATTTTACAAGGAAATACACAATAAAACGTTATAAATGATTAGGGACTTTTTGATCTCTGTTTCATCAGTTCTCGACCCTTTAGGCTGAGCGGGCCATTTTGCATTGTATTTAACCCCCACAGTGGGGTTTGTCTCTTAGGTAGTGCGCAGCATCCGCAGCGTTATTTGATGGTGGATGATTCATAGCAGAGTCTTTATTAAATTCCCTCCATTTTATGAACACGCTAAAAGGTATATGGGCGTTTAATTAAATTTTCTGCAGTCAAGCCATTGGGCATTAACAGCTAAAATGGCGGAACGGCACGTAGTTAATAAAATTAATGAGCAACCCTTAATAGCACAGGTCTTATATAGCCAGCTAACAAGTATCCGATAAAACCAATTTCTTTGTAATTTAAGATAAGCATTCAATTTAGATTAGGAAATTAGGACATAAACCAGCCATGATTTCGATTAATCATCTTAACAAGAAAAATCAAATGAATGTTAAATATGTAGTATTATCTATGCTAATTATAAAATTAAACATATAATATTTTATGTATCACTAGGCGTCAAAATGTTAAAGGAGAAATATAACTTTATGCAAAAAGATACATGAATAAGCTACATAACCACGATAATGCTCTAGCACTAAGCCTACTGGACAATTCAAGTAGGTAAATATATGGATTTATTTCATTGGAGCCCAAGCCATCCGGATATTATTGTTAAGAAATTTGTTTATTGCCTAGTATAAGGCAGATTGCAAATAAAAACAGCAAAAATTAAAAATTAAAAATTAATGTTTAAAAAAACAAGGAAAGTATTCAACAAATCACATTACACCGAAAGCCATTATTTGTCATTTCCCTGAAGGGGCTCTTCCCTATATGTCCTTTCAATAACAAGTGAAGACATTGCAATCGCGTGCAACGGATTGTAAACAGTCGTTCTCTGCTCAAAAACAGCAATTTTAATTCAGAATCAAACCATTGTGCAGACCATATATCATATGTTTATCTGCGTATGATCTAATCCACATGCTAAATTAGGCCATGTTACAGCATTTACATATATATATATAAGGTTTGGTAAGTCAATGGAGAAGGTTAAACCTTATATTCAAACTTTTAAAGTTTAATAGTATTAAAACTGTATTAGAATTGATATAAAACAGTATATATTCAGATTTGTCGAGCCACAAACGGCGTAGCTTTCTGAAGCTCAATTAGCAGTTTTCAACCATCTTAGGTAATGGGTATGATACGAAACTAGATAATTGGTTTCAGCTCGAATTTTCATTTCAAAAAGATAATCGTATATGGTTCGGATCGGAGTGAAATACTATGAGATTTACAAAATTATTAATGATTTTTCTGAATTTTAATGTTTTGGTACTTGTCGTAATCAAGGAGGTTTTAGAAACACTTCAATTAGATGCTTATAGTCATACTATATATCGTCTCCGTTAAACAAAAAAAAAATATATATATATATATGTATATATATATAAATTTGGTAACTTAATGGATCTTGTTGTAACTAACGATGACTCTCTATATTTAACTGAGACTAGGAAACAATTAGAAAAACTGTAGAAAACATATTTGAAATCTAATATAAACCTTCAAGACTATTGGGTTGATATATCTCTATTAGTATGTATTTTTGGTTTAGTATCTGCGTACGTCAAGAGCCCAATTGATAATTGGCATAACCACTATATGAGTCAATTCAAGTTGTGATAAGCGCTTTTTAAGCAATTGGAATAGTGAAGACTCCGCTGTCATCTAACCGTTCTAGGGGAGAGAGAAAGACAGAGAAAAAGAGGGACAGAGAGACGTGAAGAGAGAGAGAGAGAGAGAGAGAGAGAGAGACGAAGAGAGAGAGAGAGAGACGAAGAGAGAGAGAGAGAGACGAAGAGAGAGAGAAAGAGAGTGAGAGAGCGGAAACACTGAAGAGCGATAATAGCTTTAAGATAAGATGTTTATTTCTGTTCGGTCTGTTCTGTGTGTATGTGTATGAGCAATTTCTCTGCCCAGTTATTTGTTGCATTCGTTTTGCGTTCTTTATTTGTATTATTTATTTATTTCTCTACGATCGCTCTGCTCCCAATAAACATAAGCAGTACCAGTTGATGTGAATCAGTTTGTTGTTTGCGGCAGACAAGAGCGCACGAAGGCATCGTCACATTCGGTATTCCACGTTTCGCACTTGACCCAGTAACGGTGACGTAGACAACGACGAAGACAAGCGCGAAGAGAAAGATCGACAAGGAGACAGACATTCAATTGCTGTGACGTAGGCATCGGACAATACGAGTGCCGAGAAGGGACTGACAAGAATCAGACGCAGAAGAAGAAGGAAAAGGAGACGGAGACAGAGACAGAGTAACTGTGACGTAGACAGCAGTGAGGACGCGTGTAGAGTTCAACATATATAGAGTGAAGTGCATAAAGTTCAATTGTGTTGAGATCTGAATCAAAGTGGACAGTTGAACGTTGATCTTTAGGTTTGTCAAGCCATATCTAGTCAGTGGTTTGATTGCCATAGCTATAAACCGTTCTGTCGGTCACGTGCTTCGTTGTGTATACTTTAAACAGCTGATTATAAATAAGCAAAAAGCGAAACGAAAAAACAGCGGGGATTGTTGACAAACTTGAAATATATTGTGTATAGAACCAGTTTTCATTGTCAATATGTGAGTGGTCGAAGGTCGATAGCCCCAACGATGTAAATATTTAATATTGTTGCTATCATTTTCAGCTAAACGTGTCTGCAAAATGAGTAAAATGCCAGAGACCACATTTGCCGACCTGAGCTTGGCCGATAAGGTAATTTGTGCAACTATTTTCTTCGGCTCAATAAAGTATGCAAAACAAACGTGAAACGTACAGTCTTGATCACAAAATATTTGGCACATGAAACATTCGACTAATTGCATGAATGTGTGTCTATACATGTGTGTGTAACGAGGAGCACAAGCAAAAAGAAACAAGAGAGAACAAGTGCAGCTGACTGCGAAATACTCAGTGTTAAAAAGTTGACAGCTTATATATTGATTTGCATTGCAAGTCGGCGCTCTTAATATACATAAATACTTCTACTACTTTAATCATTTGTATATGTAAGCGCCAAAACAACTGCATTTCACATGCATAAAAATAAAATAATTTACTCTAAAATGTGCGGGCGTATATTCGATTAAAGCCAATATACTAAGTTTCCCATTACGAACAGAGTATTGAAAATATTTACAAATGCTGCGAGTTGATATAAAGAATAAGCTCTTCATGCATATGAGGGTTGATGATGTATTTACAAACACACATGCATACGTAGGCTCACATATGCACACAAGCATGTATACAGGTGTGTAGGTACATGCATCTAATTGTGAGTGTGAATGTGTTGAATGTTTATTGAAGACGGCTATGGAAATGTACACAAGTCAGTTAGCAAGTGGGTTGGGATACAAATGCAAAAGCCTACATTTGCGGAATTGATTAATTTGCTCGTTTGCTTAAATGTTGGCATGTGATTCTTTGAGGTCGCGATGCTTGCTACGCAAAACGATTACACAGCGTCAATTGACGCTGCGAATTATCAATGATACTCTAATCGATGCCAATTACCACCAGCTGCGATCTCTGTCCAATCTGGTTGATAGCTCTAGGCTAAAATAAATTAAATAAAGCTCCCTTATTAGTTACCCAAATACTGAATAAAAAAAACTTAAAATTTTTCTCTTACAAAAGACAGCAGTGAAGAAATCAAGCATTGAAGCCCGTCGATTTTCCGACGTATCCACATGCTCCTTTAGTTCGGGTAAGTGTGGGAAGTACGTTATTAATGATGATCTAACCGTTACCCTATTCCCGATTGTAGCTTGCTTCACAGGCAGTTCCGATGAGGACGAGATTTCGCCAAAAGATATTAAGCAGAGCAACTCAACTGGCAGCTCTGACTTTTGCGTTAAGAATATTGCCAAGGCATCATTTGGGCGCAGGGAGATCGAAATCGCCGAGCAGGAGATGCCGGGAATTATGACACTACGCAAACGTGCCGCCGAGGACAAACCGTTGAAAAATTCAAAAATTGTGGGTTGCACCCACATCAATGCGCAAACGGCGGTGCTAATTGAAACTCTGATTGAACTGGGTGCGTCCGTTCGCTGGGCAGCCTGCAACATCTTTTCGACCCAAAATGCAGTTGCAGCGGCGTTAGCGGAGAAGGGTGTACCGATCTTCGCGTGGCGTGGCGAGACCGAAGAAGACTTTTGGTGGTGCCTGGACAGGTGCATCTACAAAGAGGGTTGGCAACCGAATATGATCCTCGACGATGGTGGCGATGCTACCCATCTGATGCTTAAGAAATACCCGGACTATTTTAAATCCATCAAGGGCATTGTCGAGGAGAGTTTGACAGGGGTGCACAGGTTGTACCAGGTGAATAGCCAAATACATCACAGCCTCTACTAGCTATTGAAACCGATATCCTTCCTATTTCAGATGTCGAAGGCAGGCAAGCTTACAGTGCCCGCAATCAATGTCAATGACTCGGTAACGAAAAACAAGTTTGATACATATTATACATGTCGTGACTCTATACTGGACAGGTAAATAGCAGTTCCTATATGAAATTCACCTAATCTATACCATTTCCCACTAGTTTGAAGCGAACGACAGACATCATGTTTGGTGGAAAGCAGATTGTGGTTTGCGGCTACGGGGATGTTGGCAAAGGTTGCGCAGAAGCCCTTCGGGGTCAGGGCTGTATAGTTTATGTAACAGAGGTCGATCCGATATGTGCCCTGCAAGCGGCAATGAACGGATATCGAGTAGTGCGCTTGGGAGAGGTCATACGGACGGTAGATGTGGTAATAACCGCAACCGGTAATAAGAATGTTGTTACACGTGATCATATGAATCGCATGAAGAACGGTGCCATCCTCTGCAACATGGGTCATTCGTGCTCTGAAATAGATGTGAGCAGCCTGCATACACCTGAGTTGACTTGGCAGCGAGTACGCTCACAGGTGGATCATATTATTTGGCCTGACGGCAAAATGATAATTCTTCTGGCTGAAGGACGATTGGTAAATCTGTCTTGCTCCACCATCTCATCGTTTGTCGTCTCGGTGGCCTCCTCTACACAGGCATTAGCTCTCATTGAGCTTTATTCATCGCCGGGACGTTACAAATCGGATGTATACCTACTGCCAAAGAAAATGGGTAAGCGGCTGTTATATATATGTTATGTGTATATAGGTATATGTATTCATTATTCTTGCACTATCTATTCATAGACGAATATGTGGCTAGTCTACATCTATCGACTTTTGATGCTCATCTGACAGAGTTAACCGATGCGCAGTCGAAATTTCTGGGCTTAAGCAAAGCAGGACCCTTTAAAGCGAACTATTACAGGTAAATATATGAAAATACGGATAACTGTCTTCTACCATTCTGTTTTTGGTTATAGATACTGATCAAGTGTTGACCTTCCGCTTGTTTAATCGGATAAAATATGTGAATGTTTGAGTTTTTCATATTTCAAGTTGAATACACGTTTTTATTTCGTTTGCTGGATGAACTGGATTTATGATGACCTGGTGTTATTAATAAGCAAACTTAGGCTATTTATGAGTTATGAGAAAAATTATTATTCTCTTGAGCAGTAAACCATAAAATGAGAAATATACAGAACTATATTTATATGTATATAGATTAACTAATATATATATATATATATATATATATATATATATATTTATTTATATAATGACATCTCTATTTAATGCTGATGCCATTTTCAAAATATCAATTTCAAAAGTTTCAATAGTAAATTTAAATAAGCTTGCAAGCCCGTTAAAATATTTAATTATAACAACAAATTGATGATTGTTTAAAAATGTTATCTAATATAATTTTTGTCCAGGTTTCTCGTCAAAAAAAAGTAGAATAAACATAATATTGTGTAAACATAAACATAAATAATAATTCGATTCTTATATAATTACGGGGTTACAAATTAATTAATTAATCTAAATTGAAATTAATTAATATACTTTCTGCTATGGACGATGAAGACCACAGAATTCCTTGCTCAAGGTAAGAAAGAGAAACTATCATAGGAAGGCTTAGAATATTTGATATATTGTGAGTCAAGACAGTGTCAGGTAGGTCTTGAGGGAGGTGTCTTATAAGCCTTCTCCTATTCTTAGTGCGGAGTTAGCAGATCTGTGGGCTGCAGTTTCTAACCTGGCTGTTTATGAGAATCTAGTGTCTCAAGTTCTTTTTGGCAGATTTTTCGATACCGTCTCCAACTTTTGGTGTCTTGAGGTCACTCTCAAGGACCCGGTACCCATCCAGTGATCTTCCTCAGTGTTTTTACCTGAAAGCCATAGATGAGGCCAGCAGCAAATATACTCTTACTGATTTTGACGTTGCTGTCTAGAGGTAGATTGCTTTGCGACGTGACATGTATTCTGAAAGTGACGATAACCCCAAGGTGATTTAGCCATCATGACTAATTTCCTTCACAGCGATACTAGGGTAGTAGCGACGGCCATGAGTGAAAGTCAAATTTGTCGACATCGATTCGCATTTTCCACTTGTCAGTCCAATTCTGGAACACGTTTTGGTATGGTTGTAGTGCACTCGTGGCCTGGAGTATACAGTTGCTTGTTGCGAGTCATCGACGTATCTTATACATATTTTCGATTAGCTCAAACGTCATTAAAAAAAAATCTTTAATTTGTTGCATTTTGTTTTCACCACAGTAATGACAGTGTCATAGTGCCAAGCTTTTGACACGCTGTAAGTAGGCAATGGATTGTGTACTAGGTACAAGTTCGTACAATATATCACAGATGGCGCTTTCTATTAGAATTACAAAATTAGAACGCTGCATTTGGCAAGAGTGGGTCAGTTCTTAAGTTTTGGTCTGAATTATTTAAATATAATATTTATAATATTTATCAATCACATATTCACCTTCTGACTTAGCTCTCCTTACGTGTGTCTCTATATACTAGGTAATCATGTCAGAATCGTTTAATATAAATAAATTTTAATTTAATTGAAACTGAAAGCATTCGACATTAATTTATTAAATCGTGCAATAAGGACTTTTCTAATGAACATCTTTTTATCAAATTAGAGTATGTTCGTATTATGAATAATATTCAAGTCTTGTGAACAACCTCCAATTTAATTTAAATAATTCAAATTAAATATGCTGCAATTGTCGTTGCAATTAAATGTTTATCTGAAGCGAAGATAAGATTTTTATTGGAAATGGAAATTCCTTTTGTTAAGATGCATGCAAACAGATGGAGGCGTGGTCATAGAAGGCCATAGAAGGCCATAGAAGGTCATAGAAGGCATTCATATTCTACCTATTCTGCTCACCTGCCAATCAGTCCTCCCACATGCCTGAGTTGAATGCAATTTTAGACGTAGCACGTTCAAATAAAGTTCTATTCAATGGACTTACATTATTATGAAGAATATATTTCTTAAGAATATCTCTCACATTTTTATAGTTAGACCCCCCATTAGAAGTTATCTTGAAGAATATTTAGATATCGAGTTTTGCCCTATATATAGAATATATATACGGTCATTGGAAGTGGATTAAGGCACGTGTATCTCTATATGCTGGAGTTGCAGAGCTTAAAAGCTAAGAGGTTACTGCTAACCTCTTTTATCATTTAGCATTTAGCATAAATTGTGCATTATATGTTCGCCTATACGGCTCGCCAATTGGGGCGTGGCACATCTCCAACAAATAGTACTCAAGCAATAATTTCGCTGAAGCAAGCAGTTTGCATACGAACGATGCTTTGAAGAACTCACTCATCAGACTCGATTGAGTGACCTTAAAATGTTTTCGCATGGATAAAGGTCTGAAATATATATTATCAATGGCAACTCGACTAATCGGACAAGGCTCTGATAGGAGAGATATTTGCCCTTCTTCGGAATCAATGATGAAAATATTCCAAACACGTTCAAACAGTTTTAATAGTCTTGAAAAATGTAGTTAGCATAATGAATGACAATTGAAATGCGTTCAGAAACTTCATCTTTAACTGTACTGTGCGCCTGGTGCCAGAGATGGGTGGGACTCAGCTTTTGGCTAGGGGTCGGGCTCGCTGTGTATATACGAGCTTTCCCAATACGACAACATGCCCAGAATATCCATTTGTTGCAGGCGGGGGCCAACCAGAGGATTCAGCTGCATTAGGAAGGTGACAAGCCACACGAGCCAGCAGCAGGCGGCAGTAAGGAGAACGCAGCAGCGTATAAGTGTCCGCTCCTTGAAGTACTTGGCGACGATACAGCCCACTCCGGCGAACAAGGCCCAAAATACGGTGAATATTATGAGACTGACGTATTTGTTCATCTTGACAATGAGTGACTGTTGTTTTTGAGAGGGAATAGTGTTTCGAGTGTTTGACAACTTTTGCCTTCATACTCAGCGAGCCTCGAATCAAATGCTCCTGCTTGATGCCGAGACATTCGCTTAAAACTTTGCCATGGCGCAAACCCAATTTGGGTGCTTGGGCTCGTAAACTTTTATGAGTGCGAACATTTATACATTTTACGGCCAACCGCGAGGGCTGCAGACGGCTGACGGCAGACGTGCGTTGGAGCGTAAAAGTTATAAAAATGAAAATTGTATACATTTTCCCGAGTGCCAGCATCAATAAAACTGCAGTCGAGTATGCGTGTGCGTATGTGTATGTGTATCATTTTCGCATACTCACATCCTCACATCCTCACATCCGCACAGCCTCACATCCTGACTAAGCACAAAATCCGTTTCAGCTCAGGCGAACCTGATGAGCAGTTGACTGTCAGCATGGGCCCAGGATTCAGGCCAGCCGTGCCATGTGCAGCCTCTGTTCTGATGATGCCATAAGTGCCCAGGCGTGGCCCATAAAATGGCGGCTGCGCATTGGCATTAGACTCTGTGTTCGTCCGTCGGCTGGCGGCGGTCGGATGTCCGTTGTCCGCTTTCGTCTGTAATCGAGTTTTTCCAAAGTAGCAATAAATGTTTATGGCGACATCGAATTTTCCATTTTCTCGCCATAAGTATGAGAACGGCCGGTGCTGCTGCCAGTGCAGACCTCTCTCCAACCCCAAAGCCAAAAACCATTTCGCAAATGGTGGAGTGCTTGCTGCGGCCATCTTAAAGGCCATTTCGGATCAGCAATGAAACGCACCCCAATCACGAAAGATGGCAGTTCGCTGATCACCCCAGATCGTTGAGTTCGGAAATCGTTCTTTCAGTTCACTTTTCACTTGCGACTGGAATCTAGTTCGACTTGACGTCTAGATCGATTGCATGTCATAAATTACAGTTCTCATGGCCAGACGATGGTTCGCATGTTCGAGTCGCAAGCAAATGCAAATCAGGCGTGAAGTGTGAGTTGGCCTTTAAGCGTTACCGTTGTTGGCGGCAACAAAAAAGGAAACCGTCGCTCCCGATTCTGAGACAACGGCACTCCCAGCTGTTCCGGTGTGTTTCTCCTTTTGTTTGACATGGCCCAGAGTCAAAATATTTGACTCTAATCGCCACATTTATTGTTAGCTCTTCCAAGGCTCACAGAGCTTCTATAAACAATTTTGATTAAATTAGTCACGTTGGAATTTAGAACTATCTATCGAGACCGAAAGTCTGATGTCGATTAATCGATAATCGATATCATGAATATGATATCTTGACACTTGACCGTGCTCATTTGCTTTAGCTCCATAAGCAATGGCTCTACGATGGGATACTGCGCACTTGGACACATTGATTTAACAGATGTACATTATCTTCCGGTTTCATTGCTGTTATATAACTAGGTGCTATTATGCATTTAAGGGCTTTCAATTGAAGTCGAACTATTATGCAGTTTTTTAACGTGTGAGAATATATTTTTAACGGGAATAAAACGAATTAAATGGCTCCACGTTTTAGTTATTAACTATTTGTAGAAAATGCCTTTATTCTTTTGGATCATGAGTAATTGAAGCAATCAGCAGTTCAATATAACATCAACAGCCGAGCAAACCAAGGCGTTCATGTTTGGTAGAATGATTGTTAACAAGGTATAGTTGATGGTCGCTTGATTTGTATCGCTCACTTATATTAAACGAGTTTAAGGCTTCGATTATTTTTAAACAAATTATGCAACTTAAGCACTGTGCACCTGTGCACCCAGCCGTATGTCTGCCTGTATAAAAGCGTAGACTGATTGGAATACTTCTGCGTACCTCGTAGTCGGTCACCTTTAACTATAGCGCAATACTTGTTTTAGTTAATTTTCCCTTAATCAACTTTGCCATTCCCCCAAAGTTGTAATAGAGTCGAGATTGTTTAAACTGAACTGTGCTAAAACCACTTTAAAAGCATTAAGTCTCCAACTTTGTATCTTATGATTGATTTGTCCCTGCTCGAATTCCCACAAAATAAATGCAGCTTTAGATTATCTCTACAGATCCATACGAAAGTCATTTTGAAAGCGTTCAAGTTGTAGCCAAAAAAGATTTTGCAGATTTTGCTTAAGAAGTTAAAAGTCTCTCGTCAATACACATGACTAGGACATAGCTTTGACCCTAAGCAGGGCTTAAGAAACCCTCTAGAAATATTAACTGGTACAGTAAATAAGATGCAATACCAAACAGCTTGTGCAGTGTAATGAAAACAAGTTTTAAGTTATTATTATTTTGCTCTCTGATGTGGCAAGTCTTCATCTATTGTAGTTATCTTCGGCTTCATATAGACTGGCAGATATAAAATTTGATATTAAGGTTTTCGCAATGATAAAACCATAAGAATTTTTGTTTTATAAATTGAGTGAAAGCTTAAACAATATTAAATTAGTTAAGTCTAAAGTGTGATCTAACGAGATTAGGCCAATGTATTTAAGAGCTGCAAAATAGTGTTGCTTTTACTTGAACTAAACTGCTTTAAGTGCATTGCTTCTTTGACTGAGGCTAGTAAATTAGTTATTATTCTTATCAGTAATAAACACGTTCCATTGGCATCTGTTCTTGCATCTTTGAAATGTGCAAATAATTGTTTGCAGCGTGATAATGCCTATATTATGGCTTATGTTATTATGCTCAAGATCAAGATCAGCAGGTGAGTCAAATGAGCTCAATTTCTAATGCGTTTACTAGCAAATATCTTGTATTTTCTACAGCTTTGGAGACTTAGTCCCAAAAATGATATATCCACGCCCAGTGCATTAGAGACTCACTCTATGTTTTGCCATAAACTCTATATCTGTCCTTTGGGGCGTGGCATATCGGGAATAAATATATCTTGCAACATTTTGGAGTCAGAGTTCCATATTTGGACAGTTCATTTACTGTAGGCAGTCGCAAAAACATTCTTAGTTGTTTCAGTCATTTGTGTTGTATCTGCAAAAAGGAGGAAATAGAAAAGTAGTAAAGTACAGTACAGTAAAGTATGCAGTACAGTGAACTAAGTGTGTTCATCTCTTCGTCTGTCTGTCAGTTTGTTCAATTCAAATGGGAAAGTAGCCAGGGAATCCTGCAACGTTACACGTGGGCTTCAAACGTCGAAGAATCGTGCAGTTTGCATCAAATCTATTAAAGTCGATATCGAGTTTCATTTACTCCCATTACTTATTTATGTTCATTTCCACTTACGGCACATCCAATTAAATCCCACTTATATTGACTTGCACTTTAATTGTGAACCACTTTCATTACTTTCAAACAATCAAGGCGAATGATGAAGCGAAACTCTATTTAAATTTTAGATAGTTTTATGTCTGCTATTTACTAAACTGGAGCTGCGTGTGCTGTCAGAGTGTTCTATGTGACCTATTTTACTTTAGCTCTTACAGATGCTTTTTACATACTGACAGAGGCTCACACACAGCCATTGCTGCATCAGTTTGATTTGAAGAGCAGTCCTTAAAGTATACATATGAAAGAGATCAATTGATGGGGGCAGTCAACGCTGTCTATTTGCGTTTCTTTAGTTTTCAATCAAAAATGCACTGCATTTGTTGTCTCAATAGAGACGCATGCGGCCAGGTGACTTTTGATATTTGAGTTCGTGGCGCGACAACGAGCCAGCACGCGTTGTTTGCCACATCAATTAGCAGAGTTAGCACCACTGAAGGAAGTGCTATTAGAAGCGGTTGCAACACATATCACAGCTAAGCGCGCTGCAGATGTTGCCTCTTGTGTCGTTGGCGCTCTGTGATCTGTAAAGGGCGGCAAGCAAAAGCTTCTCGGCCGTTGGCTTATCGCAGAATATGGCAAACAGCTGCAGCCTTGCGGCTCGGCTCGTTCAGTAAGAGTTCTTCCAGTTGGCGATGCGCCAAACACCAGCTCCCTGGCACCCGACCTTTGTTTGGACAGTTTCGGTTATGCTCCACGCAACGAAACATTCTCTTATTAACCTAAATACCCAGTCCGACTTTCTGTCTCAGCGATTTGGAAGGCTTAAAATCGAAAGCTCAAGTATTAAAATCTGTCTGCAATGTATGTGAATATCTCTATTTTAGGCTAGGCTGCCTCTAGGCTCTAGTTGTCGTTTGTGGTCCACTCAGATTCCAAGTCTTTAGATTTATTTATATATAAAACACTAGAAGCCAGTCTCGATTTATTATGCTAGGGATATGAATGGATGTATTATGTATGTATAAGAGAGTATGTAGAGTATGTGACTATTGAGAGGGTTAAACCTTAAAAATGTGGAAGATACAGTCGACCTATATACATATATTTTCTCTATATCTTTTGTCGGCACTTCTCTGCAGTAAATAAAATAAATAAAGTAAATATTTTAAATTCTGTTAGCTTTTTTGCTATTATTATTATTGGAGCAGATATATACTCTATTTATTTCGAGCTTGTTCTGGCTATATTACTCGTGAATATATTTCGAACATCTTAAGTATTTGGTCTTTTTTATTTTTTTTTTTTAACTTTCTATAATTTATAATATATATAATATAGCTCGATGAGAAATGCATGTTCGCTTTGCGATTGGATAGCTCTATTTAGCTCTATTTAATATAATAGTAAAATTAAGCCCAGAGAGACAAACAAATATCGAATAAATAAGAATCTAAAATTCAGAATTAGATGAATGCGTGATTCAATACGTTTTACTGTGTTTTTGTGAAGTTTGCTGTTTCACTGAATGCCTAAAATGCCAAAGCTGAAAATATATATTCATCGATAGCAAAGTTGTGACAGAATATACTCAGAAGCACAATATTATATTTGAAAATCATAATTAGTATGTATCAACTTCTTGTCTTCCCTTCTCTCTAGAATACAATTTCTACTTCAAATAATCACAGTTCGAGCGACACAGATGCTAGGGGTAGAGACAGCGACTTTTCAATTTATTTCTTGTACGTGTACGGGTTATAGAAGTGATTCATAATATATAGTGTGCTCCAGCAATGTGTC